ATCATCAATCTTTCCCGTCATATGAAGAAGAAGTTCAACCGGACCTCCCCAACCAACCTCAGTACAACTTCCAATCAGGCAGCGGTAGTTTTCACAACTACCATTATGGAGCTGATAAAGGTGCCTTTCATGAGCTGGATCAGATGGAAGCTGCCTTGCCAGCACCAGTTAGTGACCCCTCCGATGAAGGAGAGAACAACGTCAGTGCAGACAGCTCCGACCCTCTTGAAGGTGCTGATGATTCAGGACCAGAGTCAGACTCAGATAATGATGATGAGGTGGCTCGTGACCGTGTATCAGTCCCCTACTACAATCACATTCCAGACGACAATTGGATGGTCGACAGCAACATGGAGCCGCCAGAGGTCCCAGTATGGGGTCCACTCACTGGGTTTATGAAGGGCCAACAATTTGGTTCGAAGAAGGAGGTGCGGCACGCCATTGAGACTGAAGCAATGACTCGGCATTTTGAATGGCACACAACTCATTCCAACACTAAAAGGCTCATAGTCAGATGCCGTAATCATCACGGGGGGTGCAATGTTAGGATTCGGGCCATCAACAGCAAGAGACACGGCCACTGGGTCATATCCCGTGTGGTGAACACACACACACATGTGTGTCATCCATAACTTCCCAAGGCCATCGACATTTGAAATCCAGGGTGGTTGCTGCGGCAATCAAGCATCTAATTGAGATCCGGACCTGAAGGTGAAAGTCATAATCGCTGACATTGCAAGTCGTTATGGTTATATGATTAACTATAAGAAGGTGTGGCATGGAAAGTAGAAAGCTCTGGCCGCCGTCTTTGGTGATTGGGAAGAATTATATGCATTCCTTCCTAGGTTAATTTTGGCATTGGAGGCGTCTAACCCTGGCATTGTTTTCTCCCCTCGATACCAAGATGAAGAGATACAACCCTCAGAGCCAGGTAACAAACGCCATTTCAGAGGACTTTTTTGGGCATTCAAGTCATCTATTGATGGTTTTGGCTTCTGTGTCCCTGTGATCCAAGTGGATGGTACATTCCTTACCGGCAAGTACAAGGGCACTCTCCTGATTTCCAGTGGGGCGGATGCAAACAGACAAGTCTTTCCTTTAGCCTTCTCCATTGTTCAGGGAGAGAATGCTGATAGCTATGGATGGTTTTTCCGGCAAATTCAGCTCCACGTCACTAGGAGGACGAACCTGACAATAATCTTTGATCAGCACGTCGGCATTAGAGCTGCCATCTTAGGTTTAGATCCAGCCTGGAAGTGGTCCCAAAGGTGGTGCATACGACACTTCAAGAGCAACTGGAACCATCATTTCAAGCGGAAGAAGCTTGCTGATAATTTGTGGTGGATTGGTAAGCTCTCTATTAGCCGTTTAATTTTGTCAGCTAACAATATCTTGTAATCAGGAGAGTGGTGCACTTGTTAGACTCTTTCTAAAGAGATGCATGCCTAAGAAAATGGGGTTTTAAGCGATTATCATGGTCCTCCCATTTCCTGGGAAAATCGACTGTGTTTCTAAGGAGATGAATACCTCTCCTAAGAGTCTAACGATAGTACCTCCGGGTTGTTCGAATTGTACTAAACTGCCAAAAATTGACTAACATACTACTTTTCTGTGTGTTCCTCAGCGGTTGCCTACCAAGAGAAAAAATTTCAGGAGAAGTTGCAGAAGATGCGTGAGTTATGCCCTGAAGGGGCACAGTGGCTGGATGGACATGACCTATCCATGTGGAAATTTCATAAAGATGGAGGGACAAGATGGGGTATTGCTACAACGAACTCAAGTGAGAGTATCAACTCTGTCTACAAGGCCGTTCGTTCATTGCCAATCTCTGCCATTGTGGAGATGACTTTTTGGAAAACGAATGCATGGTTCGTCAATCGACTCCACTGGGAAAGGACGAATGAGGCACAGGGAAAGGTCCATGCCTATAAAGTCACCGAAGTAATGGAGAATGACAATCGCAAGAGCAGTCGACATAGTGTAACCGTTATGAATCGGGCAAATGGCGAGTATAGCGTGACGACCGGACATCGGGAGTATGGTAGACGGGGGGGCCACCGCCATGAAGTTTTGGTCAATTTCAGGACAAAAGTTGGTGAGTGCTCATGCCAGAACTATCAGGTGAGAGGGTGGCCTTGTTCTCATGCAATGGTCGTAATTAAAAACAGGTGCAAAGACCCCCGTCACTTCGTTAGTCCATTATTCGTTATATTCCACTAAATACATTAGCAAAATAAAAGAAAGACAAATGATGAACAATTGTATGTACCGGGTGATCGTTCCAAACATCCCTTGACCGATGGTTGGGTTGGTCGTACAAGTCGGTTGGATCCAACAGTCCTTGCTTGAGATAATACCGTTGGTTGTATATATCCACGTCATCCCCAACCTACGAGAAAATAACAACGAGGTTAGTACATAGATTATTTAGAAAGCTTATAACAACAACAAAAATTAAACCAGAAAAAAATCCAAATAAATCCCCCTGTCGCCGACTGTGCTTTTCAGAAGAACACTCCATTCCTTCTCCCTAGGCCGATTTATGCTTTTAGCTTCATAGGAGGAGGATGCGGCGAGATTTGGTCTGGATACAGATCCAACTAGTGACCCGATAGCTAGATCCGATCTCAACATCCAAAGCGCTAGAGTAGGCGCCGTTGAAAGAGGGGATTTTGGCGGCGACAGCGAGACCCAGAACCGGTGTGACCCAAAACCGGCAGCAACGTAGAATCGGAAGAGAATCGAGCTCCAGAAGACATTGGAGGAGAATCGAGCGCCGGACGGAGGTTCCTTCTCTTATGTCGGCACCCCCATTGGGTCGACGGCTTCAGTTTTGCTGGTAGAGGGTCGCCGCCACCAACCGTTGTGGAAAGCCTCTTGAAGAACAGCGTAAATTAGCATCTCCACGAATCGAAATGGTGGTGGTGGTATTGGATTGATTTGGGGAATGGAAGGTTTCAAATGGTGGTGGTGGTATCATCGACGGAAGCTGGGTGGAGATTAATGGGTAGGAATTGATTTTATTTGGGCTAGGGAGGTCGTGGTCTCGTGGAGGTTTGCAGAAGAGGAAGCTTTTGTTTTTAGGGTAAATACAATTTAATAGCCAAACCTTTTCACTTAAAACAAAATAATAGCCAAACCTTTTCAAAAACAATTTAATAACCAAACCGTTAACTTTCCGTCTAGTCAACTGTTAGTTGACTCTGACGTGGCAGATACACATACACGTCAGCTTATATATTTTACTTTTATCATTTATGTAATTGTAAAAATAATTTAATTATAACTAAACGAAAAAGAAAAAGAAAAACAGAAATCCCAAAAAGCTTTCGTCCGCCGCCTTGTCTTCTCCAACGCGACTCCACCGGGAACGGAACCGCCACCTCGGCCCTAGTTCTCTCTCCTCTACTCTCTTCGTCGGGCTCGACGATCCGAAAAAAGAAGAAAACCAAGGGTTCAATCATAGGAAAGGAGAAGCAGGCTAAGGTGACAGTGGAGGAGAAGTCTCTGATGGCGGCGGCGACTCGGGATTCTTGCCAGTCCGACGTAGATGAACGGGAAGCAGTTGCGGCGGCGGGAGAAAAAGTGGTGGTTACCTAGATGCGAAATCGAGATGAATTCACCTACCACCATGCAAGAAGCTTTGTTCCGAGAATGGAAGAGCTAGTGTTCCCCCCTTCTGCTTTTGTCATTTGCAATCGACATAAAAAACCAAAAAAGAAGAATTCAATACCCAAATTCAATTCCGTCACTCTGCTACCACTCTGTGTTTCTAATTAGGGTTTTGAATTTGAGGGAAACCATAGAAGAAGGTTGAACAACGTCATCCCCTCACAGGTGCAAACAAATCCCTAATATATACAATCGATAAGCGTATAAAGTCAAATCCAAATAGGTCCAATTGAAATTGACGATGGGTGGTTGCCAGGGAGAGAGAGGGGAACGAACTGGTGGGAGGAGAATGAACAACAATTAGTTGCGGGATGGAGAAATATGAGGCCGGTATGATGAGAGGAGACGAAAGAAGAAGAAGTTGTGGCGCTATGGTGAAGAAGGGGAGGCAGCGGGTGAAGGAGACGATGAGGTGGTTGGGGGATGAAGGATTCTTTTTTCTTTTCCATTTAAATATAATTCAATCATTTGTACAACTAATAATAAATAAAAATAATAAAACAAAATATAAGCTGACGTGTACAAATACTTGCCACGTCAGAGTCAACTAACAGTTGACTGGACGGAAAGTTAACGGTTTGGCTATTAAATTGTTTTCGAAAAGGTTTGGTTATTATTTTGTTTAAAATGAAAGGTTTGGCTATTAAATTGTATTTACCCTTGTTTTTATTATTGGTTAAGGATTGATAAAGGGGAGGTGAACAGGCGGTGGTGGTGATGGAGGGAAAGATATTCTTATTTATTTTATAATTTTTTATTTAATTATAAAAGGATAAAATTTTGTTTATTTTCGACTTACATTATTTCTGAATAAAATATGCCACATCAACCGTTGTTGTTAGTCTAGTCAGCACGTTAACTTACACCGTTAAAGAATTGGACGGTAGTGGCTATTAGTGGTATTTCACCAAAAGTGATTGTAAGTGGCACAAAGGTGATAGTTTATACAAGTGTATTTTGCCTAAAATAATCTACCGCAATTGTGCTAAGGAGTAAGGAGTTTGAGACAACAACTTTCCCAAGAGAACAAAAGGCTAAGTTAGGTTTGTACGAGAATCTTTCGGAGCTAGTAGTAATTATTATGTTTGCGGGGAATCCTTCTAAGAGCATCTCCATTCATGCAATTGCAAAAGAAATTGCATTTGTGTTTTTTATTGTCAACTCAAATTTTTTGCAATCCACATCACATTCATTTCATTCACCTACATCAATGCAATTAACTTGCAATTGCAAATGTAATTAAATATTATGTTTAAATATAGAAAATTAAGTAAAACAGAAAAAAAAATAATATAAAGTAAAAAATGCCCATTTTTTTAGGCTTTTTTGACTTGCATATGGAATTGCATTTGTTGCAAGCTTGCAAATATGCAATTGGTAGCCATATCAATGCAATTGGGTTTGCAATTGCAAATACCTATGCCATGTCATTTTGCAATTGAGAATGCAATACCAATGTGGATGCTCTAATGAATTCCAAAATAGTTCATGGCATTATTTTACCATTGACTTCCTCCTTCCAAAAAGAGCTGTTTGCCCTGACCTTTCTCTCCTTCCTACTGTACGAACCCATCAGTTTCTTGTACAACTGAATTTCACCCCTACAACCGATGGGTAATATCCAATGTGTATACGCTGCAACCCATATAATTCCCAAACCCTGTCTTCTTCTCCATTCTTTTCTTCCCATGCTCTGTTTTTACCACCACTAGAGACAACCCTCCAAAAGAAGAAGAAAACAAGCAAGGAACTAGGAAGGATGTTTAGCCAGACGCCTTCCTTCATCAAGGTCTTGGTTGGGTGTTTCTCCATGAAGCTGGTAAATTATTCTCTCTTCCACTTCTCATCATTTCAATCGCTCCTCGTCTTCTAACTCACCATCCCCTGCTCTGTCTTCTATCTCTGTTTCGCGGCAGAGGATTCCAGATTCATTCATCTACGCGTTCGGCCAAGATCTGGACGGGAAAGTGACCTTGAAGCCCAATGCAGGGACTCCCGCGGTTGTCTCCGTGGAGTGGGGAAGCAGGGGATGTTTCTTCGGAGCTGGATGGCCGTCGTTTGTCGATGATAATGGTCTCCAAGAAGGCGACTACCTGGTTTTCAACTTCACTGGCAGCGAAACCGTCGATGTCGTCATTTACGACCCAACTGGCTGCGTCAAGAGAATTGAGGAAGTTCAGACCAGCAAGCATTGTCCAGGTTCTGCGAGGAATCGCGAAACAGAGCCATCCCCTGAAAACCCCAGAAACGGTATCTCTCAGCTCTGCTTCTCTCTCTCTCTCTCTCTCTCTCTCTCTCTCTCTCTCTCTCTCTCTCTAGTCGGCCTTTTTTCTTACACCAAAGCAATCTTGCTAAAGCATTTGTATGTCTTCTGGTTTTGGTTTAGGAATGGGGAAAGAGGGGAAAAGAGAAGCTCAAACCCGCATGCCAGAAAGGAATCTCAGAACAGAGCAACTCCGCCAAACTACGAGGCCTCTCCGAAGCTCAAGAAGGAGTTTCAGAACAGAGCAACTCCCCCAAACCAGTAAACGTATAGACCCCTGTTCTTACTCATCTTCACCTTATTACGTGTGAATCAATGAAATCTATCTTATCGTTTTGGTTTAGGAATGGCGAAAGGTTCAGAGTTGAACCCACAAGAAGCTCCAATCAAGACAGAGCCAGAAGAAGGGTATTTTTCTGGCGATGCTTCTCAAGGTTTGGATGCTTGCTTCCAAGTAGTTTACAAGAAGTACATGGAATTCAATGTGGTATTGTACAATTTCACCCCACTCTCTTTCATTCCATTTCGTATACAAAATAACACTGCTGCAGTCTTTTGGACTCATAAAAACCCCGTCTTTTCTTTTCTATTTGTTTGTTTTGTTACAATGGGAAGTGCATCCCACTGAGATTTTGTACAATCGCTCGGCTGGAAATGAAGGACAGTGTTCAACTTCAGGATCCAAGCGGCAGAGTTTGGCCAGTTGCACTAATAGCAGGAGGAGGCAGGAGGAGATCAAGCAAACGATTCGGTAGTGGCTGGCCTGCCTTTGCTGCTGCTAATAGCGTGGCTTTTGGAGACAGAATCGATTTCCATTACAAGCCTGAACTGGGTGTCTTCCAGGTGGAGATACACAAGCCAAAGAACAATACTTGCAACGATTCTGAAACTGGGAAGCGGCCATGGAAGAGATCTGATGGTGGAAATCATGAAAGGAGCAAGCTTTTCCAAAGTTATGGATGGAACTCCGAAACAGAGAAATTGCCCAAACCCAGAAAAGGTATAGACCTCTGTTTCTTCTCACACTCTGACCTCTCTCTGTTTCTTCTCACACAGCAGAATTCTTGCTTAAGCTGGTGAATGAACTTAACTTACTCCCAAATTATGTTAATTTCTTTTTTCTGGTCTTTGATTTCGCGAATGTTCAAAACAGGTTTACAGAGGAAACGAGGAGCTCCAGCTAAAACAAAGTTCAGAAAAGGTCATTCTTCTGGCAACAATGCTTCTCCAGGTTTGGCTGATTCCTACCAAGCCATTTACAAGAAGCACATGAAACGCTCTAATTACATGGTATATAAGTTCATTTCCATCCACTCGATCATAGTTTTCAATCATCAGAACCTTGACTTTACTTCCATTCTTTTTTGGACCGATGTGAAGTGCATGCCGACGAGATTTTCTGAAGCCACGAAGCTGTCACAGAGGAAAACTGCTCAACTTGAGGACCCAAGAGGGAAAGTGTGGACGGTTTCTGTAATCTCAATACGGAATGGCAGGCAGAGACGGTTCAGTCGTGGCTGGCCGGCCTTGGCCGCAGCTAATGGCTTGGCTGTTGGAGACGGAATCGAGTTCACTTACAAGCCTGATTTGGATTTGATCCAGGTGAAGATACACAAACGAAAGTCCAATGCTGGAAACGATTCTGAAATCTGAAGTTGGAGAGGAAGAGGTAATGGAAGAGAAGTGGGCAAGTGGTGTTGTAAAGCTTTTAGATTGAAAAGAGGTAGCGCCTAGGGCTAGTAATTGTAGTCTTTTTTACTGGTAGGGGTTTCAGTATGTCGCTAAGGTAATGAACAGCATGATGAAATTGCAGATCAGCAGATGGGGTTTCAGTTTGTCATTTCACTTTGTTTGATTTCAGACCCTCAGTAATGGAAGTTACTTCCCCTTAGTAAAAAGGTCAGTAGAGCTTAAAATGTGGTGGTGGTAAAAAGTGAGGTTAAAAGTTAAGAAGTTTTGACATCCCAAAATGGCTACAGTACAAGTAATGAATAGCTCATAGTGAGAAGGGTTTCAAGAATTCACAGCCCAGACCCAGAGTATTAAAACCGAAACATGCAGGGCTAAAAGACAGCACCCACCCCAAACTTCCTTAGCGGACTAGTACTAGCACTATGGAATCAAACAGAGAGATAAAGGTTACCATTGCTCAACCTCGTAGAGCTAGAGCTCTACCTTTTTGAGTTAGTATGCTTTCATTGTCGTCATGGTATTGTAGTATACGTTGTTATTGATGACTGAATCTGTCTTATGTACTATTTTCTTTTTAAAATAGTGTCTGATAGAGATGTGAGTTGCTTGTGCTGTCAATGACGGTCAGATAAGTTAGAGCAGTATATAGTAATGCTAAAATGAGAAATTCATATAATGTTGACATATTGATATAGATAAACATGGAATGCTCAGATGGTACTTGGCACAAATTACTCAGCATGCGAACATACTTCTAATCAGTGCCGACGATCGTCGACTCTTGATTCTAGTGCTTTATGTCAATGTGAGTAATTGTTGTTTTTGTTCTTACGCCGTGGTATCCATCATCTACTCGAAGCTCTATTTTGAGTTAGTAACACCTATTATGATTGTTTGTATGCACTCATGATTGTCACGATGCTGTAATCTATGTTGTTATCTAATAACATAACTTGTTATATGTAATGTTTTCTCTCTTTAGAAACAAATCGACGCCTAATAAAGTATGAGTTGATAATGTTAGCAACTAAAAGGATAAGTTTGAAGGTGTGCTTAAAAGAATCTTTTATGTAATGTTTTTTTTTATAGATAAAGATTGAAATTTGAAGATCCGATTTTGACTCCTTTTAGCTCAAACTAATGGTTCCTTTCTGGACTGGTGTAATTGAGCAGACTGGCTCCTAGTGTGGGTTAAAGTTTGTTCCTTTAGGTTTCAGTTTGGCAATTAATGATGAAAATTGCTGTTGGAAAGAAGTGAAAGCTCATTTCACACTTTGTTTCATCTCAAACCCACAGCAACTGACGTTACCGTGCCAAAGTGACAGTAAGTCTACTATCTATATAATACGCTCTTCCCCATTTCAAATTTGCTGCCTCCGGAGCATTTGTCGGAGGGACAATCTTGGAAATCAACAATATTTTCGGATGCTGACGGCAGCCAATTTAGTCGGGCTTTTTTTCCTCTTTCGCCGACCTGGCAGCCCATTTTCGGATATTTGTATTCTTCTTTCTCTTTCTTTCCTCTGCACGACAAACAACCCTCGGCGAAATCCATTAAAGCAGTTCACCACTCCAGAATAGGATTAACTCCCGGCGAATGGTTCAACAGCGAATGGTTCAACAGAAGCCTCCCAGGTGTTTAGCCTTCGATTTCCATTTCTCTTCTCCCACCTCTTAGTCTGAAGAAAATTCTGCGTGCGAGGTAAGATACAGGTGTAATCAAAGGTTGTGTTTCTATCCCTCTCCCTCTTTAGTTCTTAACCCATATCAATATTATAGTGGCACTGGTTTGTTCCAGCGGAGGTCACCAGCGTAGCTGCTTCCCTGCTTCTCGGATCGCCGCCAAACACCTGTTGGGGTCCCTGAATTTGTGTCGGCGATTGTATTATTCACAGGTTTGTTTTATCTTTGAATAAACCAAAAAAAGGTAATCTCAATAGGGTTACCTTTGAGGGTAACCTTTATTACCGCTTGCCTCTACTTAGGATGGTGTGTGGGTGCTGAATGCAAATGGAAGTACACTCTAGCTTAGGATGGTGTGTGGGTGCTGAATCAGACACTGTCAAGTCTGCGTCTTAATCTCAAATTCATTCAACTTATATCCCGTGTGGGTTGCTTCATTACAATTCTATAGTATCCCGCCATTAGCTCCTTGATGCAGGTGGTTGTCCTGTCATTGACCCAAAATTTGTCCTGCCGGTAGCTCTTATTCTATCATTATCCGTGACCTCTTGCTCAAATATGAAACCACATCCTGCTGTAGATTACGTCATTTGTTCGGTTAGTCTTCTTAGCATCAATATGATGTATGTTTAGCCAACTATTTTCGTTTACCAAATTCAATAGAATCCAATCCCTTTTTAGTTACCTGTACTGATAACAAGGCTGCATTATAGATTATTAAAATAATCATAACATTTGTGACTTCCAAACATAAAACAATAATCTCTAAACCTGTATATACTAGACTTCATATGATGTTTCTTTTCGCTCATAAAACTGACGAACATTATCAATCTTTATCACTATGCTAAAGGAGCAGATTATCTATTCTTACCTGAAATTTTATCATACTGAAAACGTTTTGATTGAGTTGTCATGTTTAGGCATCTGCAACGTAGTAGTAGGAAGCTATTTGTTTACTCTTACATGGTCATAATGGCAAGACATATTGAGTGGCTGGTACAGACCTAGGAATCTAGAATACTAGACTCATTCAACTGCATTCTGATACCTGCAATCTTATAAACTGTTTCGTTCACACAAATACTTACATATCACCGGCCAATTGGTATGATGTTCCATGCAGATATACTCTTGGCACAAGCATTTGGTTCCAAAGCAACTCTCAGGTTTGACACTAGCTTCAGAGAATTTACGATGCACGCTTGGTGTTTCTTATCCATTATTGTTGTGTGAATGGTTATAGCTTGGTGGGAATCATCCAGTTTTAGCAGCATAAGTTTGATCTAGCAGCCTCATGACAATGTTCTATGCAAAGATCAGTTATGATTAATGCATGTAATGAAGCAGTTAGAAGAAGCATTGATAACTATGACCAAAATAAAATGTTAAAGTTTCCGAGAACTTAGAGACTGTCATACTCTAATTAGTGCTTACCCCTTCTTTTGGTTTTGATTGCTCTTCAAAAAAATAAGTGATAAAAAAAATTTGGTTTCTACAAAGAAGGAAACCTTAGCAGAGAAATCCTGTGATTAGGATTGCAGTGTGAAACTCGCAGCTTGTGTTTTTTTAACTTTCTACGACACATTTAAAACAATTTTAATGGTTTTAGTCTTGCGTGCGGAAGACTTGCAGCTGGCAAACCCAGCTTTAGGTACCAAAGTTTATCCTTTTACTTCGTTCTTCCATTCCCATTTTGGTTTTAAGCTTTACGAAATAATTGGAGCTTTGTTGGGGTTTTTCGAACCTATTACAGAAGCCAAAGATAACTCATGTATGCTACATTGTTCGTTATCTTGACCGATGCTCTTTACTGGTGAATGAGTCTTCTTTCTTTGTCAGTGCATCATACTCTAATATTTTATAACTGTTTTGTGAAGTAGAAATTGTAGTGGTATAACTACGACAAGATGGTAAGTGGTAACTGAGAAAAAAATACCAGCTGTGATTTGATCGGGCCGTGGAACGATGTGGAAGATTACTGTGATTTGGTTGTTCTCAAGTTATTCTTGCCAATGGGTTACTGAAAGTAGTTGGTCAAATGTCATGGCTTTATTTATTTGTGGAGTTTCTGAAGGTTTTGTGAGGCAAATATACCTTCCTTTCTTAATGTAGATATATAGTAGGCAATTATGCGTTCCTTTCTTAATTAATGTACATATATAGTAGGCAATTATACGTAGTTGTTGGATGACTCATATATTGCTAGAACTTTCGGATGGTTGAGTTGCAAACTCTTTTGGGCCATCCGGACGAGGGATTATGATAATTAGGAATTTATATGTAGGATGTGTGGCAAATAGTTTGAGCCCGCTCCAATTTACTAATGACTGTTCCAAACCCAAAATTGCACAATAGCTCAATTGTTGGGCGTGAATTAAACAATTTTGTATCGGGATTACAACTTTGGAAATGTTAATATAGTTAACTGATTCTCCTGAGTTTTGTGTTAGAGCTTATGAACTTACAGGTGATGCGGATTCAATGGTCTTCCGCAGTATGTTGGTAGGATATATGCAGTATGTTGCAGTGTGGAAGTACTTTTGTTTTATATATGTTGGTAGGATATATTATGCTTCCTTTGTTTTAAAAATTGATGTGCTCTTTTCTGTATACACCAGCAGACTTGCCATTTTCCCAACCCATATGTTCATGCCCAAATTATCTATTTACTACATGTAGGCTGTAAAGCTAGAACCGGGAAGTGTTGACAACTAAGTTTCAGATGCATTATTTGTTTTATAAAGGGTCAAACTGCAGCTTCGGAAATGTTAATAGAGGTTAACTGATTCTCCTGGGTTTTGTGTTAGAGCTTATGAACTTACAGTTGCGGTGCGGATTCAATGGTCTTCTGGATCTCGATTTAAGATGCCCCTCCAGAAAAAGGATTCGTCTAGCATTTGTCAGTTGTCATTCTATTAAATATTAATATTTTTTTTTAATCTTGGGAAGCACATAGTATCAGGATTGCAGTTGATGTCGGGCAAGTAAAGTCATGAAGAAATATGAATTGATGGACCGGGTTGTGTAAAGTGTCAATATTATTTGCCAAAATAAATATGGTACTTCCTTACTTCATATAATTTATATGTATTTTCATCAACATTATAGTGCTTTTAAATGTATGAAATACTTCTAAATCTTTCTGTGATGTAACTGTGGGTATCGATACTAATATTTTTTAAATGCAAAATAACTGACCATTACTTAATTATTACCAAAATCTATTCATAGTGATTACTTCACAACAGACCAACGGGCCGAGCAAAGACGCATTCAAGACGCAAGCTGACTACTGATGTGTAGATATTCGCAACAGTTATGCGACCAATTTTTTTTGGCTATCTCTGGCCGGGGCCGGGTAATAAGCTAGTTAATATATATAAAGAAGAAGTTCACTTACTGTTGCCTAAATTTGCAAGCTGATTGGGTCGTTGTACATCTTATCGTTTGATATTTCAAATTTCATTAAATTACGACTTAGTCACTATGATGTATATTTTACATTTTGATACCCCAAATTTAATTTTAATGCAAAATCATCGAACAATTATATTTTGGTATCTAAATTTTATGAGTTTTTTGTACCTACTATTTTTTTTATGGTTAATCAAAAATTTCATTAAGCCTTGCAGTTACATACTGCGAACCCCTCCTCCAAGTACAAATCGTACAATACCAAAATAGGAACTACTCAATATAGCCATCTACTAAAAACATGCAAAAACAACATATCTCTGCTTCATTACAGCTTCAGAGTTTGGCTTCAAGTATCGACTTCAACTAGCTTACTTGGGGGGCAAATAACAGCATCATGAGTTCTGCTGCAACGCTGACGCCACACATAACTAATACAAAGAGACCATCGTAATCTGCCTTCACTTGCAGTCCTTGTACCGCTGGACCACTGTCTTACTGCCCAGCCCATACCTACTATTTTTTTAAATTTATATATTAGTCCAATGTTTAGATTTCACTTGAATCCATGAATCCAATCCACCAATCCTTTTGAATCAATCCATTAATCCAATCCACCAAACCAAAAAAATTAGTTTGTACCAAACAAGATGTTGTATCACTCAACTGTAGGAGAAGATTTGACCATTTTATAGTTGCTCATTACATGAAACATTAAATAAATGATAAAAGCGAGATGACTCTAAAATATTGAAAGAGCGATTTTATAAACTCATTTAATACATTTACAGGGTACTAAATAATCTTCTACTAACTACATGAAACAAAATAGGCGACATCTACATAAACAAGTTTCAATAAATTGCTACGGTGATTATGAACGGGTCTAATTACAAGTATGAACGCGTATATATTCTAATCACAAGTATGAACGGGTCCATACAGGATTTACCAACAGTCTAGAGAATTAATAATTGAACCATGAACCACAAACTTTTTCAGCTCATTGCCGAGTACAATTAAAAATAAATATATATGGTTATTGCTTATTAGAAAGTAATCATTTTCCACTATGCGATTTGCAGGCGTGAAATTTTAAACGAGTTCCAGTTTTGTATTCATTTTGCTTCTCCCTAAAGTTTTTTTTTCACCCGAGCTAGAATTTTCAACAATTATACATGGAATGTTTGGCTAGGTATCTACATATATCAAATAATAGTTTCATTTTTCTATAAAAAATTAAATAATTATCATCTTAAATACATCACCATAAAGGAATTAAGCATCAGGTATACAAATTATAGTTCGGTACCTAAACTTAATAGATCTTTAGATTTATAACCTAAATTATTTTTTTTGGCATATAAGTCCTCAAAATATTGACGGAACATTACATTTTAGTATCTAAAACTTTTGTGTGACATTTTGGTTCCTAAATTTTTGAAGTTCTACAAAGATGTCTAATTTTTGTATGTGTAATTAAAACACCCTCGAATAAATGGGTATCCATACCCAACTCATACACATTTAGATTATGAAATTAAATATTCATACCCTACCCAAACACATCTACAAACTTTCAAACTCATATATACGTCACGCATACCCTACCCATAATCAATGGGTCTACTTGGGTTTAGGTAAATATAATTTATTAGCCTAAATTTTTCAAAAATATTGAAATTGGATGTTGACTAACATATATCTCTTCTCAATCAATCTCATATTGTCAAGTCAATATTACTAACAAAACTGCTAACAAAAAATTAATTTTATACTAATAATACTAACAAAACACAATACTGGACCACATAAGAAATGCTCAAAGGCCATTTCCGCCACGCGACAAGGCGCGGCATCGCCACCTAGTAAAGCTTAAAATGGGATGGTGGTAGAAAGAGAGAGTAGGGCTGCAAATGAGTCGAGTTGTTCACGAGCGGCTCGGTGTTCGACTAGAGAAAAGCTCTTTCGAAACTCGGCTCGTTAATAAACGAGCTGAACATGAGCTAAACTTTGTTCAGCTCGTGAAGCACGTGAGCTAGCTCGACTTGGTGGTTTGTAGGGCTAAACTCGTGAGCTGGCTCGTTTAGAGCTCATGATATGTCTCAACATGTGGCTAGAGAGCCAACTCGATTACCGACTTAAGGACGAATCAATCTAAATGTTATGATTTTAATTCATATGGTTGTTAAATTATATATCTCACCATATATAAAGTTTAACATGTTGAGTATGTGAGCAAATATATCTTATTTTATACTTTAAAAAGAAATTATGTATCATAGTTTGCTTCGATAGTATGAAATAACATGATTAGGAGTAGTTAAAATTTATTAACTAAATTATATATGATACCAACAAAGTATAATATGATATCAGCTAACAAAATAAATCATATGTATCATGATATACAAAATGGAGTACCAAATAAAAGTTAAGATTTTAGTAAACAAGCTAGCTCGAGCTCGACTCGACTCGTTTATTAACGTGCCGAGCTCAAGCTGAGATAAAACTCGACTCGGCTCGACTCGACTCATTTGCAGCCATAAAAGAGAGTAAAAGCTTAACTTCCCAAAATGGCTAGAAAACAAAGTTAAGACAGCTCATGTTAAGGAAGAGCAAAAGTAAGGAGCTTTGTCCCATCATCTATCCAGAGTATTCTAAAGGCAGAAGATATCACCATTGGAGTTGTTATTGAACATGAAAGGAGCCTATCGGGTGTTTAGGCTTGTTCGATCCTCTGTTTTACTGGTCAATTAATGTAACACAAAACAACAGTAACATGGTATTTCACATAAAACAACACTAACACGGTACAACACTAGTAGAATACACAAACAAAAGCATCCACTTATGGATAGCTTGACACATCATAGTACAATCCACAACGTCCCATGTTAAACGACGGACATTCATTCATGCCGTGAATTCTGCTGGTGACGACGAGGATGTGCCGTTAGCCGATGCAGTATTGCAAGCCGATCTTCTCCCTCGCTCCCTCGTGTTACTTTTAGCAAACTTCAAGCTAGCATGATGTAACCCTCTCTCCATCTCCCGTGAGCTCCATTCTGTTTGATAAACTATTGTTTTTTCTATAGGAAAAGAGGCGCATGATAAAAGCGTTAGTTGCTTGCGCCACCATTGACGCTCGGATAAGTATGAGCCATATATAGTTATGCTAAAAAGAGACATTCATATAATGCTCACATATGTTGTAGATAAACATGGAATGCCTAGATGGTACTTGGCACGAGTTACACAACATGCAGATATACTTCTAATCTGCGCCGACGATTGTTGACTCTTCATTCTAGTGCTTTCTGTCAATGTGAGAAATTGTTGTTTTTTTCTTACCCTGGGGTATCCATTATCATCTTTTCGAAGCTTTATTTTGAGTTAGTAAGACTTACTATGATCGTTTGTATGCACTCGTGATTGTCATGATGTTGTAATGTATACTGTCATTTGATAGAATAATCTGTTGGATGTAATATTTTCACTCTTTAGAAATAAACTGACACCTAATAAAATATGAGTTGCTTATGTTATAAGATAAGTTTTAAGGTGTGCTTAAAAGAGTCTTTTATTTAGTGTTAACTTGTATTGTCCTGTAGATAAAGATTGAATGACCCGGTTTTTAGTCTTTTTAGCACAAACTAATGGTTCCTTTCTGGTGTAATTGTGCAGACTGGCTCCTAGCATGGGCTAAAGTTTGTTCCTGTAGGTTTTAGTTTGGTCATTAATGATGAAAATTGCTGTTGGAAAGAAAGTAAAAGCTCATTTCACTTTTTTTCATCTCATACCCACAGCAATTGAAGCTACTGTGCCAAAGTGAGAATAAGTAAAGCTTAAAATGGGATGTTGGTAAAGAGAGGGTAAAAGCTTAACTTCCCAAAATGGCTAGAATACAAGTTAAGATAGCTCATGTTAAGGAAGAGCAAAAGTAAAGAGCTTTGTCCCATCATCTCCAGGGTATTAAAAGCAAAATATATCACCATTGGAGTTGTTCTTGAACATGAAAGGAAACTATTTGGTGTTTAGATCCTCTTTTTTAGTGCTCAATTAATTTAACACAAAACAACACTAACATGGTACAACACTACTTCATTAGAAATCTCACATAGAGCAACGCTAACATGGTACATCACTAGAAGAATACACAAAAGAAAAAGAAAAAAAACATTCATTCATGGATAGCTTCACACATCAGATAGTACAATCTACAACGCCATGTTAAACGACAAGCATTCATTCAGGCCGCGAATGCTGCTGGCGACGACGAGGATGTGTCGTTAACCGGTGCAGTATTACAAGCCGATCTTTTCCCTCGCTCCTTCCTGCTATTTTCAGCAAACTTCAAGCTAGCCTGATGCATGCCTCTCTCCTTCTCCTGTGAGCTCCATTCAGCCAAGTAGTAATCCTCTTCGGTGGCAGATGATGACGACGATGAGGATGGGTTGCTTCGACAGGACGATAACATACCACCCCACTGCGGGAAGTTGATCAAACATAGAGGGAGAGTACAACAAATGATCATAATTCCCATGTATGTGATTCCAGTCTCCTTGGAATATTTTGACCCTTTGAAGAATGCCAGTTGAGTTATCACCGCCCCCACGTTCCCTCCTCCTCCTGTCATGCCCGAGATTAACCCTAACGACCTACATACATATGCGTATTGTAGTTAGTAAAATATTACACGAGCATATGTTACGGTATTAGACGTAACGATATATCTTCTACTTTCTGGAGACAAAGGGCACGACTCCAAAGGTTAGGCCACAAGCAGCTTGGCAGAAGAACGAGAAGAGGATCATGACAACAATGGAGCCTCCCAATGAATTGACCCGACCCAAAATTACACAAAGACCGCCGCCTAAAGTCTGAACGAGCCATAGAGTCCACAGCCTTCTCCTCATCCCAAACCTCTTCGCCACCTCATCGGACAGCCGCCCTCCCCCTGGCCGGGAAATTAAATTCGCCAATCCAAAGCTCGCCGCAATCATTCCGGCGGTTTGGAGCTCCAAATTGAATCGGTCGTAGAAATACTCGGCAATCACATTATCCATCGTCAATTCCACCCCGAAGCAGTACCCATAAGTCAGAGCCAGAATCCACCCCCTGTAATTCCTAACTCCATGGAACAGGATTTGGGGGATTTGGTCCCCTGAATTCTCCACCCGCCGGAAATTCCCATCGGGCAAGTCCTGGCCGAAGATCAAGACGGCGAAGGCCGTCATCATCTGGAACATACCAGGGACGTAGAAAGCAATCCTCCAGGCGGTGAATTTGGCCGCCCCAGTGGAGCGGCGGATTAGGGTTACGGCGAAGGGCATGACGAGCTGGGTGGCTCCGCCGCCGAGGTTTCCCCACCCGGCGGCGACCCCGTTGGCCGTTCCGACGACCGGGGGAGAGAACATGGAGCTCATCCAGTACTGGGTTGAGACGAAAGTGGCGAGGGAGCAGCCGGTGAGGAACCTGACGAGGACGAACGAAACAGGGGAGGAAACCGTGGGAGTGAAGAACACCGCCGGAGCTGTGATCAGGACGAGGGAAGCCGAGGCGAGCCGGGGCCCCACCGTGTCGCAGGCGGCACCCATTGCGATGCGAGCGACGACGGCGCCGGTGACGGAGGCGATGCCGGCGTACTCGATTTCGGTGGCGGTGAGGTCGAGATTGTCCCGGATGATTGGGAGTAAAGGAGGCGCGGCGAAAGTGGAGACGAAGCAGGCGAAGAAGGATACCCAGGAGAGATAGAAGGCCCGCATGTGTGGTGCGGAGAAATTGTAGAGTGGGAATTTCGTGGCCTTGTGCTCTGTGTCCACCGGGAGGGCGAATTTGGGATGCTGTTTTTGGTTACCATTTTCATGGGCTGCTCCTGCTGAATTGGGTTTGATTCCCATGGCTGCTGCTGCGGAAGGAATTGGGGTTTCCATGTTTCAAAGGGTAAAGCTCAATCACAGCGAAGTCTTGGAGGTTTCAGAGAGTAGAGACTGACACTTTCCGCCGAGTATCAGTTTCAAGTGCTGAATCTGGGCAAATGATTCTCTTTGATGCCCAAGCGGTTGTTAATGTTCTGATTCTTATGCGTGTTGTGCTTTTATCCTCTGTATATGTTGTCATTGGATAGGAGAACTTGTCTTGTGTATTTAGGAGGGACAATAATGTTTTGATAAATGCGGGAGATGTTTGCTGTTGTCAATGGCGGCTATATAACTTCAAACTTATATACAATTTTGTTAAAAAGAGACATTGATTTAATGTTCACATATGTTGTGGATAAATATGGGAGTTGATAAAGGTCGTCCTAACAATTACTAATGATCGTCCTAAAAAACAACAAAGTTACACTTTTAACCTTTTGACATCTTTACCTTTCCTTTAGCAAACAAACACCACATTCACTTAGAAAACAAAAAACATTCATTCTCCCACACTCTCGAATTCATCATCGACATTTGGAAGCCGAAATCGTCGAGCATACGTCCGAACAATGAGTAGCGACTCCGACGAGGTAAAAAGCTCGTTTTAAAAAAAAAAAAAATCTCGACCGAATGTGATTTTCGGTTGGTCCATGGTCAAACCGAAGTCAACATTCGGTTGAACCATGGTCAAACCGAAGTCAACATTCGGTTGAGCCATGGTCAAACCGAAAGTTGACTTCGGTTTGACCATGTATCAACCGAATGTTGACTTCGGTTTGACCATGTATCAACCGAAGTCTTCGTTCGGTGAAGGGCGCCGCGGAACGAACGGAGCTTACCTTCTTCTCCGGCGAGCACGGACGGCAGGCGAGAGGAGGGCTGACGGCGACGGCTGGGCGACGGCGACGGCGAGTGCGTGGCGGCGTGGGACGGCAGGCCACTGGAGGAGGGCTGCGACGGCGACGGCGGACGAGGACTCACGGCGACGGGGGAAGGGCGAGGTGGGCCGGCGGGTGACTGACGGCGACGACCCGCCGTGGTCTCTCTGCGGCTGGGCGATGGTCAAACCGGCGGCGGGTGACTGACGGGGAGGTCGGCGGCTGTTGGTGGACGGGGAAGGGAAGTGGAGGAAGGGGAAGTATGCGAAGTGGAGGAAGGGGAGTGTTTGGCTAGGGTTTGTGTTTTAATTTTAAAAAGAGTAATTAAGTAATTTACGTATTAAGTTAGGACGACGATTAGTAATTTTTAGGACGACCTTTAACCCTTCAGATAAATATTGAATAATCGGATGTCAACGATCTTTAACTTGTGGTTCTAGTGCTTTATGTGAACGCAAGAAATTGCAGTTTTGTAAGTCTCCTGACAGCAGCTGGGAATATCATCATCTCTTGAGAGCAAACCAATCGAAATAACTTAACTTGAGCACAAGATTAAACCGCTACCCTTAAGACAGAGTAATCCGAACCAGTCTCGGGTTTTGACGGGGTCCGACATGCACATGGAACTCAAAGCTGTGAGCAGGACTATGATATGAGTATGAGTGCTTTGGTGGCAGAGGTTTCAGTTTCGTCATTATCATGGTGAAATTGCAGTTGGGAAGAAAGGAAAAGCACATTTGTCATTTCACTTTGTTTCATTTCGGACTCATAGTATGTGAACTTACTGCCCCTTGAGTCGGCGCAAACTTATTATGATTGTTTGTGTGCTTTCATAGTCGTTATGGTATCGTAGTATATGTTGTCATCTGATGGTAGAATTTCATCTGATGTATTGTTTTGTTTCTGTAGGAAGTAAAACGGTGCCTAATAAAAGCAAGAGTTGTTTGTGTTGTCAATGGCGGTCGGATAAGTTAGAGCTATATATAGTTATCCCAAAAAAGACATTAATTTATTGTTTCAGTAGATAAACATTGAATGGCAGGATGGTACTTAGCACAAATGACTCAGCATGCGGACATACTTCTAATCAGTGTCGACCTCTTGATTCTAGTGCTCTCTATCAATGTGAGGAGCTGTTTCTTCTGTTCTTTTCTGGAGATATCCATCATCTCCTGGAAGCTCTAGTTTGACTTAGTAACACCTACTATGATTGTTTGTATGCCCTCGTAATTGTCATGATGTTGTCGTCCTGATAGAAGAAGTTGTCGGATGCAATCTTTTCTTTCTATAGAAATAAATCAGCGCCTAATAAAGTTTGAGTTGCTTATGTTATTATCGACTTTAGTTAAGTTTGAAGGTGTGCTTAAAAGAGCCTTTTATTGTCTTGAGGATGAAGATTCTGCACAATCTAATTGTTCCATTCTATCAATGTGAGGAGCTGTTTCTTCTGTTCTTTTCTGGAGATATCCATCATCTCCTGGAAGCTCTAGTTTGACTTAGTAACACCTACTATGATTGTTTGTATGCCCTCGTAATTGTCATGATGTTGTCATCCTGATAGAAGAAGTTGTCGGATGCAATCTTTTCTTTCTATAGAAATAAATCAGCGCCTAATAAAGTTTGAGTTGCTTATGTTATTATCGACTTTAGTTAAGTTTGAAGGTGTGCTTAAAAGAGCCTTTTATTGTCTTGAGGATGAAGATTCTGCACAAACTAATTGTTCCATTCTGGTGTAATTGTCATTAATGGAAGGACACAATAATGAAATAGCTCTTGGAAAGAAGTAATTATCATTTCACTTTGTTTCTTCTCAGACCCACCACAGGCCACAGCCACAGCAATTAAAGTTGTTGTGCCAAAGTGACAGTGAGTAAAGCTTAGAATGTGAGTGGTGGTAAAACGAGAGGGTTGTGTCTTTCTGGTACTTCGCCCACACCACGCTGCGGTCCGTGGACTCCACGTCGGTCCCGTTGCATTTGTCCTTGTAGCTGGGTCTGTGCTCGATCTGCCGTCACGCCCAATAGAACCACCATGAGGCCCAATAGAACCAGGCCCGACTTTAGGAATGACAAGTGACAACGGGTAGGGGTGTTCAAACGGTTTGGTTACAATGGTAACCGTTTTAACTGGTATTATTTGTATAATTTGGTTTGGATAATCTGGATAATTGGTTTGGTTTGGTTAAAGTTTTTAGCTTGTTTGGTTTAGGTGGTTTGGTTTGGTTTCAGACACTCATAACCAGTCAAACCAAATTAATCAGTTAAGTAATTAGTCATATATCTAACATATATTATATACACATAATACTTTGCATAACCACTCAAGAGTTAACGTTCATCCCTTTTAGACTCATAAAATATAAAGCTCAATATTGCTCATATAGTGTATATTTGTGAAGTTTGGGGTTTATTTTTTTGGAATATGGGGAAGGATTTGGAAAATTGAATATGGATCTTGATCTTGGTTCTTTTGGTACCAAGACTCTTTTTTATTTTTAGATTTGGGTAGAACGATTTGATAGGGAACAAATGGGGAACAGATGGAGAACAGATCAGGTCATGAGTAACCTGCCCACATCAGCATGACATCAATATCCTCTCTCTCCTGGAAGGTCTTTTATCTATTATCTTTTAATCTTTAACGGGCGATTTCTCTCTCATTTTAAGTCGAAATTTAATTTTTTTTGCACAGATAAATCAGATTAAATGTGTTTTTTAAAATGATATCCAATTTGATATATATTTAGTACAAGAAAAATGAATAATTTTTTACCAGTCATTACCATTTGGTATGCTCCTATTTAATACCATATGGTAAGAAAGCGCACAATGATGGTATGAACATACCAATATGATAAGAAGGTTGAATACATGGTAGTAGGAGTATACTAACTGTCATTTACAACTTTCATCATTGTTTACTACAAGTTACCACTAGTTACCACCCACATACCATAGTGGTAAAGTATGGTAATTTTTTATCCAATATTTTTTTCACCCAAAAATTTATAGATCCAATAGATCATGATGAACTCGTTCCTTCTGAGCAAACGTTTTCAAAAACGAAGAAGTTACCATATGGTATGTAGTTGGTAAAAAAAAGTGTCTCGAAATATATTGAATTTTTTTTTCATTTTGTAGAGCACAACGAACTTGTTCCATCTGTGCAAAAAAAAATTGAAATCCGAGTTAGAACGAAGAAGATAAGAGCCGATTAAGAAAACTAGGGAAAGTAAAATGCCTTTAATTGACAACCTTTAGATCTGAATATTCTGAACCCACTTAGATCTAAAAGTCCAAATTTAATTACTCATAGGTCAGTAACCAATGGTTATTGGCCCTATCCTAAGCCCAACAAATGGATTGAAGAACACAGATTGTGAAGGAATGGTGGGTTTGGATGATGGATTCATGGTTGCCGGTTTGAATCTTGATGATAACTTTCAATATCTCCTATTATTAGGGGAATTGATTGCCGTTGGATTGGATGTCGCCGGCACAGGCGGCAGCGGAGGAGTGGGAGGAGGGATTGAAGCTGGCGCCGGGGACGGGATGGGGCAGGAGTCGGAGTCGGAGTCGGGTGGTGGTGGTGGGGAGTGTTTCTACGGTGGTCGGATTCCGCGGCGGCAGTGGAGGTTGGGTCAGGTAGGGTATGGGGGTTTGTAGAAAAGAAATTAGTTTTTTATTTTTTAATGAATGTAATAATGAGGTGGAAAATATATTTTATTTTTAATAAATTTTTAGTTGCCACGTCACTAAGTTAACAGTCAACTTTGAGAGTTGACTGCCACATCAGCAAAAGTTAACGGAGTTGTACGGAGAGTGACCAAACGTGAACGGTTTTAGTAAACTGAAGTACAACCAATGAATTTAAATATTTCGAGTGACCAAACTTGAACGGTTTTTGTAATCTCGGTGACCAACCATGCACTTACTAAATTGAAAGGTGCAACTTTTGACTACAGGGGCACGCGTGCTCCATCTGATATTACTCCTTTCTCGTAGTTGTTAATCTCTAAGGGCCTTCCCTCTTCCACTTCACACGACATTAGTTCGACGAAGCGGAGCGGGCCAGAGCATAGCAGAGCGGAGCAACAACTATATACATATCTACCCCGCTTTAAGAGCGGATCGGGTCGAGATCCACCCCATTTAAGAACGAAGCGGATTTTATCTGCCCCATTACAGATTGGATCGGGAAAAATCCACCGGGGCGGGTCTGGTTTGCCATCCCTACCGACTTGACATGATAATTACTCGCTGACCACCTTTGGCTTGAATAAGTTCAAACCTACATACGGTTTTGCCAAAAAGACACAATGATTGGATGTTCACATATGTTGTAAATACCAATGTTGTCAATAGCGAACTAGAGTATTACCCGATAATGTGAACGACTCGGTCTTTAGCGGTCCAACCATCATTAAACGTTTAAAAACCTTTAGAAATCCATACCTAATAAACAATCAGTATAAATAGTGGACACTTCTTAATCATGGTAAACCATGAATAAATTAGTAAATTACACTCTTAACTTCTAACAATTCCAAAACATGCAAGCGGGGAGCCGAGAGTGACTACAGGTACCGGGGATGGCGACATGAAGTGACGACGAAGCGGGGGAGTTGCTACGCGAAGAGGCACGGTGATGTAGACTGGCGATGGTGAGTTGGGAGCTGCTACGCTAACTAGGTATGGCGACGATGCTGACGAGAAGCTATGACAGGAAGTATTGACGGCGGTAGGGTCTGGCGCCATTCTTTTCCCTCTGTTCACGAAGAGTCGCAGACAAAAACTGAATTAGAGTTAGGGTTTCTTTCAAAGCCCCATGATTTTGCCTTTCGTTTTTTATTTTCTTTTTCAATTTTTTTATTAAATAAAACGGCCGGAAGGGGAAAATCGAGCGACCGGTTCGAATGGTTAACCACCTTGGCCACTCGTTGACCGCTTCATAAAACCATAGCGGCTAAATGACTAGTTCGAGCCGGTTTTATGGCCAGGTGACGACTTTAGCGGTTCTGCCGGCCGACTCAGTCCGGTCTTAATAACACGCAAATACACATTAAATAACCGGATGCTACTAAGCACCACGAAAATATTTCTAATCAGTATCAACGATCTTTAACTCGTGGTTCTAGTCCTTTTTGTCAATTTAAGGATTTGCAGTTTTGTTTTTACCCTAGCCGGGTTAACATCATCTCATGTGAGCTCTAGTTTTGAGTTAGTACACTTGTTATGGTTGTCAGAACGTACTCAAGGTTGTCATGGTGTTGTCATTTGATAGCAGAATTCGTCCGATGTATTGTTTTCTCTCTTTAGAAACAAAAACCGTGTCTAATACAAATATGAATTGTTTATATTGTCAATGACAGCATAGAGATAAGTTTGAACCATATATAGATGTTTAAGAGATTCGTTAATTTAATGTTCAGACACTATATTGTAAATAAAGTTTTGAAAGGTAGGGTGCTATTTGACACAAACTAATGTCTCATTCAAACTGAGCTATTCATGGTCTGAACTCATCCAATCGCCATAAGACCAGAACTTGTATGCCCTCTTCCACCCTCAACCCTATGGTCCCAACGGGTAGAGAAAGAGAAGTTCATCAAATATGTACACGGTTTGGCTCAAGATAGGGTGCATAACCATGGGTTATGCACCCATCAATAACCAAATATGTACCCTTTATTTAGAAAATCCAGATTTAACGATGGAGGATTAAAGACCATTTTTATTTTTTCTAGTTTTCTTAATTGACTCATATCTTTTTCGTTTTAACTCGGATTTTAATTTTTTTTTTTTTTTGCACAGATGGAACGAGTTCATCGTGCTCTACAAAATGAGATCAATTTTCAATATTTTTTGAGAAAAAAAATTCTGGCCTCTCGGTACCAACTGCATACCATATGGTATCTTCTTCGTTTTTAATTCGTTTTTGAAAACGTTTGCACAGAAGGGACGAGTTCATCATGATCTATTGGATCTACAAATTTCTGGGTGAACAAATTACAGGACCAAAAAATACCACACAATACCATACAATACCACCCTGGTACGGGGTGGTATCTTGTGGTATACAATGTTAAAAGTCGTAAATGACAATTAATATACTTCTACTATCATGTATTCAACCATCCTACAGTCTTGGTTTGTTCATAGCACCATGGTACGTTTTTCAAACCATAGGTATGCTTTTATTTCAATACCAGTCAATACTCAATACCATATGGTATAGACTGGTAAAAAATGATTCAATTTTTTTTGTTTGAAAAATATATCAAAATGGATCATTTTGAAGAGCACAATTAATCTGATCTAACTGTGCAAAAAAATTAAATTTCGACTTAAAATGAGTGAGAAATCGTCCGTCAAAGATTAAGGAGGGAAAAATTAAAGGCTTTCTAGGAGAGAGAGGATGCTGATGTCATGCTGATGTGGACGGATTACTCATGGTTACTCAACATAAGGTTACTGACCTGATCCATTCCCACACGGTTGTGGTAGTAGATAATTGGAACTTCAAAGAGACTTGCCGCCGAGTCTAAAGCTGTGCGGGGAAGTAAGAAGAAAGAGCGGGCGGGTTGACCCGCAAGTAGGACTATGAATGCTTTGGTGGGAGCAAGGTTGTCAAACCGGTTTATGCCAGTGTGCCGGTTTAGCAAGTGGAATGGTTCGACCGGTGGCACATACCGGTTTGTGCGGTTCATGCCGGTCAATATTACAAATAAAATTATAAATACTCATATTTAAAAATGACACTTAACGTCGATACCTAAAAACTTATACTTGAATCCAACAAATAACATCAGGGTTAATTGCATGGTTGGTCACTGACATTACAAAAAGCGTTCATGTTTGGTCACTCGAAATATTTAAATCCATTTTTGGTCACTAACTTTACAAAAAATGTTCATTTATGGTCACTCTCCGTTAGCTGCCGTCCAACGCCGTTAATGGCGTCCGTTAAGTGATGACGTGGCTGACGGATTCGCCTAATCATCACCTTTTAACCCAAATATTGACTGACCCGACCCGCCACGTCATTTAAACTCTCCATGTCAGCCAAACCTAACCAAACCTCTAACCAAACCAAACCCGACCCATAAATAAAGAACTGACCCGACCCACTAATTAATCTACCCACCTTTGACTAAAACCCTAATCGAAGACAAATCCCGGCCGCCAAGAAGAAGAGCGGGCCGGCGGCCTCCAGCTTCAGCTTCGACAAGAAGGACAGCCCCGCCGCCGGGGACAGGAATCAGACCATCCCTCTGGCCTCCGATATCTGGAGCATCACGGGTGTGGCGCCCATGGTGGCGCCTCCTAAGCGAGGTAATCACGGCACGGCGGCGGCGATTCAGATTTCTTCCGAGATCTGGAGCATTGTCGACGGTCCTCCGCGTATGGCTCCGCCACCGATGATGATGATGAATTTGGCGGCGGCGGAGAGGGAAAGGGGGTCGACGATGTCGCCGGTTAAGAGGGAAGCGAGGAAGAAGAATTCGTACGGATCTCCAGGGAGTAGGCGTGGGGAGAGGCAGGGTCCGTACCTCGCTGGGAGGGAGAGGTCGTCGCCGCTGTCGAGGGAGTCGGAGAGAGAGCGGCGGCCGGTGGCGATTTCACCTCAGAAGCGAGAAAGGGAGAGGAATTCGTCGTCTTGGTCGGTGAGGAAGGATTCGAGAAGAATCGGAGAAGTCCGGGAGACATTATTGTTGGGCTCTGTTTTGGGGGCGAGGGAGAAGTTGTTGTGGGCGAGGGCGAGGAAGCTCTGGCGGACGATTTCTTCCCAGGCTGAGTGGAGCAGCGAGAGGGATAAACCCATATGGAGCTGTGAATTCTATGATTGATCAAGTTTTTTGAACTGGATTGGATTGGGGGAAAGATTGGATTTTTTCTTTCTTGCTTCCAAGTTCAGGGGTTTCTTTCAAGCTTGGGGAAGGATGAATGCGAATGAATAATGGAGGTGGGTTTGGGTTTCTGAGTCTTGACCGGAGGGGATTTATATAGAGGGAGTAGAGAGTAGGTTGAGAGAGAGGGATGGATGGGTGGGCATGGCGTTGGCAGGGGATAAAGAAATGGCAGAGAGCATGGAAAGTCTTCGGGGGTAAGGGGGGAAGACGACCGAGTTGGACAGAGAGCGTGGAAAGTCTTCGGGGGTCGGTGAAGAAGGATTCGGCGAAGGCGATGTCAGCGAAAGAATCGGGGAAGTCCGGGAGCGAGTCGGTCAGTTTGGAGTCGGAATCGTGACCGGCGTGTGATGAGGAGTCGTTCTCCGCCTTCTCCTCGAGAAAACCTTGGACGAGATGGGAGAGGCTGGGTAGATTAATTGGTGGGTCGAATCAGTTCTTTATTTATGGGTCGGGTATGGTCTAGTTTGTTTAGAGGTTTGGTTAGGTTTGGCTGACATGGAGGGTTTAAATGACGTGGCGGGTCGGGTCAGTCAATATTTGGGTTAAACGGTGATAATTAGGCGAATCCGTCAGCCACGTCATCACTTAACGGACGCCATTAATGGCGTTGGACGGCAGCTAACGGAGAGTGACCATAAATGAACGGTTTTTTGTAAAGTTAGTGACCAAAAATGGATTTAAATATTTCGAGTGACCAAACATGAACGCTTTTTGTAATGTCAGTGACCAACCATGCAATTAACCCAATAACATCAATATTTAACTTTTATACTAAGTAAAATTACATGTTCAATGGGCAGTCCATGCTAGTTTTTATTAGGGCAATTGTTGCCAATTCAACGGTGAAATCACCTGCCCAAAAGAAGTAGCAGCGTTAGCGGGCCAAATTAATAGGCCGAATAAGCTACAGTTAGACTGGAGTTCTGGAGAATTAAATCTGCGGAGCTGACGTTACTGACCCCTCCAGAAAATATGGGCTGCTTTCAGATGGCTTATGTGGCAAAATTCAAATATACACGGTTGAATATATATTTGGGTTGACTTCTCTCTGTTTCATTTCAGAACCTCAGTAATGGAAGTTACTTCCCCTTGGTAAAAGGCGAGTAAAGATTAAAAAGTGACGGTAAAAATTTAACATCACAAAATGGCTACAATACAAGTTATCAGTGCCAGCAAGGTTCTCTTGGTTTCGTGAAAAATTTCCTGCCAGCTCTTTCATTGAAGAATACCAACTAATTATCAATGCCGGAGATTAACTCTAGTGATCTGCATTTGCACGAATAGTAAGTAGCATGTGATACACTCGAATATGATCCTTATCTTTTTCGTCGACCGGTGTGTAACCATCTTTTAGAGTAGCTCTAGCTTCGAGTTAGTACAAACTTGTTATGATCATGTTGGGTAGATGGCTCGGGTCTAGCCGCGCCAAGGAAGCATTCCAGCACCGCCCCAGAAGATCCAGCAGCGTTAGTACTATCGCAACCAAGTCGCGACCGCGCGAAGGTCTCGGGCGCGGCGAAGCCCACACTCGCGGGCAAAGATCCCAGATGCCGAACGACGACGTTCCAATCAAGTGTTGACCCAGGCCAGGAAACCAGAAAACGACACCGCATTTCCCGAGGAGAGGTCACATCATAGTCCTAGGTATAATCATGGATAAATCCTTAGTCCTAGGTAGAGGTGTGGCCTAAACTCCTGACATGTCAGTGGTCATGTCACGTTGGATAACTCACCCACCACCATGTAGCCTATAAATATGGCATTTACTCCGGTGGGTGAGAGATCGGATTTTTCAGACTCTATATCTATAAACTACGACTTCTCTCTCTAAAATATCATTCTCCCATTCCTTTGTTCTTCATCCAATAGCGAATTCTCATTGCTTACTCTTCTCGACCCATTCTGCTGAACCTCACTCCTACACGCAGTTAGGTTCAAACAATTGGCGCCCACCGTGGGGCCTGTAGAGAACGATAGAAAATCGACTAATGGCGGAACATAATCTCAGCTCACCCGATTAGGCAACGCCCATCAAGGCAATAACGAACCAAAGGGCGTTCGCGGAAACCAGCAACCTCAACACAGTACTTATCGAAGAAGAAGAGCCCGAGCTGACAACCAAAGAAATTAGGCAACTAATGACAAAGCAAAACGATGTCATAGCCGATATGCAAAAGCAAATGAGCCAGGTCATAGCGCTCATGATGAGCAAGGAGGCCACGTCAACGGCACATGTGGCACCAACCGCGCCGCAACAAGCGTTAGGAGAGGCGTCAGAACCTGTCCCGCTACCATAACAAGTGCCGGTTGAGGCACCCGCATATGAAATGCAACAAGCGGAGCCGCGGGCTAGGGCGGACCTCAGCTTCTTGGAGCAACATTTATTCCGCGCAATACCGCCCTCACCCACCCAAAAGAACCCTCCACCAACCATTAAGCGCGGAAATCATGGCGGAGCACCTAAGCGGAATGCCACCCGCCCTCCCAACATATAACGGAGCAACCGATCCAGAGGACCACGTAAGCACCTTCTGCCTACGGATGCAACTCCAAACTAACTCCAACGCGTCGCTATGCAGAACCTTCCCTTCAACATTCTCTGGCATATGCCTCGATTGGTACAACAGACTTCCCAATAGAATCATCCGCTCATTCAAAGAGTTCATACTCTTATTCACCACCAAGTTTGTGTCACAAAAGAGAAGACCACTCCATCTCAAGGCCTTTATCGACCTCAGGCAAAAAGATGGGGAAGGCTTACGGGCATTCTACGCCAGATGGTCCAGGGTGGCAATGGTCATGCGCGACCTCACCCCCGAGACCGCCGCCCATCACCTCATGTACGCCACCACCAACATGGAACTCAAGCGGGCATTGGCAAAAAGACCAGTCACGCTCTCGACAGAATTAGAGGTCAAAATCGAGAAGGCCATCACACTGGAAGAAACCTTAGGCACGGGTTCTGTCAGGCGCTTCGAACCCTCGAAACCACTCAGAGAGGATCAAGGGCGGAAGCAACTCCCAGTTCCACGGGAACATCTAATACAATTGCATAGTGGGCCGAGGCGCCCGCCCACCCTTACAGAGTAGGCGCTGCGAAGACGTTCACCAGAAAGTCGCCCGCCAAACACTTACACACCGCTCAACGACTCGGTGAAAAACGTGTTACATGTGCTACGCGAGAAGGGTTATAAAATCAATTGGCCCACACCTGTGAGGGCCTTACCACACATGCGCGACCCAGGCAAGCGCTGCGACTTTTACAGGGAGACGGGCCATATGACTGAGGATTGCAGGGAGCTGCGGTACGAAATTGAGGGCCTCAACAGAAGGGGACTATTAACCGAGTTCATCCGCGGAGCGGAAGAGCAGAAGGAACAGCCCAAAAATCCGCCACCCCCTCCACAACCCGATTATAACAAAGCCACCGGCTCGTAAGTAGTGCGGAAAGAAATAGGGGTGGTAACGGTGGAAGGAGACCGCCCAAAGAAAAAGACCAAACGTGAGCGCGCGATGGAATGCGCAATGTCCGAGGTGCAACAAAAATGTAACCTAAGCTTTGACGACACTGAATTCCCGCAAGGGATTCCGTCAGAAGACCCACTCGCCATCACTCCACTGGTGGCCGCCTGCAAAATTCACCGCCTACTGACAGATGGGGGTAGCGCGGCATACATCCTCTTTAAAAGCACTCTCGACCAAATGGACATCGACCTGCGCCTAATCAGGCGCGCGGAAGGGAACCTGGTCGGATTCTCAGGAACAAGGGTTCTAGTGATCGGCGTGATCACTCTTCCGGTGGTAATTGGAGACCAAGAGCCGCGAGTTTCAAAACAAGTCGAGTTTACCATTGTCGACTGCAAGTCTCCTCACAACGGCATCTTTGGTCAACCTTTCCTCGCCAAGTTCATGGCACTCTCATCAACGTGCCACCAGAAACTCAAATTCCCCACCAAGGCAGGAATCAGAGAAGCTTGCGTGACACCATGGGGAGTGCCGAAAGGTGAAGGAGAAGTCCGCCAGACAAACATCGTCGACACAAGGGCAGAGGACCCGCGTCCAGAATCCATGGACTCTGATTTCGAAGTGGCGCTCGACCCCACCAAACTAGAAAGGAAGGTCCGCGTCTCAACGCACGTCCACAATGACGTGATTGAACCGCTGATAGCGCTCCTAAAAGAGTACAAGGAGTTGTTCGTTTGGTGCACTGAGGACATGCTAGGAGTACCAAGGCAGGTAGCGCAACATTGCCTTGCGGTTCCCGCTAACGCGGAACCAAGGCAAAAAGCACGACGAAACTTCACGGGTGACAAACTGAAAGCCATAGAAGAAGAAGTCGCACGATTACTCGCCGCCGGGCTGATCCGCGAAGTGAAATATCCAAAGTGGTTGGCCAATGTGGTATTGGTGAAAAAATCCTCCGGAGCTTGGTGGATGTGCGTCGATTATACAACGATCAACAAGGTGTGCCCAGGGGACCCTTACCTGCTACTGCGCATCGACCAATTGATTGACGCCACTTCCGACCACAAGACCCTGTCTTTCCTAGACATGTTCTCAGGATATCATCAAATCCCAATGTCCCGCGAAGACGAAGAAAAAACGGCTTTCATGACGCCATTCGGAAACTTCTGCTTCGTCGGAAAGCCAGGATTGAAGAACGCGGGCGCCACTTACCAAAGAATGATCGACGCGGTGTTCTCACAACAGATAGGACGGAATATTGAGGCATACGTGGATGACCTCATCGTCAAAACCAAGAAGGGCAACTCCCATTTAGAAGACTTGCGCGAGACTTTTGAAGCGCTCTGCAAACACAGCCTCCGCTTAAACCCCTTGAAGTGTGTATTTGGAGCGGAAGCGGGAAAATTTTTGGGCTTTATGATCACCAAGCGGGGCATCAAAGTCGACCCGAAGCAGATCACGGCCGTCCAAGAGTTGCGAGCGTCGAGGAGCGCGGTAGAGATACAATCCTTGAATGGCAAGATAGCGGCCCTGGGAAGATTCATACCAAGATCAGCCGACAAGTGCGCCCCATTCTTCAAAATGCTCAAGAGCGGCACGCGATTCACATGTTCCAAGGAATGTGAAGTTGCCTTCCAAGACCTCAAATCATATCTTGTATCCCCCCTGTACTGACCGCTCCCAAGCTTAATGAAATTTTTTTTCTGTATCTTGCTGTGTCAACAAGAGCCGTGAGCGTGGTGCTAATATCTTGGAGAGACAGCCAGGGTGAGCGCCCCCGTGTATTACACGTCGCGAACCCTAGTTAGCGCAGAAACAAGGTATTCCCCGATTGAGAAAGCCAAGAGTAAGCGCGTCGCAAAAACTAAGCCCCTACTTTCAAGCGCATTCGATCACAGTCCTGACCAACCTTCCGCTGAAAAAGATACTGACGTCAATGGAAGTGTTCGGACGGATGGTTAAATGAGCGGTCGAGTTGCCAGAGTACGACATCCAATACGCTCCAAGACCAGCGATAAAAGCGCTGATACTAGCAGATTTCATTGCCGAAGGAGTCACTCTTGATACAACACCAGAAGGGGTATGGGAGGTGTACGTGGATGGCGCGGCGAGCAAACATGGGGCTGGAGCGGGTGTCGTCGTGCGCACCCCGACGGGCGTCGTCCACGAAATAGCGATCTGATTCAGAGTGTTAAAAACAAACAACGCAGCTAAGTACGAGGCCATCTTGGCGGGAATGACGGCCGCCAATGAGCTGGGCGCAAGAACAATCAGGGTACTATTTGACTTTTTACTGGCAGTCAACCAGCTGAATGGAACCTTCGACGCAAAAGAGGACACGCTCGCACAGTACATGCAGCGTGTCAAGCGAAGAGCAGGTACCTTTGAAGCGGTGACATATGTGCAAATACCAAGGGAGGAAAACATGCACGCGGATGCACTATCCAAGCTAGCAACCGCCAGTGACTTCGAATTGACGCGCCTAGTCTCGGTCCAAAAGGAAGAAGAGAAAAGCCACCAGGACATCATGGTCAACACCACGCAAATAGCGTAGAAAGAAGACTGGAGAGCCCCAATAAAAAGATATTTAGAAGATGGTGTAGTGCCAGAAGACAGTAAAGAGGCATGGACCCTAAGGCAGAAAGCAGCCCGCTGCACGCTCATTGGTGGGGAGCTGTATCGCTGGTCGTACTCCTGCATGTTCTTAAAATGCATCGGATAAGAAGAGGCGCATAACCTAGTGCGTGACCTACATGAAGGCTTGTGCGCAATGCACACGGGGCGCGTAGCATGGAATGAACTATCTTGCTGATACTACTGGCCACTAGTAAAATAGGACACGAAAAAATATGCGGACCAATGCCACAAGTGTAAAGTGAACGCGCTCCAGCACCACCTACCGTCGACCGAGCTTCAAGGCAACCTAATCCCATGGCCCTTCGCGCAATGGGGAATGGATCTTTTGGGCCCCTTCCCCACGGCAAAAGGAAAGCGCAAATACATAATCGTGGCGGTGGGCTATTTCACCAAGTGGATTGAAGCGGAAGCTCTAGCCTTGATAATCGCGCAACAGGTGACTCGCTTCCTAAAAAAAAATATCCTCGCGCGATTCGGTGTTCCGAACGCGCTCGTATTTGACCATGGAAAGCAGTTCGACTGCGCGGAGGTAATAGACTTTTGCGACAAAGTGGGAGCCATCGCAAGATTCGCGTCGGTGGCCTACCCTCAAGCCAACGGCCAAGCGGAGTCGGCAAATAAGGCAATTTTACACGGCTTACACACCCGCCTTGATGAGGCGAATGGAAAGTGGGCGGACGAGCTTCACATAGTGCTATGGGCGCACCGCATCACATTCAAAGTGGCGACAGACGAAACCCCCTTCGCCCTAACATATGGCATAGACGCGATGATCCCCATCGAGACGACCACACCCACCTACCACATCACGATGTATGATGAGGAGAGCAATAACCAAGCACAGCTGCTAGATTTAGAGCTGGCGCAAGAACGACGAGAATTGGCAGCCATAAGGCTAGCCGCCACTAAAGAGTAAGTAGCTAAGTACTACAATGCAAAGCTAGTTCCACATGGGAAACTCGCCTCAACGTGGGAAGGCCCTTACCTAGTCCGCGAGGTTATCGGCGCCAACACTTTCAAGCTCAGCGAGTTGGGGGGCACAAAAATTCCAAGGACGTGGAATGCGCAAAATCTCAGAAAATACTGCCGCTCCACTTAATATGTACCTTGTCCACAACAGCGCCTTTTTGCGCGAAGAAATAAAATGTCAAGTTCGACAGAACATGTTTAGCAATAATCATGAATTATTCGCGCCACCTCTCCACGAGCACAAAACATACATAGCGTCAATCACGAATTGCGCGAAAGTTCTACGGAACACTAATAGCAATAGTCATGAATTATTCGCGCCACCGCTCCACGAGCACAAAACATACATAGTGTCAATCACGAATTGCGCGAAAGTTCTACGGAACATGAATAGCAATAATCATGAATTATTCGCGCCACCGCTTCACGAGCACAAAACATACATAGCGTCAATCACGAATTGCGCGAAAGTTCTACGGAACATAAAAAAGGGGCTTTAAACGCGTCACACGAGAGGGAAAAGAGAAAGGAGCTTTTTGGATTTCAATTAGCGAGAGCAATATTCACGAGCCCAAGGGCGCGATATAACATAGCAAAAAAAAAGGTAAAAATAACAACGGCAAAAGAGCCCATAAAATCATACCAGCGCGACTACACTTAATCTATTAAACATCAGTGTTAGCCTCAGTGGTAGCCTGCGCCGTCTCAACTCGCTCTTCGCCACCAGACTCAGCTTCCTCATCCTCCCTTGCGCCTGTGCGCACCTCCTCGTCCTCAGCCTCCGGCTCAGAATCCGACTCTAAGGACCTCTTCTCGCCCAGCCACATCTGAAATGTCGCACCATCGCGCGAGTTTTCCAGCGGATCCCCGGGTTTTCCGGTCGCACCTTCTTGCGGATCGCGATCACAGCCTTGGTCATTGCATCGGCCAAAATCCTCCCAAAAGAGGGGGGAGATTTGTACTCGCGGACTGCAGCAACCTGCTCTACGCGCACAGATTCCGCCCTTGCCACATCATGAAGGCGGACCAGATCCTCCTTCTCCTTCTGGAACTCCTCACGGACCTGCTTCAGATTCTCCGCGTGGCCTGCTTCCAGCTGCTTCTTCTCCTCAGGGAGTTCGCTTCGCAACTCCTCTCGGATGTGGTCGCGCTCTTCCGCACTAACCCGCTCCTTCGCGCCTCCACATCCTCTGCCAACTTGCTCTGCAGAACGCCGAGCTGCTCCATAGCCTCGTTGGCTTTGTTTGCCGCCAATTCCGCGTGACCCTCCGCCCCAGCTAGCTTGCCTTCCAGTTGCACAATCCTCGACTCATCCGCCTTCAGCTTCGCGCATTGCGAAGCTCGCACTTGCTGGGCGCGGAAAGTTGCCATCAAACCCTCCATTCACAATGCCACAAGACTTAGCAAAATTCCATCTAACAAGAAAGACAGACTACGCGTAAGATTAACCTAATCTTACCGCGAAGTGAACCTGAGCCAGGTCCTGCAGGGGATCTGACTTTTCCAGCCGAGTTGGGAAGCTCAGCAGAGGGCCAACCGCTTGCAGAGCAATCTGAGCGGCCAAACTATTGCAAGCCGTGCCGGTGTGGATCCGCACGTTGCGGAAGTAATTGATAGCAGCAACTCCTCCAAAACCGCCCATCTCCGGCAGCTCCGTTGAACAGTTGCCCCGGATGAACTGCCAGCCGCAACCCTATAAGGGCGAGGAGATCTACCCACTCGCGCCTCCGGGTCAGAAATTACTAGCGGCAGCTCTTACGCCGCCTGCGCGGGTTGCTCGACCACTCGAGCCACCTTCCTAGACTTCTCAGCAACCAACGGCTGTTCCACCTCCTTCCTCTTCGCGGCGCTGGGTTGTGCGCTCTATTTCTTCTTGTAACACCCTACCCTATACGTTTTGCCTAATCATATTGTTCATACAATTGCAGCGGAAATAATCTCGGGTGTTACATTAATTATCAAAATTTACCTAAATAAAATTTCGACATGAATTACTCGCGTAATGGGCTAACAGTTCTTGCAACTTAACCTGCAAAATAATTCATCACAAACATATATACTCACAACCATATGCATTGGCTTTTCTTAGCCATAGTCACACTTTTCATACTTCCTAACTGCATACCATACTTATACATACCATAATCGTCACAACTTACACAGTTACACAACATATACACATATCATTAACTTTCCACACCTGTGGATATCTCACACTAGATCAGAAGCTAGTATGCACATGAAAAACGTTCTCAAAACATTCTTTTACAAAAAGGTGTGGATCACTGGCCAAAATCCCGAGTAGTAGTCCAAGCACAGAATAGTTGAAGACCATACCTCATCCTGGCTTCAACTCTAGCTCCTCTCCCACCTAACACTTATCTACTGCTGCTGCTGATGATCTGCTTACACATAGCATAAGCAGAGAAGAAGAATAAAAGAGGGTCAGCTCATAGCTGAGTGAGATAATCATAGCATCGTGAGTTCATAACAGAGCATACCCCTACCATACATCTAGCAAACGAGCCAAAACACTAGGATCGGACCTCAGCCATCCTCATATCCCAATAAGCAAAAGACTCAACCACTTTGACTTATGCATATGCATCTTATCATGTTTTAATCATAGGCGCCTGGCCACTCCCATGCTAATAACTCTCCCGGGAAACATACCCCACATCCCGTCGGATGTAGTCATACATACCCCAACATCCCGTCGGATGTGGTCATACATACCCCACACCACTATGGGTGTAGTCATACCCCGACACCACTCTAGGTGTGGTCATATCTCGTAAGAATTCTTCAGTCACCACCACATGAGAGGTGTGACTATCATACATATCATAATAGAGTAATAGCATAGGGAGCCCTAATTACTATGTAGTTGACCGTGAGACCACAACACTCATATTTGGTATCCTTATACATGATTCATATCTCATCTTGCTTAATCATAATTCATTACTTACACATGTACTTGACTTGGCCATAATTGGCTCAACATAGGTAAATCAGGAGTCGTATAATTGCACTTCCTCGGGATAAACCCTCGTGCAAGTCATCATCCTTAAACATCATAATATTATCAGGGAATATATATTTTCCCATTTGTGCATCCAAATACAACAATCATGAAAAATCATACCCAATCACCTTTTCGAACCCTCGTAAAGCATATTAACAGTCAAGCCCACAATTTGCAACATATACACAATCATCAGCATAAACAAGGTTCATATTGATTAGGGCAAGTCAATAATATCATACAGCAATCCAGGGTTCAACATATAGCACAAAAGTTCATACACCCCTAATCATGCCATTCTAGTTCACCTAGGTCAATTCTAAGCATCAATATAATAATCGTGATACGACAAACCCGGTATGCCGTGCTAATCCCTCACCAGTTCTGGCCATTCAAACACCGATTTAACCTTCCCGTAGTAAAACGTCACTTTCACGAACGAACCCCGAATTAAAATCCGAGACCGTCCTAATATCCCCTGCAGTATCCCCGTCAATATTAGTTCTGGGCTCCGGGTCAAATTCTCGATAAAAACACATCAAACCCTGGCCGGAGCTAAATTCAGCGGTTTGGACCCCGGCCTAAATAATAGCCGAAATTCAGGGATTAGAACTAGAGGATTGATTACCTCGCTGCAGGAAGCTCGTATATGAAATTTGGGCTCAATCCGGCTTCCGGATACTCCGAAACCCTAATTTGGCAGATCGGGAATTCAAGAAATTCCTGAACCAAAAACTCGTTTTAAATCTCTAAATCGATAAATCACGATGTATGGATGAATTAGGAATTACTTACGGGATTTTTGGATCATTGTAGCTTAAGAATCGAGCTGGGGAATTTTTCCCCCGACGTTCCCCTGAACTTCGCTTGCTCTGCTTCTCTCGGTCCAATTTAATGGAACCAGAAGAAGATATGGAATTGTGGTACGGGGGAAAGAAGGGGAAATGTATATATATGTGGGGCGCCAATTAATATATATATATATAATTAATACGTATACTTATCCGATCGATCGATAATCCGATTTTCGTCGAAATAGTGTCGAAATGCTCGATTTTAAATCGCGAACTTTCTAACGATCGAAATATGGGTTTTGCCGGAACGGGATGTTACAATTCTCCCCTCCTTAAAAGATTTCGTCCCCGAAATCTAACCTTGAGTCGTACTCTAACTCCTCTTACTTACCTTTAACATGGTCTATCATAGATAAACCCTTACCTAACTCTTAGAATAGGCGATTCATAACATAGAAAATAACACATAACACCCCAAGTTCCCATGTTTAGGTTTTAAAAACCTATACTGGGCTATCACAACAAAAGCACATCAACAAGCTGAAAACATAACTTATTAAGCAAGATTGTTAACCTTTAAAGTAGGTCGCTACCAACTCAGGGTACTTCTCTCGCATACTTGCTTCAGTTTCCCCTTGATGATGGGAGACCATATACAAAATCCATTGTGATTCTTTCCCACTTCCATTCTGGAATTGGAAGTGGTTGCAGTTTTCCCACAGGAGCTTGATGTTCTGCCTTAACTTTCTGACATACCAGACATGTGAAAACATGTTCAGCCGCTTCCTTTTTCATCCCACGCCACCAAAAATATGGTTTGATCGTGTGATACATTTTAGTTGCTCCTGGGTGCATAGCATAAGCAGAAGAATGAGCTTCATCTAGGATCTCTTTCCTCAAATTATCAACATTAGGAACACATGCTCTTCCATTCATCTTCAACATGCCATCTACCATTTCAAATGGGCTTTCTTTTCCTTCCTCAATATCTTGAATGATTTTTGCCAACTCTGGGTCCTCCTTCTGCTTCTCATGAATTTTGTCATGCAACAAAGGTCGAATGTTCAACCGAGCTAGTAACCCTGTTACACCATCCACTTCCAAATCCACATTCATTGCCCTCAAATCAACCAGATCATTTATATTACCTTCTTCGTCTTGCACGACTTCGATCTCGTCAATATTTGTGCTATCCATGATACTTCTTTGGGTATTAGAAACAACAAAGTTAGAAACAAGGTTGTAGAAGAAGGAGAGGAATCTCGTAGATTTCACAAACGTAGAAGGAAGAACCAGAGCTTGAAGAGTGCAGAATGAGTTCCCCCCCCCCCCCCAATGGCTACCAGTTTTTATAGTTGACAAAGGAAACCGAAAGGTTAAAAGTCACATCGAGAATCGTAACCGTCAGGGCTTTTTCGAATTTCAAAATCGCCGCCTAAATAGAGCAATCATCTAAGGACACGTGGACACCTACCAAGCATAGGCACTAGCCGCTGACGTCACAAGTTCCGCACACCGCCTGGGGGGCATGACACACCCGCGAAGAAGAAAAAGCACGCCCAAATCCAAAAAATCAAGCCCAAGAGCCGCGCGCAATCAGACCAGAGGATCTCGCAGGAATCAAATAGGCGGCATTCGCGGAATAGGAGCGAATCCAAACTCAATCACAAGAGTCGCGCACAACCAGACCAGAGCATCTCACGGAATCTCGCGTGATGGGGGGCAAATCCAAACTCAATAACAGGAGTCACGCGCAACCAGACCAGAGAATCTCGCGGAAATCAAAAGCACCCCCAATCCAATCTCAATCCCAAGAGTCACGCGCAACCAGCCTAGAACACCTCACAGAGATCACGCAGACCCGAGCCAATCATGCGGAAGCGAAAATTCAACAGGTGACATTCGCGGAATACCATTTGATAGGGGGCAATTGTTGGGTATATGGCTCGGGTGTAGCCGCGCCAAAGAAGCATCCCAGCACCTCCCCAGAAGATCCAGTCACGTTAGTACCATCGCAACCAAGCCGCGACCGCGCGAAGGTCTCAGGCGCGGCGAAGCCCACACTTGTTGGCAAAGATCCCAGATGCCGAACGACGACGTCCAAATCAAGCGTTGACCCAGACCAGGAAACCAGAAAATGACGCCACATTTCCCGAGGAGAGGTCACATCACAGTCCTAGGTATAATCATGGACAAATCCTTAGTCCTAGGTATAGGTGTGGCCTAAACTCCTGACATGTCAGTGGTCATGTCACGTTGGATAACTCACCCACCACCATGTAGCCTATAAATATGGCATTTACTCAGTGAGTGAGGGATCGGATTTTTCAGACTCTATCTCTATAAACTACGACTTCTCTCTCTAAAATATCATTCTCTCAATCACATTCTCCCATTCCTTTGTTCTTCATCCAATAGCGAATTCTCATTGCTTACTCTTCTCGACCCATTCTGCTGAACCTTACTCCTACACTCAGTTAGGTTCAAACAGATCGTTGGTATGCTTTCATGGTCGTCATGGTATTGTAGTATATATTGTCATCTGATAGTATAATTCGTTTGATGTATTGCTTTCTTTTAGTAGGAAAAACGACACTTGATAAAAGCTTGAGTGGCTTGTGTTGTCAATGGAGGTCGGATAAGTTAGAACCATATGTAATTATACCAAAAATAGACATTAATTTAATGTTCGCATATGTTATAGATAAACATTGAATGGTCGGATAGTACTTGACACAAATTACTAGAGCATCCGAACATACTAGTAATTGTTAATGTGAGGAATTGTTGTATTTGTTCTTACCTGGGGTATCCATCATCTCCTCGAAACACTAATTTGAGTTAGCAACACTTCCTATGATTGTTTGTATGCTCTCGTGGTTGTCATGATGCTCTAATGCATGTTGTCATCTGATACCAAAACTTGTATGATGTAATGTTTCCTTTCTGCCCAATAAAAACATGATGAGTTGCTTATGTTATAAATAAGGATAAGATAAGTTTGAATCATACATAGATATACTTAAAAAGTGTTGTATTTAATGTTAACATGTCTTAGATCAAAATGGAATGACTAATTGATGCGTTTTAGCTTGTTCCTTTCTGGTATGGTTGTGCAGACTGCCTCCTATCTTGGGTTAAAGTTAGTTTTGGCATTAATGGAAGCATAAAATGATACAATTGATGTTGGAAAGAAGCAAAAGCTCATTTTCCACTTTGTTTCATCTCAGACCCACAGTAATTGAAGTTAATGCACCTTGGTGAAATTTTAAAGTGAGCTTTGATGGTGGTAAAAATAGAAGGTAAAATGGCTAAAATACAAGTGAAGACAGATTTAAGGAAGGGCAAAAGTAAGGAACTTTGCTCTATCGTTCTCCCGCTTCTGTGAAAAATTTCCTGCCATCTCTTCTTTTGAAGAATGCCAACTGAGTTAAAACCTTAGTGATCTGCATTTGCACGTATATTAAGTAGCATGCAATACCGTCGAATATGATTCTTATCTTTTGTATCGAGTGGGTGTCAGTATCTCTTAAAGTTAGAGCTCTAGCATATTTGAGTTAGTACAAACTTATTATGAATTGTTTGTGTGCTTTCATGTTCCTCATGGTATTGTAGTATATGTTGTAATTTGATAGTATAATTCGTCTGATGTATTGTTTTCTTTATGTAGAAAGAAAAATCATGCCAGATAAAAGCGTGAGTTCCTTGTGTTGTCATTGGCGATTGGATAAGTTAGAAAACATATATAGTTCTGCTACAAAGATACATTAAATTAATTTTCACACGTGTTGCGGATAAACATTAAATGACCGGATGGTACTTAGAGCATCTCCATTGGAATTGCAATTAGAATTGCATTATGACATGACATTCATCTGCAATTGCATTATGCAATTGCATTGATATAGATGACAATTGCATCTTTGCAAGCTTGCATATAATGCAAGCCACATCATCTTTTTTATTATTAAATTATTCATTAATTTTATTATTTGAGTGTGTTAGAATATGACTTGAATTTGATTTGGGTTTGTTTTGTGTTTTGGGCCTATTTTGTTTGGGTTTGGGATTGGGCTTTGTTTGACCTTTTCCTTGTATGTTTGGGAAAAGGTGTTTGGTTTTCTGTTTGGGATTAGGAGAAGAGTTCTATAAATACTCTTCATCACCCTAGTCTGTACTAAGGTTAGTCAGGTTAGTTTGTTTGGTTTTTCCGTTTGGAATTTGGTTTGTAACCTGCACTCTCCTCAAATTAGTGAAATTTGTCCCCCCTGCCCGTGGATTAGCTAGCACACTTTGTGTTAGTGAACCACATTAAATTTGTGTTCGTTCGTGTTGGTTTGGATTATCGATTGCCACGCTTCTGTTCTGACAAGTGGTATCAGAGCCTTTGGTTGCGGTTTTGGGAATTTGGCGCTGGACTGAAGTTTTGCTTTGTGGAGTTTGGTTGGAGTTTGTTTGATAGTAAGAATGACTGCTATCAGTATGAAGATTGAGAAGTTTACCGGAAGAAACAGTTTCAGTTTGTGGCAGATCAAGGTGCAAGCACTGTTGAAACAACAGGGTTTGTGGGCTCCGTTGTCTGGAAAATCGAAGAAGGAAAGTATAGATGAAGAAGAGTGGATTACTTTGGAGGAGAAAGCTCACTCTACAATCTTGCTTTGTTTGGCTGATGACATCATCACTGAGGTTGCTGCTGAGAAGACTGTTGCGGGTTTGTGGTTGAAGCTTGAAAGTCTATACATGACAAAGTCTTTAACCAACAAGTTGCATATGAAGCAACGTTTGTTCAGTTTGCGTATGGAGGAAGGTATGTCTCTCAGGAATCACCTAGATCAACTCAATATATCTTGCTAGATCTGCGGAATATTGATGTTAAAATAGATTATGAGGATGCTGCCTTAATTCTGTTAGTATCTTTGCCACAGTCATATGAGAATTTTGTGGATTCTTTTATTGCTGGGAAAGATAGTTTGTCTTTGGAAGATGTCAGATCTGCTCTACATACTAGGGAGGTTCGACATAAGGCGTCTGGTTCATGTTCGGAAAATCAGGCATCTGGGTTGGCTGCTACGAGTAGTAGGAGACAACAATCTGGTAATAGGAAGGCGAATACAAATTCGAATTCTGCTGGTTTGAAGGATGATATCTGTCATTACTGCAAGGAGAAAGGACATTGGAAATTTGATTGTCCTAAACTGAAGAAATATCAGGAGAAGAAGGAATCATCTGCTGCTGTGGCGGAAGAAACTAACTCTGATTCTGAAGATGGTTTAGCCTTAGCAGTGAATGAACAGGTACATCATCAGGATGTGTGGTATTTAGATATTGCAGCTGATTATCATATGTGTCCAAGCAGAGAGTGTTTTTCAACTTATGAGCAGATAGATGGAGGACATGTTTCTATGGCCAATGGTGCTATCTGTAAGATTGTTGGAAGAGGCTCCGTCAGGATGAGGACACATGATGGTTCTGTTCGCACCTTTAACAATGTTAGGCATATTCCAGAAATGACTAAGAATCTGATATCTTTGAGTCTACTCGACAACAAGGGTTTCAGCTTCAAAGGTGAAGGTGGAGTGTTGTCTGTCTACAAGGGTTCTAAGGTGATTTTGAAAGGTGTCAAGCGGGGTGCCTTGTATAGTCTACAAGGTTCTGTTTTGACATGTTCGGTTGGTGATAAGTGCACCAAGTTGGTTCTGAATGGCAAGTCTCAATATGGATTGGACTTGCCGAATGGTTTGAGTTGTTGACCGCCCTTAGGGGCACTTGAAGGCAGGGGAGATTCTGGTACAACTGATTTGGAGGAGTTGGGTACATCTGGCAACTTTGGTTGCATCTGGTACATCTGACAACTTTGGTTGCGTCTGGTACATCTGGCAACTACTTTGGTTGCGTCTGGTACATTTGGTATTTGAGAGAGAATTCAAGTCAAGGTGGAGATTGTTAGAATATGACTTGAATTTGATTTGGGTTTGTTTTGTGTTTTGGGCCTATTTTGTTTGGGTTTGGGATTGGGCTTTGTTTGACCTTTTCCTTGTATGTTTGGAAAAAGGTGTTTGGTTTTCTGTTTGGGATTAGGAGAAGAGTTCTATAAATACTCTTCATCACCCTAGTCTGTAGTAAGGTCAGTCAGGTTAGTTTGTTTGGTTTGTCCGTTTGGAATTTGGTTTGTAATATGTACTCTCCTCAAATTAGTGAAATTTGTCCCCCCCTGCCCGTGGATTAGCTAAAACACTTTGTGTTAGTGAACCACGTTAAATTTGTGTTCGTTCGTGTTGGTTTGGATTATCGATTGCCACGCTTCTGTTCTGACAGAGTGTTTACGTTTTAAAAAATTAAATAATAAAAATTAGTTGCAATTGCAAGTTAATTGCACTGATGTGGTGCAATGCAAGTAAGATGAGTTGAATTGCAAAAAAATGAAGTAACAATAAAAAAAAATGCAATTGCACCAATGGAGATGCTCTTAGGGCACCCACATCGGCTATCATTCTCTACACCTTGCAAAGTGAATATCAATGATGTATGAACTGCTTGCAATTGTGCAAGCTTTCATATAATGAAAGTCTATATGCAATTCAATGTGTCTGGCAGGTGGATTTTGGCTCCTTTCTTTTATTTAAATAATATAAAATATATTTTAGGTGTGTTATTTTTTGAATTGCAATTGCAAGTGAATTGCATTGATATTATTTCTTTAGAAACAAACTGAAGCCTAATAAAGTATGAGTTTGCTTATGTTATAAAATAAAAGGATAAGTTGAAAGTGTGGTTAAAAGAATCTTTTATTTAGTGTCAACTTGTATAGTCTTTAGATAACGACTAAATAGCTTGATGCATTTTAGCACAAACTAATTTTCCATTTTGGGGTACTTGGGCAGACTGGCTCCTAGCTTGCGTTAAAGTCAGTTTTGGCATTAATGGAAGCATACAATGATGAAATTGCTGTTGGAAAGAAGCAAAAGCTCATTTCACTTTGTTTCATATCATACCCACAAAAGTTGAAGTTACTGTGTCTAAGTGACAGTAAATAAGGCTTAAAATGGGATGGTGGTAAAAAGAGAGAGTAAAAGCTTAACTTCCCAAAATGGCTAGAATGCAAGTTTAAGACAACTCATGTTAAGAGAAAAGTAAGGAGCTTTGCCCCGTCATCTCCATTCTCTATAGTATTAAAACCAAAAGATATCACCATTGGAGTTGTTCTTCAACACTACTTGGTACATTTCACATAGAAAAACACTAACATGGTGTAACACTAGTAGAATACAGAAACAAAAGCGTCCACTCATGGATAGCTTCACACATCAAAGAGTACAATCTACAGCATCCGGTGTTAAACGACGCACATTCATTCAAACCGCAAATTCTGTTGGCGACGAAGAGGATGTGTCGTTAGTCGGTGCAGTATTGCAAGCTGAACGTATCCCTCGCTCCCTCCTGCTATTTTCAGCAAACTTCAAGCTAGCTTGATGTAGCCCTTTTCTCCTTCTCCCGTGAGCTCCATTCAGCCATGTAGTAATCCTCTTCGGTGGCAGACGACGACGACAACGATGGGCTGTTGCGATCAGCAGCGGGAAACATACCATCCCACTGCGGGAAGTTGATCAAACATAGAGGGAGAGTGCAACAAATGATCATTATCCCCATGTATGTGATTTCAGTCTCCTTCGAATATCTTGACCCTTTGAAGAATGTCAGCTGAGTTATCATTGCTCCCACATTCCCATCTCCTCCCGTCATACCCGAGATTAATCCTAACGACCTACATGCACATACATACTACATAGTATAGTTAGTAAAATACGATACAAGTAGGTTAAGGTACTAACATGTACAATATATCATCCACCTTCTGGAGACAAAGGGCACGACTCCAAAGGTTAGCTCACAAGCAGCTTGGCAAAAGAACGAGAAAAGGATCATAACAACAATGGAGCCTCCCAATGAATTGACCCGACCCAAAATTACACACAGAATGCCGCGTAAAGTCTGGACGAGCCAAAGCGTCCACAGCCTTCCCCTCATTCCAAACCTCTTCGCCACCTCATTGGACAGCCGCCCTCCCACTGGCCGGGAAATTAAATTCGCCAATCCAAAGCTCGCCGCAGTCACTCCGGCGGTGTTGAGCTCCAAATTGAATCGGTCATAGAATACCCATAGTGAATCACATTATCCATCGTCAATTCCACCCCGAAGCAGTACCCATAGGCCATAAGTCAGAGATTGTCACGGATGATTGGGAGTGAAGACGAAGCAGGCGAAGAATGAGAGCCTGGAGAGATGGAAGGCCCGCATGTGTCGTGCGGAGAAATTGTAGAGTGGGAATTTCGTGGCCTTGTGCTCTGTGTCCACCGGGAGGGCGAATTTGGGATGCTGTTTTTGGTTACCATTTTCATGGGCTGCTGCTGCTGCTGCTGATTTGGGTTTGATTCCCATGGCTGCTGCTGTGGAAGGAATTGGGGTTTCCATATTTCAAAGGGTAATCTTGCACAATCTATAGAAATGAATCAGCGCCTATTAAAGTTTGAGTTGCTTATGTTATTATCAACTAAAAGGATAAGTTTGAAGGTGCCCTTAAAAGAGCCTTTATTGTCTCGAAGATGAAGATTCTTGCACAAACTAATTGTTCCATTCTGGTGTAATTGTCATTAATGGAAGGAGACAATAATGAAATTGCTCTTGGAAAGAAGTAATTATCATTTCACTTTGTTTCTTCTCAGACCCACAGCCACAGCATTTGAAGTTGCTGTGACAAAGTGACAGTGAGTAAAGCTTAAAATGTGAGTGGTTGTAAAACGTGAGGGTTGTGTCTTTCTGGTACTTCGCACACCAGGCTGCGGTCCGTGGACTCCACGTCTGTCCCGTTGCATTTGCCCTTGTAGAACCCAAACTGGAGCTGGGCTTGTACTCGATCTGCTGTCAGGCCCAATAGAACCACCATGAGGCCAATTTAACCATCCCGACTTGACATTAATTACCCGCTGACCACCTTGAGCTTGAAGCTAATGTGCCAGATAAGTTCAAACCTACATACAATTATGCTAAAAAGATACATTGATTGGATGTTCAGATGATGTTGTAGATAAAGCATTGAATAATCGGATGATATTTGGTACTGCGAACACACTTCTAGTAAGTGCCAACAATATTTAACTCGTGGTTCAAGTGTTTTCTGTCAATGTAAGGAATTGTAATTTTGTTCTTATCTTGGTTGGGTATCATCATCTCCCGGGAGCTCTAGTTTTGAGCTACTACACTTGCTATGATTGTTAGCACCATCCTCATGGTTGTCATGGTGTTTTCATTTGATAGCAGAACTCATCTGATGTATTGTTTTCTCTCTTTAGAAACAAAACCGGTGCCTAATAAAAGCATGAGTTGCTTATCTTATCAATGACAGCGTAGAGATACGTTTGAATCGTATATCTATATATGCTTAAAAAAAGTCATTAATTCAATGTTCACATCTTGCAAATAAAAGATGGAGTGACCGAGTTCTTCAAACAATTCTAGACATGGTCTGGACTCATCCAATCGTCATAGGACAAAAACTTGTATGCCCTCTTCCACCCTCAACCCTGTGTTTCCCAACTGGTAGAGAATGAGAAGTTCATCAAATATGGCCTTAACACAGAGTAATTCAAACCACCTAAGTAATATATGTACACGATTATATTGTGGTGTTTTCATCTGATAGCAGAACTCGTCTGATATATTGTTTTCTCTCTTTAGAAATAAATCGGTTCCTAATAAAGTATGACTGCTTATATTATCAACTAAAATTATAAGTTTGAAGGTGTACTTAAAAGAGTCTTTTATTTAGTGTCAACTTGTATTGTCTTGTAGATAAAGACTGAATGGCCTGATGCTTTTTAGCATAAACTAATGGGAAATTTTTACGTCCAACCCTGGTTGGAGCTACTAGCTCCAAGCAGCCAAATGATAGATTACTATTGGTTCTTCCATCCCTTTTTCCCCCTTTATTTTTAATGCTAATATTATTGCTTTAAAATTAATAAAATCAAAATACAATTTGACGGCAGCATAATTTTGACGGAACGGGTGATACGCCCCTGGGGGGTGTATGTTTATCAAAGTCACGCAGCAAACGACTCAATCGAAGAATCGATTGAGCTCGAATCAAGAACAACACATTCTTAATACGAACTTGAATAAAACGGAACCAAAAGGACAAATCCACACCTGGGGATAGCTCGATTGGTATAAAAGGGTAGTTGCTCGACCACGATTGAAGTGACTATTCAATCGATACACAAGGTCAGCAAGTTTGGAATCCACCAAACCCAAAACAAGTCGCAACTTGCACAAACCAAACGGTTTCGATTTCTATTCAACAAAGTCTGAATTTTACAACGAAATAGAACCCTATTTAAAGGCAAATAAAACCTAATACAATCATAGTATAACTAGGAAACAATTAAGGTAAAATTCTACTCTAAAAAGGACACAAAACTCGGGTTTAAACTTCCTTTCTTGAAGCACAAGTAAGCTGCCAGCAAACAGTCAAAAAGCAGCTTTCGTACTAACTTCACACCTTTTGTACAAGGCCTTCTAGAACTCCGATCTTTCATCCGATTCCTTCCCTTGGTAGATAAACATTCCTAGTTTCATGTTGTAGAAGCCTTTGGTCTCGAATAAGATCCATACTCCTCAAATTAAGCTCCAAAGTAGGCTTCACAAAACAGTTTCCAGAACCATTTTCTAGCAGTTTTCCAGTTTTGAGGTAGCAACTTTAAGACCTTGGAAAACAACCTTAATGACATCATCTGGATTCAAAAAGCATACCATTGGAAACATGACAACTTTATCTGCAAAACAAACCCTTAACCTTGAATTTCCACAAAGCCAATTGAGAGAACCATGCCTCCAAAGTATGTACCCTGAACACGGATTTTGATTTAGCCAAATTCTGCCCTTCTTCTTTCCAACCTTGATAGCTTCTTTGGCAAGTAATTGTGACTTGTAGAAGTGTCCAATTTGGATCATATCAACGGGACTTTTGACGGAACGACAACATAAAGCCACACAGCTGTAATATATATGTTTGTGTATTTGATCATTGGAATCAAAAGCTACAGTGGTATACTCTGGTTTATTTTATAATTCACTGGACCTTCAAATGAGCTAGGTCATGCCTATTCATTGACTGGCTAATTGCTCTGCTCCTAGTCCTTGAATTTGACATGCACGAGAAAGAAGTGTTATTTTGTCATGCTTAGTAAAATCAATTAATCCATCAATTTTGGTAGAGTGCAAAGTATGATTGTCTTTCCAATATCAATCGACGAATTGACTAATTATAACAACTTTAACAAAAATCAGCAATATCAAAATTTGATATATTAACTAAGTGAATACTTGATGACAAACAAAGTGAAAATGAACTGCTTCTCAATAATTCATTGCAACAGAATTCTTATAGGAAAAACTCTCAAATGTCAACCATGGATCCCCCAAAAAAGGATTGAAACTCGTTCCAAGTATTCAGATAAAGAAAACATGGAGAATATTCCATTGTGCTTGATAAATAAATATTTTCACACTTTCGGATCATCATAATGAGAATTTGCTATTGCCTCCTGCAAAACAATGGCATCAATCAAAAGTATTAATAAATAGAATTATAGAACATACATAAAAGTAATTCTTGTTTTCTATACCTGTAACAATTGAGTATATGACATATTATTGGAATGTATTGTCAAGTCACAGTGCTCTTCATGAATATATCCTGTTGGTCTAGTAATCGAACTTTGAGATTCATATTGCTCAATCACCACCTACAAAATTTGATATGTCTATCAATAAAACAAACATATTACACTTTTCTTCTACATAAATTAGAATAAGCTAAAACAATTACCTGACTTTTTGACCATTAACTTCAGGATTACTGTAAACTTGTTGAGAATAACTCGTTTTCACTTTTTTACCCTACACATATAATGTCATTTGAAACATAGTGATTACAATCAATATAACATAATAGCATTGTTTGAAAATGAGAAAAGAAGAAAAAGAAAACATGTGGCTTTGTTTGACTTTTATGATTTTTTCCGCGCTCTAATGCACCTTTCATTCTGCCTTTTGGTCGTTCAACTGTAGCTTTGGTCTTAACTCCAGCTACAATTGGATAATCTTGTTCATCTTTTGAGCATAATGCCTCATCAGAAGTTCCACCATGTGTGCTTTTTTTCATCTCCTGCAGATCTTTTAGCAAATTTGAAAGTACTCCAACTGTGTGCTCATACATAGTGTCATTCTCAGCTCCTAGGGTGGATATCTCTCGAAAATTGTAATTAAGATTCAAGTAACACTTCCCAATGAGCTCCTTAAACCCTCCCCGAACTTGAGTTGAACTACTTATTTGTCCATCTTTTGAATCCTTTGTCCATCTCTTCAATATATACTGCTTGGGAATGTGCTTTATATTTTTCTTGTCAAGAACTTTCAAAGCATGAGCACATAGAATCCCAACAAAGTCAAACTTTCTGCAACTGCACTCAACTCCTTGAGAAGAAAGATGAAATCGGACATGGTGCTCTGTACATCTACCAACATAACTCACTTTATATACCACCTGAACTTATGTTTTGCTAGTCTTATCAATGGTACAATCCCATACTTTGAGGTATTCTTCTTGGAACATTTCAAACACTTTAGGAGTATAGATCTTTGCTGCATGTCTTAGCATCTCGACATCTGCTCTCAATTTTGGGCGGGTGTCCCTCATTTTGAACTATGACAAAAGCTCTTTATAGCGTCTATCTACTACCAATCGACTATAATGCTAAAAAAAGTACACCATATTGTGTTTTCGCTTTAAGTACTTCTTCAACACATTGTTCATTGATTCACTACGTTGTGTACTCTTAATATCAGCAGTAAACATATATCTCCCATAAACCATGGCCCACTTTTCTCTTTCTATGAAAATTCCACGCAACCATTCATTGTTTTACAAATTATGCTTTTTAAGCATAGAAACCCAAGCTTCATACCATTCATCCTCATCTTCATAATCATATACACATGAATGATGCGATTGTTTCATCATAAAGTAATGCTGCCCCAAAAATAATTGTCTCCTTCAGATGATTGACTCCAACAAAAGGAGCAAAATGACGACCATACTTGTTAATCCTGTAGGTTGTATCAAAACATACAACATCTCCGAAGTACTTGTAATCAACTATCGACCTGCTATCTGCCCAAAATATATTCATAATAAGATCATCATCATCAAGTTGCACTGAGTAAAAAAATGATGGATCATCTGATTATGCTTTTTGAAAACAATCCATAATTGATTGACCGTCTCCCTTAATCAGCTTAGCCATTCTCTGAGAATCAATATAATTGTAGTAGTCTGTGTCCAGAAATCCATTGTTCTCCCGACCCCCATTCTGTACTGCTAGTAAATTAATAACCGACTTGATTGATAACCCGGCCTTTTCAGCATCATCTGCAATAGCTTTCTGCGCAATACTCATCTTTCTATTAGATCTCAACATGTGCTTCATTGGAGTGGGAGCCAAATCATGGTTATGGTTTGCTTCAAAAGAGATAACCTCAAGCAAACCATCATTTTGTAGTTTGCACGTCATCTCCGCTAAACAACCTATTCTGGTAATTGGTCGTTCGTAAGCAACCTCCTTCCCTTTTTTATTTGCATTTTTTTCTCCTTCTTTAGCACATGTATATGTTCTTCTTTTACTTCTCTTGTTGAAGTTCGCTTGATGAATTGATTTCTTACGCTGAATCCAAGTTTATGTGCATATGCACTATAAAATGCATAAGCCATATCATCAAAATCAAACTTATTATAAGAATCCAAGTTATTTCATGAAGATTTTGCAAGACTCATGGGTGCTTCTCGTGACAAACCCTCTTTATGTTTCGAATCTCTTTGTTTTCAGGTTTACATGTTTGATTTATGTTGAGCTTTGCAGGGTTATCTGTGATGAAGGACATGAAATACAACAATAATGAAGATGGTGAAAGCCAGCAGAGACAGAACGCCAAGCACAAAGAGTTCGCGAGAGCCAGTGGCAGTGAGTGTTGGTTCAGCATATAAAAAAGGTGAAGAAAGAGCTCAAATTTGATCGTTACGTTCTTCAATTTCTGCAGGCAAAAAGAGAAGAAAATCCGAGGGTGCAGAGGAGATGAGAGTGAACAGAGCAGCCACAAGGAGAAGTGGAGGTGATGGGAGCCCCTTCGGAAGGGATAAGGCTGATGGCTCTCACATTCCATCCATGGAAGGTACAAAATCTTACTTTCCAAGGTTTCAGACACTGAAAAAAATGTGTATTTCCATGTTTTACACAATAATGTATGAATTTTGAGCTGCCTGAATATATGTATGACAGATGAGCCAGCTTTTTCCAAGAGCGCTACACTTACTGCAACGAATGAAGCTGCAGATGAGCTCACTTCACAACCTGAATTCCTCTAAGTCATTATCCAAAGAAGTTTCCTGGTAGCGTGTGAGAACCTCGCTTCTAGGGATTCTCGATACTGATCTTCGGCACTCGGGATTATACGTAACAAAGAGGGATTTAGGGATTGAGATAAGGAATTAGGGATGTAGATGAGAAAGAATAGAATTGGGAATCGGCCGAGGCCTTGGACTAGGATGAGACGAGAAATTAGGAGTTGAGAGGATAAACTAGGGTTTAAGGAGATTCTTCTTAATATTGTTCTTGATTGATTATGACGTAAACCCAAAGTACATATTTATAGGGAAATACTGGAAAACCCTAATAATAATCCTAATACGACTAAATCTCTACTAACCATAATTATAATTATCCTACCTAATATAATAATAGAAACTCTAAATAAATGTGTTTCTAACAATCCATCCCCCTTGAAACCAACCTTGACCTCAAGGTTGTAGTTGACTTCTACCTCCTTGACCTTCCGCTTTCTTCGTTTCCAATTGCGCTCGATCCCTTGAATGAACTCTTCTCGCGCAACTCCCACTTTCCTTGTCTCTTCTCCACGTACGTGACATGAGTCACGTTCTTCATAGCCGAACAATCCGCCCTCTTCCTTTTCGAAATCAACGAAATAAGAATCGGAGAATTATTCTTTCTTGAGCCCATTCTCATAAACCGCCCCGAGAGCTTCAATGGAACGCTCCATCAATTCCGCAATGGGTTTGGTTGTGAAGATAATTTCTTTTGGGCTCAATTCTCCTCCAAGTGAGTTTGGATCAGACTTCCTTGAAAGCCCAACTCCTGCTTTCATGGGCCCACTTCTTTCTTCCTTTAATTTCTGCCCCTGCATTTTAAATCCAATAAAACAGCTCAATGGTGGCCCGAATTCCTTCTGAATATCTGGCCCACCTTGCACTTGAACCCAACAGCCTTTTTCATCTTTGCTCAGCCCACAAGAACTTATTCGGCCCGAAGAAATACAAGCAAGCAACCTTTTCCAGGCCAGCCCACAATCCGCCGCTGCCTTCCCCTCTCTCCCGTCTTCTGGCGGAAGCTTCTTCTCCGACTCGTTCCCCGCCGCTTTTGGCTCCTCCGGCGAGCAATTCCGCTAGCGACGATCAGGCCAGCACGAACCCGCCATCATCTTCAGCGCCTCCTTCTCGTTGGTTGGAGTCTCGCCGAAATCGCCGCCCCTCTTCTTCGCTTCCCGCTCCGGCGAGAGATTCATCACGCGGCGAGGAGGCAAGCTTGATGCCGACCTCGCTTTTGGCCTCTCTCGTTGTCCGCCAGTGCTTTGGAGACTACTGGTGCCTTCGCCCATCGCGCGGCCGAAGTCGCCGATGCTTTTCCTCGTCGGTTGACGCTGTCGCGACGCTCTGTCTCGGGCGGTGGTGAATAGCTCCGCCGAGAGATCCCGCCCGTTCCCCGCGTCGTCTTCGACGGCGCTTCCTCAATCACCGACGCCGCCCCTGTCAATTGCGCGTCCACCTCCAGCGCGCTGCACTCCGCCCGACGACACGACGGTCGGCGTGAAGCCGCCGTCCCATAAGCTGCACCGGCAGGGGCGGAGCCAGTGCAGTGGCTGGGGGGCCACGGCCCCCCCCCCCCCCCCCCCCCCCCCCCCCCCCCCCCCCCCCCCCCCGAGAATTTCACGAACACGAATAATATAATGCAGTGGTAAGAGTAAGACACAAATCTAGTTCTGGTCTAGTGGTGGAAGCTGTCATGTGCATTTAGGGAGTCAGTAGTTCGAGTTCTATGGCCAACTATATTTTAATAATATTATCCTTTATTGATGTTATGTTTTATACCTTGTGTACTTGTGTACTCTTACTAAAATCTCAATATAGGTACACATTTTACTATCTATAATTTCAGTTTTCCACTTTGGACTAAATTTAGACAAATGTTTTATTTTCTTTATTGTTCAATTATTATTTATTGAATTATCAACTAACTTAGTATGTCCGTCTTGTGTGCTATGCGATCTTGTAAGAAAGTGTTCCCCTTTAGATTATTAGTCTTGCTTTGACTCTTCTAATTTCTACTGCTAGTGGTGAACAGATTTTTTCTATTATGCAATTAGTGACTAAACAATGCAACAAATGATTGATGATTTTCTCGCCGATGGTCTTGTTATTTATATTGAACGAGATGCAATAGACACTTTCCACATATATGGTATTTTGAGTGATGTGATAATTTCAAAGATGTTGTGTACGTTTAAACTAATAAATTATATATGATATTTTCTTATAGTATTCTTTTGCTTGAAATTTTTTTTTTTGGCCCCCCGGACTTGAATTCCTGGCTTCGCCCCTGTGCACCGGTTGTGACGATTGAAGAACCGGCTGCCGTGGCTGGAGTGGGCGACGTCACCCGCACAATTCGCGCCGGCGGCGAAGGCTCACGGTGGACCTGCTCCTCGATTTCCCTCCTCTTCTCGAACTCGACGGGGAACGCAGGTTGTTCCAACCATTCTTCGAAATCGATTTCTGCTATCATCGGTTCGATTGGAACTGGGCTCCTCTCCATCCTCGGTCGGCGAGTGTTTTCGGCAGATTCCAACTTCATCTTAAGAATCCGAGTGAGTTCTTCGATTAAGAGCTCTTCGAATCTCGCCATGGCTCCGGTACGAGTGCCTGCAACCGGGCTCTGATACCACTGTGAGAACCTCGCTTCTAGGGATTCTTGATACTGATCTTCTGCACTCGGGATTATACTTAACAAAGAGGGATTTAGGGATTGAGATAAGGAATTAGGGATGTAGATGAGAAAGAATAGAATTGGGAATCGGTCGAGGCTTTGGACTAGGATGAGACGAGAAATTAGGAGTTGAGAGAATAAACTAGGGTTTAAGGAGATTCTTCTTAATATTGTTCTTGATTGATTATGAAGTAAACCCAAAGTACATATTTATAGGGAAATACTGGAAAACCCTAATAATAATCCTAATACGACTAAATCTCTACTAACCATAATTATAATTATCCTACCTAATATAATAATAGAAACTCTAAATAAATGTGTTTCTGACATAGCGGGCTTGGTAGGTCGTCAGAAAGCAAACAAACAGTTTTTTGTTATAATGGTGCATCTAGGCAAACAACCAGGTTTCTTTTTCATTTGTCTCTTTGCAGGGGATTGAGCGAAAATTTCATTCACAGGCACATCGGGAATTGGAGTGGGAAAATGCTGGAGCTTCAGGTTGGAGAAGACAAATGGCCTGTGAAAATTGTGCAGAAAGCCAAGGGTCACTCTTGTCTATCCAAAGGCTGGTGGGCATTTGCACGTGATAACTCTCTGAAACCTGAGGACACTCACATATTTGTGCCTACTACTACCGCAGATCTGCTCAGAGTTCACATTTTGCGCTGTTCTTAGATGATTTTTGCTCCTTGTTAACTTAGCTGAGAAGTTGGAGCTTCGGTTCATGTAGCTTTTGAGAATGATTGTCATGGTATGTTGTTAAAGAACTCTGTTTAGTTTCTCATCATGTTGCTAATCCTCTGCTGAATGTTGTTCATCAGCTCAACTGTCTGTTGCTGTAAACTTATGTTAATGAATATTTCTGATGTGTCAGCATTATAAGCAGTTGGGGAGTGGATTCTAACAAAAGCTCCAAGGTTCGCTAAACCATCTTATCTGTCATTGAATTTACTGAAATGTGTCTCTTCGGTAAGAATCTGTTGCCGATTAGCCATTACTAAATGTTGAGGTAGAACATCTACTTTGTGTGCGTTGCAAACTTCCACAAACAGAAAGCATAAAAAAGTGTAAACTCAAGATATGAGAATTGAGTGATTCAGAGTAGAATACTATTTAGTTGTTAGAATTCTCTCTTGGAATAAAAGAAGGAAAGCTTTTATTCAAAGTGCAAATTTAGTACAAAGAAACCGAGCCAAGCCAAATAACTTGGCTCTTTAGATAAACAGACACTCAAAACATTCACTTCCCAAGATTGAATCACCCAGTATACCCATACACTGTGATTCTTTCTACTGAAGCAAACACACTCCTTAACTTGAAGAAGAAGAAGAGAATCGGAACAAGATGCTCTCACTACTACAGTTACCAGTCACACACAAATATGACAGAGAGCTTACAATATATACTACTGGAGATGAATAGCCGTTGCCTACAGCAGAGCCTTCTCTAGCCTTTATCATGCTTTCTTGTAGAGACGGTGCTAGGAGGAGCGGATGCAGAAAAGCTGGAGCGTTCGTTAGAAAGAAGACGAACGAGAGGGATGATCAGAGAGATCATCAATCGAGGAGTCCAGTTTTGACTTCGAAGGATGATGTTTCTTTAAAACGGTGTCGAAGAGATGAATGGAGGATGGGGGAGAAACGTCGTCGTAGTGGAAGCTTCTGACTGAGAGAAGCGTCGCCGTTTTTAAGCCAACAATTTCCCCCTTCATCCGAGAAGTCTTCTGCAAAACAGACAATACCAAGCAAACACCAGCAAACACCAACAAAAGATAGTACAGCAGGCTGCGATAAGAGAAGCACGCAGCATTACAAAATATCAGGACAGAGCCCTGTGCAGGATTCCCCCTGAGCAAAATACCCCAAAAGAAACTAGAACTAGGAGCTTACTAACTGAAGAAACATATCCTACCAACAGGATAACAAGCGAAACAAACTAGAGAAGTTAAGAAGCAGGAGAGGAGGCGGGAGCAGTGGCAGCAGATTCATCGGAGGAAGATTCCCCTTCAGAGATGGTGAAGACTAGATCCCCAGTCTTGCTGGGTTCACCCACTGACTTGGATTTCTTGACAGCAGAGGGCTTAGGAGGAGGCCCAAGAAGAGAGGTAGAAGGACGAGGAGGAGGAGAGATGTCAGTGGGAAGGTCCAATACCATCAGCACATTAAGTGCACTGATGTACATGGTGGAGGAAATGCTCCTATACTCTGAAAGATCTACCCCAAGGTTGATCAGTAAACGAGTGATCAGTGACCCAAATGGCACAAATCCTCTGTAGTTTTCATCCCCAACAGGGAGAAGTTGGCCAAACACTATGCTTGAATAATCCAGCTTTCGGCGAGCAGTTGCACTTGCAATGATCCATAAGTCCATAGGAAGGACACGGTCCTGATTAAAGGATCTTGGAAAGAGGACATGAGTGAGAAAATGGTGGAAGATCCTCAGTCTAGGAGGCAGCCAAGATACAGGAATAGGAACGTCGGATCCACCAGTTGGTTCAGTGGAGAAGTTCCCATATTCCACCTCCACTTTGAACTCATGCTTCCAGAACTCAGAAGGATGAGCAATCCCGAGTCCTTGTGATGGAAAACCGAGAATGCCATTCATGGCATCAACTGGTATGGTCAACAGATGACCATACACTCGAGTTGTAAGGCTTCTCGAACTGATCCCTTGGCTCTTGAGATTGGAATAGAAATACTTTACTGCCCTAGGACAGGCAGGATGCACTTGTTGGCGGAGGAGGAAATCCCATCCGAGTCCCTCAATAAGCGACACAATGTCATACTTATACAGGTTGAACTCGTAGGGATCCGGCTGAGTGATATGGTGCAGCCTCCGCTTATCGAAGTGCTGCAGATATCGGTGATGGTTAACTACAAACGGCTCATGGAACATGTAGCCAGAGAATGTATGGACAAGGCCATCGAAACGGAAGGGTCGAGGAAGGTGGTCACTCATTTTGGAAGCTGGTGATTTGGGGTTTGAAATAAGGTGGAAATTGAATGGAGCAGTGTGAGGAGGAAGGATGGTTAATGAAGCCTTTTTATAGAAGAGAATAGCTAGGAAGGTGAAGAGTCTCCCGCAGACAAGGATTTAGGGAGAATGATTTTGCTAAACTATAGACATATTAGTAGAGGCAGGCATTGAGCCGAAATGGAGCGTTTTCTTTTGGTTGAATCAAGACACGCAAAAGGTACTCAGCAAAAAGACCCAATCAGCTTTTTAGAATTAGTTTTAGTTTTGGAAGGTTTTTAATCATTGCTTACTGCACCAATGCATGCAATACGTAAAACCAATGAAGTGTTTTCTTTAAAGATTTGCAATCTGGCCCAAAGATTTTAACCCTAATTCTGTACAAAGCTGAATAAACCTTTCACTCGCCAGAGGTTTTGTTAGTAAGTCAGCTAGCTGATGTTCAGTTGCAACAAATTGAAGTTCGATGTGACCAGCTTGTACAAGTTCTCTAATAAAGTGGTATTTTATTTCAATGTGTTTGGTCCTAGAGTGTTGAACGGGATTTTTAGTCATACTTATTGCACTTGTGTTATCACAGCATACTTGGATATCTTTTAACTTAAAACCATAATCTGAGAGTTGTGCTTTCATCCACATTATTTGTGCACAACAACTCCCAGCGGCCATATATTCAGCTTCAGCTGTGGAAAGTGCCACTGCTCCTTGTTTTTTGCTAAACCAGGATACAAGTGATGAGCCAAGTAATTGAACAGTGCCAGTTGTACTTTTTCTATCTACCAAACTTCCTCCAAAGTCTGAGTCACTATACCCAATCAGTTCAAATGAATCAGATACAGGATACCATAAACCAATGTCCATGGTACCCTTGAGGTATCTGAATATTCTTTTAACAGCCTTGAAATGACTTTCTTTAGGGCTGGATTGAAATCTAGCACACAATCCTACACTGAATTGGATATCAGGTCGACTTGTTGTTAGATACAGAAGGGACCCTATCATTCCTCTGTATTTTCTTTCACAGAATGGAATACCTCCATCATCCTTATCTAATTTTAGATTAGTTGCCATAGGAGTGGTGCTAGGATTTACAGAGTTCATATCAAATTTCTTGAGCATTGACTTAGTATACTTTGTCTGACTGATAAAAATTCCTGAGTCTAGTTGCTTAATTTGTAGCCCTAGGAAATGAGATAATTCTCCCATCATACTCATCTCAAACTCAGATTTCATCAAATCACAAAACTTTGTACTCATAGATGGATTTGTTGATCCAAAAACTATGTCATCTACATAGATTTGCACAATTAGAGTATCAAGGTTTCTTTCTTTATAAAAAGTGTTTTATCAACATTTCCTTGGATGAATCCTTCTGATTTTAAGAATGATGAAATTTTTTCATACCATGCCCTAGGAGCCTGTTTTAGTCCATACAATGCTTTAGACAGTTTGTAGACATGATCAGGATATTTATGATCAATAAAACCAGGTGGTTGACTCACATACACTTCTTCTTTCAGTTCTCCATTTAAAAATGCACTTTTTACGTCCATTTGAAATAGGGGTATTTTCATAAAACATGCATAGGCACACAACATTCTGATTGATTCTATTCTTGCAACAGGGGCAAAAGATTCCTCAAAGTCAATTCCCTCTTCTTGTAGATACCCCTGTGCCACAAGTCTAGCTTTATTTTTGGTAACCTCCCCTACTTCATTTGTTTTGTTTCTAAATACCCATTTTGTACCTATGACCAGCTTGTTAAGAGGGTGAGGGACAAGCTCCCATACTTGTAGCCTAGCAAACTGTATAAGTTCATCTTGCATAGCATCCAACCATTTATCATCTAACAGGGCTTCTTTGTAATTTCTGGGTTCTAACATTGAAACGAAAGCATACTGACCTGGTTGATACCTACCTCTGGTCTGGATTCCTGCATTGAGTTGTCCAATGATTTGTGAGGAAGGATGTCTCTTCTGAATGTGTGGTGGTGCCTGCCTTTCTTCTTCATCAGGTTCCTCATCTCTTGTCTCACTTATGTCTTTCTTCACTGTTTCTTGAGGTGAATCCTCGCAGGGGTCTTCAATCCTTTCATTGGACTCAGGAAACAGAAGGTCTATACTTTCTGCATATACCTTGTCAGTACTCCCAGATTCATCAAATTTAACAAATACTGACTCTTCAACCTTTTTAGACCTGAGGTTATAAATTCTGTAGGCCTGTCCTTTAAGTGAGTACCCTAGGAATATACCTTGATCTGATTTCGAGTCAAACTTATATAAGTGATCTTTGGTATTTAAGATAAAACACTTACATCCAAAAGGGTGAAAGTACCCTAGATTGGGTGTCTTTTGTTTTAAGATTTCATAGGGTGTTTTGCCAATGATTTTTCTGATCAGAACTCTATTTATGACATAGACAGCAGTCATGACTGCTTCTCCCCAGAGAAATTTAGGTGTACCATATTCTAGCAACATTGTTCTTGCTGTCTCTATGATAGTTCTATTTTTTCTTTCAACAACACCATTTTGTTGTGGTGTTCTGAGGGCAGAGAAGGTGTGATTTATTCCCCTGTATTTAAATAATTCACTAAACTGTTCAGAAATGAACTCTCCTCCATTATCACTTCTAATAGTTTTGATGCCATTTTTGGATTCATTTAGTATGAGACTTACAAAGTTTTTAAAATAAATAAAGGCTTCATCTTTTGATGCAAGTAGATAAATCCATGAATACCTAGAAAAATCATCAACAAGTACAAGAGCATAGGACTTACCTCCCAAACTTACCACATTGGTTGGACCAAAGAGATCCATATGAATTAATTCATATGGTGCTGAGGTGGTGATATCCCTTTTAGGTTTAAAACTCTTTTTGACCAATTTACCACCACCACACGCATCACAGAAAAATTTTGGATTTTCTTTTAAACTTGGAATTCCACGAGCTGATTTTGACTTAGAGAGTTGTGATAATTTAGAAAGACTTATATGGCCAAGTTTTCTATGCCATAACATTTCCAGATCATACTGCTTGGCTTGAAAACATGTCTCATAAAAAGATTTTAGACAGTTTAAATCAACTACATACATATTGTCTTTCTTAGTTCCACTAAACAGCAGTTTATTGTCCTTAATTCTAATAATTTCACATGAGGATGATTCAAACACAACTCTGTTCTCTGAGTTATATAGTTGACTAATAGAAAGAAGATTATGCTTAAGACCCTGAACAAACAGGACATCCTTAATGGTGGGAAGGGGACTCTTGCCAATAGTTCCATTTCCCATAATTATTCCTACACGATCATCCCCAAACACTACCTTACCTTCCCTTTTATAGCTTAAAGCAGAGAAAAGTTCCTTTTTACCTGTCATGTGGTGGGAGCAACCACTGTCTAGATACCATGTGTTTTCATTTTCTCCCAAATTCTGCAATCAATCATACATTAGCACATTTTGGTATCCAAAATGTTTTGGACACAATTTGTTTCCTTGGATTCAGATCATAACAGAATCTTGCTAAAAATTACTGGATATTTTGAGTATTTTCTGTGATCATCGTTGTTATGCTTAGTAATTCCCTTTCTGGAAAAATTATACCTTGAATTAGGCATACTAACCTTGTTTTGCAAACGTGGTGTTGTTTTTGCAAAAACTTCTTAGCCTCTGATTTTCATTTTTGAGATCAAAAACTTGTTTATTTAGTTCCTTATTCCATTCACTTTGAGCATTCAAGGTTCTTTTTAAAGTTGAAATTTCATCTTTCTGGGCTTGATTATCAGTCATTAACATACAGTACTTACTGTTGAGTCTATTACATTCTTCTTGAAGGTTTGTTAACTCATGTATAAACTCAGTTTTTATTTCAGATTTATCTATGTCTGAATCGGAGTCAGAGATTACCTGGTAACATGAAGGAGCAGGCGGACCATGGCTGCATGAGGATTGATCATCACTATCATCTTTGGTAGCAAATGCCATGTAAGCTAGATTTTTTACTTCATGCTCTTCATCTAAACTAAAATCACTCCATGAAGCTGCGAGTGCTTTCTCCTTTGCTTTGGCATTTGTGGGACACTTTGATCTTATATGTCCTGACTTTTCACACTTAAAACAGATTGTTAAATCTTTTTCACTGGAAGACTTAAAGTCTTCCTTATCAATTCTGAACCTTTCTCGGCCTTCAGAAAATCTATCATAAGATTTAGGAGAGTTTTTATCAAATAACCCCTGTTTGATGTATACCTCTCATTAGTTTTAGTAGGAGCTCTCTCAATTCCTTCCCTATCTCTTTTATAGTCATAGGAGTGATTATTGAATCCTCTCGAATCATTAAATGACCTTCTTGCTTGAAAGTCCTTTTTCATTTTGAGCATTCGATGGAATTTTCTACTGACTAGAGCAAATTCTTTCTCAAACTCTTCTCCCATATCAATGTCAGAGTCACTATCACACTCTTGTGCTTTGAAGGCTATAACCTTTCTTCTCCTATGATCATCTTTGTTCATTTGTATTATGACTTCCTCGTGGCTTATTAAAGATCCTATTAGTCTTTCTATAGATAGTGCCTTTAAGTCTTTGGCTTCTTCAATTGCAGTACGTTTAGGCAACCACTCTCTAGGAAGACATCTTAGTATTTTTCTGACCAGATCCTTGGTCTCAAAAACTTTTCCTAGTCCTTTTAGCCTATTTATCAAGTCATTGAATCTTTTGTACATACTGGAAATTGATTCTCCTGAGCTCATTTCAAAAGATCCATACTCATTTAGTAGCACATCTATTCTACTTTCTTTAACTTCAGACGTACCTTCATGAGTGGTTTGAAGAGATTCCCATATCTCTTTGGCTGACTCGCATTGGGCCACTTGACTCCTTTCTTCAGGACTTAGTGCAGAGAACAAAATATGCATAGCTCTGGAATCAAGCTGAGAGGAGATCTTCTGCTCTTCTTTCCAGTCTTCTTCATCTTCATCTTCCATGGGAATTGGTCCTTTTCTGACTACTGCCCATAAATCTCCATCTACACCACGAAGGTAAATTCGCATTCTTTTCTTCCAAACGGTGTAGTCTGTTCCATCAAACCATGGAGGATTTGTGTTTGCTGAATAGGAGACTGCTGTTGAAGATGATCCTGACATCTTTGAACCTTACTCTTTGGCGATGATTAATCCCTCAAAGAGCAGGCTCTGATACCAATTGTAAACTCAAGATATGAGAATTGAGTGATTCAGAGTTGAATACTATTTAGTTGTTAGAATTCTCTCTTGGAATAAAAGAAGGAAAGCTTTTATTCAAAGTGCAAGTTCAGTACAAAGAAACCGAGCCAAGCCAAATAACTTGGCTCTTTAGATAAACAGACACTCAAAACATTCACTTCGCAAGATTGAATCACCCAGTATACCCATACACTGTGATTCTTTCTACTGAAGCAAACACACTCCTTAACTCGAAGAAGAAGAGAATCGGAACAAGATGCTCTCACTACTACAGTTACCAGTCACACACAAATATGACAGAGAGCTTACAATATATACTACTGGAGATGAATAGCTGTTGCCTGGAGCAGAGCCTTCTCTAGCCTTTATCATGCTTTCTTGTAGAGACGGTGCTAGGAGGAGCGGATGCAGAAAAGCTGGAGCGTCCGTTAGAAAGAAGACGAACGAGAGGGATGATCTGAGAGATCATCAATCGAGGAGTCCAGTTTTGACTTCGAAGGATGATGTTTCTTTAAAACGGTGTCAAAGAGATGAATGGAGGATGGGGGAGAAACGTCGTCGTAGTGGAAGCTTCTGACTGAGAGAAGCGTCGCCGTTTTTAAGCCAACAAAAAGTACTCCGAATTATCAGCAGGGGATCTCATTAGCATTCTCCGAATGATGGCGACTTTCAGCAGGACGTTAGTCCGCTTTCTAATGCACTTGCAGATGCAAATGTCTCCTTGTTTCAGCAAGTTGCCATCTGCAAATCCCTCCGAGCGTCAGAGAAGTATACATACTTCTGTTCATACTTGTCCTTCGTGTACCTATCGAGTGCCATTGGCCAATTTTTATCAGCGACCTGAAGCTTCAATGACATCTCAATGTGCCTAACTGAAAAGCCTAAGGGTTACTGCAAATTCAAAAAGGTCATGAGTGTCAAGAACCAGTTGGTCCCAATAACTCGAGTTATTGGGAGAAGGTTCTGCTGGATCTTATACCACTCTCTAACACGCCCCCTCAAACGAAAGCCAATCCATGGGCTTGAAGTTTGCACGGGCCCACCATACCTTGTGCTTTAATCAACTGTTAATATTGGGGGTCGTGGAGATTCGAACACACGACCATTTGGCCAAACCAGCTCTGATACCATGTCAAAAACCAGTTGGTCCTAATAACTCGAGTTATTGGGAGAAGGTTCTGCTGGATCTTATACCACTCTCAAACAATGAGCAATTCATGTTATTACTGTATTCAATAGTTCAGAAAACAAACACACAAACCTAAAGCAGCCATTCGCATCTTAGTAGCGGTTCTATCAAATATACTACTTGGAAACCGAAGCAAAACAATCTCAGTTGCTCTTACTTTTAACTTAGTCGTGATTTGAATGTAATACCAACAAGTCAACAGAAGTCAAAAGGTCAACAACTAATAATACTGTCAAGAACCTGTTGGTCCCAATAACTCGAGTTGTTGGGAGAGGTTCAATCGTGAATCTTATACCATTCTCTAACACGCCCCCTCAAACGAAAGCCAACCCATGGGGGCTTGAAGTTTGCACAGGTCCACCATACCATGTGCTTGAAAGACAACGGTTAATATTGGGGGTCGTGGAGATTCGAACACATGACCTTTCGGTTCTAGGCTCTGATACCATGTCAAGAACCAGTTGGTCCCAATAACTCGAGTTGTTGGGAGAGGTTCAATCGTGAATCTTATATCATTCTCTAACAAATACTCTCCTCTGTTTCGGCAGAAAATGAAAGGGGCCGCTTCTCTCTGTGGCCTGTGGTGGGACCCAAATTCCTACATTAAGAAACACTCCGAACCTGACGCGCCTGTGCTTCCTTTTAGCCATTCTCAGCAAACAACAGCAAGCTCCAAACTTCCCACAGCTCTCTCAGCCATTCTCAGTCTGCCTTGGACTCATAGCAGCAAAGGCAACCCATTTTCCTTCTTCACTCCTCTTCCATTCTTCTCAACTCCCCCTTCTTCAAACCCACAAAATAAAACAACTGTTTCTCCTTCAGAAAACTACTCCAATGACGACCCATTTCCTGAAGCAGCTCACTGAAGAGACCATCAGTCACAAGAGAATGGTAAGCCCTTCAAAAAGTTCTGTCCTTTTCTTTTCATGTTCATCGATTACGGTTTTGTAAAGCTTGTTCATTTACTTTGTCAAAAAATTTCTCTCTGTTTATGTTTCAGCTGATTCCTGGGGAGTTTGTGAAGAAATGTGGGAGAGAAAATTTGACAAACCCGGTAGTCCTGGAGCCAACAGTTGGAGATCCAAGGGAGAGGGAGATGGAGCTATACGAAGTTGGTGGTGGGTTTTTGGTTGAGAAATGGTTGGCAGGAGTTGGTAGATCACTACAAACTCAGCCATGGATGTTATCTACTCTTTGAATACAAGAGCTATTCAAGGTTTAAGCTTTTGATGCTTGGGACAAATGGGCTAGACTTGGAGCTTCCTGCTTCCAGTTTTGTCAATGTTGGATCGAATGGGAACCAGGAGTTCCCAGAAGCTGCGGAGGAAGAGAGTGTAGATGCTCATTCTGTGGAGATCTTAGGTAGCTTGTCCATTTCAACTTTGTTTTCTTACTAGTTCATGACAAAAACCCCTTGCTGTTGTTTTGAACCTCTTCGTGTTTAGGGTTTGTTTCATGGCATGATTTTCTGTTGCAGAGGTGGGTGCAGGCTCATCAGTGGTTAAGGAGATGAACACCAATAATGAAGGTGGTAGAAAGCAGCCAGCCCAGCCGCGGTCTGCAGAGAATGCAATGCAGAAAGGGGTCATCAATGCTAGTAAGTGTTGTTCGTTCATATAAAAAGGGAAGAAAGAAACATAATCATATTTTGCATAAATCTCTGTAGGGAAAAGGAGAATAGCTTATGATGGAGAGAGCAGGCAAGTGAAACAGGATGCTCCAAGGAGAAATAGAGCTAATAGAAGCCCCTTTGGAAGGGGTAAGGATGAGAATTCTCGTATTCCTTCCATTGCTGAGCAGGAAGTTACATAATGTTTGCTTTCCTGACTCTTAGAAAACTGAAATGTGCTTTCTTTTTATGGAAGAGTTAAAATGTTTGTTGATCAACGGATATATTTGTGACAGACGAACCAGCTTCTTCTAGGAGGCCTTCTAGCTCAAAGCCTGGCAGACCCATAAATACTGAAGATATAGATGAAGATATAGCAAAATTCACTGGTGCTTGTCATAACAGAAGCCCTTTATGTTTTGTATTTCTTTGTTCTACGGGTTTACATGGTTTGATTTCGGTTGAGATTTGCAGGATTATCTTTGATGAATGACATGAACTACAACAACAATGGAGATGGTGATGGAAGACAGCCGTGGCTTGCTGAGAATGCCAACCACGAAGAGTACATGAGAACCGGTGACAGTGAGTATTGGTTCGATACCTAAACAGAGAAGAAAGAGCAACATTTTGATCATACTTTCGTCAATATCTGCAGGGAAAAGGAGAAGAACAGCTGAGGGTGGACAGCATAAGAAAGTGAACAAGGAACCTCTAAGGAGAAGTAGAGGTAACGGGAGCTCAATTCCATTCATGGTTGAACATGAAGGTACGAATTTTTTTTCCTTCCTAGCTTTCGGGAAGCAAAAAGTGCTTTCTTCTAAGTTTCTTATAGAGTAATGAATGAAATTTGAGTTTTCTATGCTTGATAGTCGAACCTCCTTCTATGGAACCTTCAAGCTCACGGCACAGTAGACCAACAACTGAAGCTGCAAATGGGTTTGCTTCGCAAACTGATTTTCTCCAAGTTATTGTCTCAAAAAGTTCCTTGGCTAAGAAAGGCTTGGTACGTCGTCTCCAACAAGCGGTGTTTTATTGTAGTGGTTCCATCTAGTGCATACAACTGAAAAGTTTCTCTTTGCAGAGGATGAAGGGAGGTTTTGTTGAAAGGCATATCACCGATTGGAAAGATAAAATAGTGGAGCTTCAGGTTGAACAAGAAACATGGCCAGTGGGTATTGTATCAGACCATGGTGTCCCTACTCTTTCCAGAGGCTGGTTGACATTTGCGCGTCAGAACTCTTTGAATGTAGGGGACACTCTCATAATCGTTCCCACAACCACTGAAGGTTTTCTCACAGTTCATATTCTACGTGGTTCTTACAGGAAAGCTACTTGTTAGCTAGGAAATTGGATTGTTTGTTTAGGTGATTTTCGAGAATGATTATCATGGTAAGTTGTCAAAGGAATCTGTTCAGTATCTGATAATGTTGCTAATCCGCTGTTGAATGTTATCAGCTTATGTTGATGTTTCTATTTACTAATGTTAAGGAATGTTTCTGATATGTAGAATTAAACAATTGGGAGGTGGAATCTAACAAAAGCTCTAGTTTTCTAAACCCTTCTTAGTCGTCATTGATGTTCTTCTAAAATGTGTTCTTCAGAAAGAATTTGTTATGATTATATTCATTACTAAATGCTGAGATGGAACATTTATTTCGTGTGTATGACTCTAAAGTTAAATTTATAGGGATGAGAAGAAACTAAACCAGCAATCCATTAGCAAGCAAAAGACTGAAGCTTTTGAGTAAGGCCACCTAAGGCCAACCCAAGAATATGGGAAAGTCAAGTTGAAGCTAAAACTGTCCTTTTTCATCAGCAGGGTTTGGTTTATTTGAGGCTTTCAGCCTTCTGGTTCCTCGTAGTTGTTGAAGGAAATGGACAAACGTCAAATATAAATTTCCGAATAACACTTCTTTTCAATCAGTATTCAGGGAACCTTACAATAATTCTAACCATAATACAGAGATGACCTTGAAAAGGAAACAGAACCAAGAGCACGACATTATACAACATTATCTGAAACATTCAGGTAGAAAAGAAAGTTGTCCAGAGCTATGTCTGAATGTCTCAAGCAGATTTCTCGGCTTCTTCGGCCGCCTCTTCCTCTCGCAACTTGATCAAAGACGGAGGTGGTCGGACAACAATGCTTTTCTTCCATTGCCGGTCGAGCTTTCTTGATAACCTCTTGTTGATACCCTCTTCAACCTCTCTCTCGCGCTTAACAGTTAGCATGCGTGCAATCTGCATTCATTGATTAAAAAGAGAGGAACTCAGTCTTTCACACACAGGATATTATGTAATCAACGTAATGCGACAACAAAATGAAAGAAATAAACTATGGGAGCAAGTAATGATAGCTATATGATTGCGTCCCACATATATTGTCCAAATTGAACCATCTCTAGTAAACACAAACATGGTTCAGTTGGAAAATACTCCGAAAGCATGCCACTGCTTGGTGAAGATCTTATGGAACACAATGTAATTCATGATTCAACTCTATCATATCATTATCAAGAGGACCAAAGCTACATAACGCCTTCAACTTTCAAATGCATTGGCCTATGGTAAAAAAATAAAAGAAGTATTGGCCAGGAAGCATGGTATCTGCTTCTTTATGCCAGACACCCTTGATGACCGGATGGCTATTTCTTCCCCTGGTAGCAAAGAAAGTTAATATAAACTCTTCTTTGCAAAGACTAGACATAAACAGATAATGTGGGAGCTAAAGGAAGTTTCATCGTTGAGTGGCATGCCAGCCTATTTCCTGGCAATAAAAGCCAATGACACCCAAATCCAACCACTGGAAATTAATAACAAAATCCAGAATCCAACCATGTCTAACTCATGGATTCCAAAATTCTTTTACCAAGTCAGATAGATACCCTCCATGAGATAGATCTCAAGGGAAATCATAACATGTTAAGCTGTTGGTTTCATATCAGGCTCTATGAAAAACCCTGTCAGGTCTGAATACTTTACAATTTCCTTTCGGGGGTGAAAAGACTGGAGTTATTTTCTTGACAGTACATCAAATGCTGATGAACACCATGCTATGTACTAATCTAATGGCGTTCGCAATCTTAGACTGCTGAAACTGATTATAATTGCAACTGGTACAAACCTCTCATCAAATTCAACCCTCTTTACATGGAACTGAATACTTGACTACAAACTCATCACATGTTCTCCTTCTAAAGCGCAATCGAATTCTCTGGTGCTCTTCCCATTTTCAGTTCAAGCTAATCCATAATTTTACCTCCTACATCCAGCGCATATGAATAGCTTACTCACACATTGTAGTTCATCAATCCTCAAACTCTCGCATCAAAACATCAACTAACCAGAACCCTTTTGCCAAAACCAATGTTAGCCCGCTAAAATTAAGCTACCAAGTTCTAACTTCTAACCAAATGCAGCAAAATTCATCAATTCAAACCTGTCCACCATCGACGAGAAGTTAACAGCAAACACCACTTCCAAAACACCCCACCATCCTTTCCCAAACAGACAGTCCCATTATCCTCTATCTAAAACATTCTCAAAACCAAATACATTTCCCATTCGACAATTCCTTTAGAACGAAGGAGGGGGAAAGGGTACCTTCTTGCGCATGCGGCGGAACTCGCTGGACTTGAACTCATTCCTGACGGACTTTTGCAGGCGAAGCATGAAGAGCTCGCCTTTAAGGTCAACAACCTGCTCGTTGATCTCGTCGGTGGTCAAGCCTCTGATTTCCTTCAATTCCTCGTCCTTCTTCGCCATCATCACCACCGACGACGCCGGAGCTCCGGCAGACCTGTACGTCGTCCGGTGGCGAGCTCGAAGTGTCGGGAGAAGGCATGTCTGGTTGAGTTGGATGCCGGCGAACCCGGATTTAGGAAGTGGAAGGGAAGGTTTGGGAAGTGGTGTAGCAATTGAGAGGCTCAACATGGTCCTGCTATTTTGGGTTCTCTGGTTAAAGAGTGTGGGTGATGCTCTGAGGCTGCCCTGTAACCCGACCTCTGTCTCTCTCTCTCTCTCTCTCTGGAGAATAGATATGGGATATGGTTCCTTTCCCTATCCTATATCCTTCTTGAGGACTTCAGAAGAAAAAGGTAAATTACAATAACAGTCACTAATCTTTTGGGTCGTCAACATATCGATGGCTGATCTTTCATTTTCACCGATTTAGCTTGTGAAATTCGGATTAACTTGCGAAAACAGTGGATTCGTTCATCATCACCATTAAATTTCTTCTCCACGTTATTCATATCAGCATGTAAGAACACACACCCAATGAAGTCATAACTAGAGTTTAATAACCTACAAATAGTATAAGTTAATAACAGGTAACAACCCTGCAGAGTTTCACAGTGACTTTGTAAACTTACTAAACTTCTTAAAATTCACAGGTCACAATCTTGCATGCTAGTCTACAGGACACAACTTTCTCAAGGTTATAGAGGTTCTCTGTTTCTGATTCAACTCCTTCCCTTCCCAGAACTGAGAGCCTGGTTCCCGATTGATCTCATGCTTCCAACTGTAGCGTGCATCTCCAGATAACAGAACCAGAGATCCTGGAGGCAAGTAGACAGGAACCTTTCCAACCTTCCCCCTCTCTTCATCCTCTTCCTCCGCGTCCTCCCTACCCTCTTCGTGTTCTACATTGCTGAAATGCATCACACACGACGATTCCAGAGAGACGATAGCAATTCCGTCTTCAAAACGCATCAGATCAACATGTGCACAGATTCCCTGCAACATTGCCCGAAACATTCCATTCAAGACCGATCCATACAAAGATATGCGCACGCTATACTAACCGCAGCAAACAGAGAGATTCATCCTACCTAAATGAAGCTACAATTGCAAGACAAAGAACCACAAAAGAAGAGAAACAGGCTTGACATAATCCCTTGACGATATCACTACACATTCTCGCGCTGATGCATAATTGCACATATGGAAGAGATTCATAGTTCATTGATGAAAATGCAGAAGTAAACAGCAAAGCTAGTGAGCTTACCTCAACTGGCTGGTACACATTTGCAATGAACTGATCAAACAGTGGCTGTCTCCACAGAATGTCTGGCGGCAGCAGCCTACCTCCTGCAGCCGCCTCTTCCGCCAGAACCACCGCGTCGCGTACAGAATTACAAAGCTCAGTTGCCCAGCATGGAAGATTCCCAAACCTCATAGCCTTTTTGGAGTTGGGACTTATCAGGAACTGCCTTCAGGTTAAAGAATTAGGTATAACGAAACCGATTCTCACCTGATTGTTAGAACCTTCACCGAGCCATCCTTCTGCAGTCAAGATCGGAAGCAATAGATAGCTAAAGCGCCAAGAACACAGTAAAAAGTTGGAAACTCAAATTCAGAAGACTAACGCACCGCGGAGGAGGGCGGAAAGGAGGCGCGACTGTTGCTGGGGAGACAGGAAGTCTCTGCACAGCCATAGCCCTCTGATTTCGACGACTGGCTCCCAGATTGGAGCCAGGCGCTTCGATCTATCGCCGCTTCCACCTCTCGCTTCGTCCTCTGTTATTGCTTCTTCCTCTTCTTCACTTGCCGATGAACCGCCAAACGCTTCTCTCATAACTGCCTTCTGCCATTCATCCATCGTCGCCCTCGGTGCCTCGTTCACTGTTAGGTATAGGTTCTGCACTCGATAATTGGTTAATTGAAACAAATTTTGATGGCTCGTACATTACAATACCTAAGAAAGGAAAGGAATTTCGACATCGATGTAGAAGGCTTGTTCTTTCTCAGCCTCATTCTCTTTCTTCTTTCCGAAAAAAGCCCAAAATACATATGTTTTTAAAACAAATATCCAAAATATACATTTTGTATGAAAAATTCCCAAAATACACATGTTGTGGCCGTCATTCACTGCGACAGACGAAAGAGATTAATGCATCACCGCGGTTGACGGTCACGGTGAATGCCCAACGTAACACTGAAACTTCTAACGAACGTAGCTTTGTGCTCGGTTATCCGATTGCAGCGAATGTTTTTTTATACCGCATAACTTTTCAAGATTTTTCAATCATTAACAAACCTTCAACCCAAAAAAATGTATTTGCTACACCGAACAAACAATTTTTCGATTTTTTCAAACTTCGGAAGGCCATAACTTTTGCTCCTCAATCCGAACGTCATAAAATTTTTTTTATTGCACATAACCTTTTAAGAACTACAAGTTTTACTAGGAAAGAATTTTTAAAAAAGAAATATTTTTGGGTATGTGGGATTTTGGGAATAACTTTGTCTTTACTTTTCACAAAGCTACATACATTCCCAAATTATGGTTATGATAAAAGTTGTAGTCTTCCAAAAATTATGCGAAATACAAAAAAAGTTTCATGACATTCGGATTACGGTACACAAAGTTATGGTCTTCCAAAGTTTGTCGAAATAAAAAAATTGCTCGTTCGGGGTAGCAAACGACATTTTTTGGATGAAGACTTGTTGCAGATTGAAAGATCTTGAAAAGTTGTGTGGAATAAAAAAAAATTCTCTACAATCGGATAACCGAGCACAAAGTTACGTTCGTTTGAGGTTTCAATGTTAGGTCATGCATTCACCGCGACTGTCAACCGAGGTGATGCATTCACCGCTTTCGTCTGCCGCGGTGAATGCATTCACTGCGGTTGTCGGTTGACGACCGCAGTGATGCACAAACATGTGTATTTTTGAAACTTTTCATAAAACATTTGTATTTGAGGATTTTTTTTTTAAAATATGTGTATTTTGGGATTTCTTCCCTTCATTCTTCTCCTCCACGTCTTATTTACGATTTCCCCCCCAAAACATACATGTTCTTAAAACAATTTCCCAGATACAAAGATTTTTATGAGATATTCTCAATCTACACATGTTTGGCCTTCACCGCGAGCATCAAACGCAGTGAATAACATCATCGCGGCCGTCAAACGCGGTAAATAGCATTATTGCGGCCGACAAAAGTGGTGAACGCCTAACTTAGGCCAAAACTTCGAATGAACGTAACTTTACGCTCGGTTATCCGATTGGAGCAAATTTTTTTTCGTTCCGCATATTTTTTCGAGATCTTTCAATCCTCAAACATCCGGTGGTAGTTTGGTCTTGCCTTCGTCCCCAAAAAATATCGTTTGCTACCCCAAACGAGCAACGTTTAGATTTCGCCGAACTTTGGACGACCATAACTTTGTGCTCTACAACCCAAACGTCACAAATTAATTTTGATTTCGTATAACTTATCAAGGACTACAAATTTTACTAGGAATGAATTTTCAAAATATGAAATATTTTTGGATATAAGTGGTTTTGGGGATAACTTTAGCTTTAGTTTTCACAAATCCACATACATTCGAAACATATGTCCATGATAAAAGTTATGTGAAATAAAAAAAATTATGACGTCCGAGTTGCGGAGCACAAAGTTGTGGCGGTCCAAAGTTTGGCGAAATCTAAAAATTGCTCGTTTGGGATAGCAAACAACGTTTTTTCGGGATGAAGGCTGGACACAAGAGCCTCTGCCTGTTTGCGACTTAAAAAATCTCGAAAAATTATGTGGAATCAAAAATTTATTTTTTTGCTATGATTGGATTACCGAGAGCAAAGTTACGTCCGTTCGAAATTTTGGCATAGCTTAGGCGTTCACAACTTCCGACAGCCGCGGTGAAGCATTCACCTCTTTTGTAGGCCGCGGTGAAGCATTCACCGCTTTTGTCGGCCGCGTTGATGTTATACACCGCGTTTGACGGTCGCGGTGAACCCCAAACATGTGTAGATTGAGAATATTTCATAAAACGTCTGTATTTTGAGAATTTGTTTTAAGAACGTGTGTACTTTGGGGGAAAATCCTTATTTACAAGGTTGTCAACCCGATTTGTACAGTCACGCCGGTTTAGTACCCGACTAAACCGGTGGTATAATCGATATGTGTCGGTTCATATCGGTTTAACAATTATGTAGAAATGTGTAAAACCATTTGCATCAAATGAATTTAATCATATATAAAACAGATTTCAACATTATTTACTTACAATCCTTATACATATTCAAATAAAATAGAAAATTTCAAATAATATAACAAGTACACATTTAAATACAATATTAAATGTCAATACATAAACATGTATAGTTAAATCCAACAAATAACATCAAAATTTAACGGTTAAATTCATAAAATGAATAATAAATTACTTTCATTAATTATATTCACTATAACGATTTCATTTTGCTTAGAAGTCGTATATCGAACATATCGGTCATACCGATGGTGTTCATGTCGGTTCATGACCGACACAAGTTGCACCAGGTTCAACCGACCGACACGCCACCGGGATGACAATCGTGCTTATTTTGTCTCGTCTTCTGGAGGGAGATGGATGGAGAAAGGGACCCGATTTAGGGATGGGAATTACCCATTTAGGGGTAATTTAACAGTTGTTTGCACTTTGGAGGTTGGATTCTCTAAATTGATGCATTTAATCAATTTGTGTATAGTAATTTGATACATTGATTAAATGTATGTGTTTGTGCCAGCTTGCTCAAGACACGAACAATGATATTTGTTGGTGTGGGTTGACTCGTCGTCCGTTCGTCCGATCCCGTCGGGAGGGGGAGAACCTGTGAAAGAGCCGGGGTTGCCCCCCGGATTAAGCTCCGACGAGCAAGTCAGTGTATGTTTGTGTAGATGAATTGAGAGAATAGATAGAGAGATAAAGTGTAGAGATATAGTTGAAAGTGGAAAGTGAGGAGAGAGAGAAAAAGTCCCTTTCAATGGGGAGTTTCATGCCTTTAAATACTTCGTAGTGGTGTTCGTCCGGAGCACGTTACCGATTGAGCGCGCCCTTATTTAGTCCGCGCGTGGAGTATTTAGTAACACCCCCAACAATTGCCCCCCAAGCTGGTGGTGAGTCTTAACTCATCGCTAGCTTATTATTATTATTATTTTAAATCTTCGTAGGTAATTTTGGGTGGAGCCCTATGTACCCCAGTTGCCCCCCAGCTGGTGGCGCGTTTGACTGACGCGGTGCCAGCTTCTTGCGTCTTGCCCCCCAGTTGGTGTATTTCATTAAGGCGTGTAGCCTTCACTCATTGTAGATTCTTCATGGAGCTCTCCTCGTCGGGTTTTTTTTTTTTAACCCTCAGTTTGGAGTCTTCGATGCTCTTATTGAAGTCTTATTTGTGTGCTTCGTTGAGACTTATTTGTGGCTCCTCGTCGGGGTTTTTAACCCTCAGTTTGGAGCCCTCCTCGTCGAGGTTTTTAACCCTCAGTTTGGAGTCTTCGATGCTCTTATTGAAGTCTTATTTGTGTGCTTCGTTGAGACTTATTTGTGGCTCCTCGTCGGGGTTTTTAACCCTCAGTTTGGAGTCTTCGATGCTCTTATTGAAGTCTTATTTGTGTGCTTCGTTGAGACTTATTTGTGGCTCCTCGTCGGGGTTTTTAACCCTCAGTTTGGAGCCCTCCTCGTCGGGGTTTTTAACCCTCAGTTTGGAGTCTTCGATGCTCTTATTGAAGTCTTATTTGTGTGCTTCGTTGAGACTTATTTGTGGCTCCTCGTCGGGGTTTTTAACCCTCAGTTTGGAGCCCTCCTCGTCGGGGTTTTTAACCCTCAGTTTGGAGTCTTCGAGGCAATGTGCCCTCTCCCTTAGCGCCATTAACGCTCATGAGAGTAAAATATTTCAATATTTGATAGTGATAAAGGGATAGAGTACTTAGCTTTCTATTGGCGAAGCGGCGCGAAGAGAGTTAAATAAGAGTGCTGCGCCAAAGAATCACAACGCGCATATGTAGTCTGTTGGTGATATGGCTTGTCTGGCTGAGGAGTGAACGCGGGTTCAATTCCTCTTGGCGTCGACATTTTCGTTTTGGTGGTCTCAGCGCCTGTTTGTAGGCTTTGCGGACCATGTTCCGCGGGCCTGTTGTCGAGTTGTGGATTGCCCATCTTTGGTGAGTGGGCCGCGAGTTGGAGAAGCAGCGCGAGCAAAAAGGTAAAATAAACCTTCCGCGCTCATTTCACAACAATTGTCACGTAGTCCACTGGTTCCGTTTGCTTGCACGCGAATGTTTGGTCAGCGGTTCGACGCCTGTCTACCACGCATGATTTTTGGGGTGCCTCGCGCACGACTGAGCGGGGTGGGCCAGAAACGCGAGCTGAAGGGTGGAGCGGGCCTCGAGTGGGCTTGAGGCGGAAGGTGGGCCCGGTGGCGCGAGCTGAAGGGTGGAGCGGGCCGCGAGTGGGTATTGATGCGGAAGGTGGGCCGCGACCCAGGCTGTGGCCTGTGATGCTGACTCGGGCGCGGGCCGCGAGTTTGAATTTGTTGGCCCATGTAAGGCGGCTCGTAGCGGACTTTGAACGCGGGACGCGAGTAGGTGCTGGCGGACACATTTGGTGCACGAGAGTGGGCCTTGTGGATCGCGAGTGAGGAGATGTTAAAAGAATGCTCCTCGCTTATGTGACCAATGGAGTCTTGTTGCATACTGGTTAGTGCGCTTGTCTCCTGGAGAAGTGGCGCGGTTTCGAACCTCCGCGACGACATTCTTTCTCGATGGCGCTTGTAAGGTTTGTTGCTGATCGGGCCGTTGTTGGTGTCGAGCCATGCGATGCATGGCGTTTGAAGTGGGCCGCGCGTTAGGGTTCGGCCCGGGGCTCTGAAGTGGAGCGGAGTTTGTGAGCGGGCCGTGGGTTGCGAACTGGAGTTGGGTGGACCCATGTGGAAGAGAGCAGACTTGGCGGAAGGAGAGTTGGGCCGTGAGTTGGGATTCGGGCTGCGGGTTGGTGGCGCGGGCACACAGTCTCGGTGGATATTGGTGGAGCGAGAAGTAGGGTAAATATCCTTATTGAGTTTTTTTTTTTTTTGCTCGTAGAGAGATGGGAGAGAGAAGCTCAAGTCAAGCGCGACCCCGCGCCGTAAACGAAATTTGGCTGGTCTTGTGTCACGAGGCGCGCATAGATACACGAGAGTGCTGGCTTTGGAGGCGATCTCACAGAACTCGCATATGTTGTTGTGCGTGAAAAAGCGGAGCGCAGAGAGGCTGAGCGTCGGAAAGAGCGGAGCAGAGCTTGCAGCGAAATCGATGATGGCGGCTGGTGAGCAGTTGCGGCAACCATTATGCAGCGAGGAAGGATGTCGATAGTGGGTCGTCTCTTGCCTTGGTAACTGTGCTTGCCTCGAAAACTCTGCCCATCTTCGAACCTCCGCAACGACATTCTTTTTCGATGGCGCTTGTAAGGTTTGTTGCTGATCGGGCTAGATGTTAAGCGGGCCGTTGTTGGTGTCGAGCCATGCGATGCATGGCGTTTGAAGTGGGCCGCGCTTTAGGGTTCGGCCCGGGGCTCTGAAGTGGAGCGGAGTTTGTGAGCGGGCCGTGGGTTGCGAACTGGAGTTGGGTGGGCCCATGTGGAAGAGAGCAGACTTGGCGGAAGGAGAGTTGGGCCGTGAGTTGGGATTCGGGCTGCGGGTTGGTGGCGCGGGCACACAGTCTCGGTGGATATTGGTGGAGCGAGAAGTAGGGTAAATATCCTTATTGAGTTTTTTTTTTTTTTGCTCGTAGAGAGATGGGAGAGAGAAGCTCAAGTCAAGCGCGACCGCGCGCCGTAAACGAAATTTGGCTGGTCTTGTGTCACGAGGCGCGCATAGATACACGAGAGTGCTGGCTTTGGAGGCGATCTCACAGAACTCGCATCTGTTGTTGTGCGTGAAAAAGCGGAGCGCGGAGAGGCTGAGCGTCGGAAAGGGCGGAGCAGAGCTTGCAGCGAAATCGATGGTGGCGGCTGGTGAGCAGTTGCGGCAACCATTATGCGGCGAGGAAGGATGTCGATAGTGGGTCGTCTCTTGCCTTGGTAACTGTGCTTGCCTCGAAAACTCTGCCCATCTTTTTTTTCTGACAGAGACCTTCCCCCCGTTCCTCGATTTGTGGTCTATTTACTGTAGTGGAGCATGCCCGATATTTGGGAAAGGGGTTGAACTCTACGGTTTCTCTTCACCGGAGGTCCAGCGTCGAGCCTAGTCGTCGGAGATGATTTGTGGTCTATTTACTGTTTCTCCTCATCCTGCGCGGTCATTGTAGCTTTGGTGGGCTGATTTGGCCGACGATGGGGAGATGGAGCAGAGGCATGGAAGAGTGGTTAAATAGGCGGAGGAGGCGGAAAGCAGGAATTTGCATCGCCACTGCACTGAAATTTCTTGACCAAAAAAAGAAGGATTTCTTTCAGAAGGTATGATGGTAGAAGACAAGAAGAGAGTGACGAAGATGGGGTGTCTTCCTCTTTTTTTTTTTTATGTTTCCACCATTCCTCATCTACTGAGGTCTCCTCCTCCTTTAGGAAGCAGATGAACAGAATGTCCAAGTGATGCCCCACGGTGGGCGCCAATTGTTTGTGCCAGCTTGCTCAAGACACGAACAATGATATTTGTTGGTGTGGGTAGACTCGTCGTCCGTTCGTCCGATCCCGTCGGGAGGGGGAGAACCTGTGAAAGAGCCGGGGTTGCCCCCTGGATTAAGCTCCGACGAGCAAGTCAGTGTATGTTTGTGTAGATGAATTGAGAGAATAGATAGAGAGATAAAGTGTAGAGAGATAGTTGAAAGTGGAAAGTGAGGAGAGAGAGAAAAAGTCCCTTTCAATGGGGAGTTTCATGCCTTTAAATACTTCGTAGTGGCGTTCGTCCGGAGCACGTTACCGATTGAGCGCGCCCTTATTTAGTCCGCGCGTGGAGTATTTAGTAACACCCCCAACAGTATGAATTTGGAAAATACTTTGTTTGGAGGTTTATTGTGTTTTTGTTATAAAGAAAAATTGGGTAGACAATCCATTGTTAACTATCTCACATTTTGGTAGAAATTGATAATAACTCATTTTGAGTGATTGGAGGTGGGCCAATAAAAAATGTAATACATGTATTCTATTTCAAATTTAACCAACAAAAAAACTTAATTTTGACATTACATGTGTTGGATAAATACATCACTTGAAATCCCAACCTCCAAACGACCGTTTTCCTAAAATCAAGTAAATCTATTGATTATGAGTATAGTATAGTAAAGTATATACGAGTTTAGAGTATTGTAAATGTGTTTGGGTATGGTATGTTTATTGCTTTCATATTCTATTAGAAATGGAGATTTCGAACCACCCACACTCTATTCTCATTTTTCTCAAGTTTCTTGATGTCGGATTTGAGAGACTGGAAGGAGACAGGGTGAGTGCTTGTGTCGAGTTTGACACTCCACATTGTCGAGTTTGACGTTAAAGTAATTGGCGAGTGATGTCTTCCCCCACTATATACCAAAAAATGTCCACAGAACAATCCAGAGAAACCGTCCAATCCTGACACCTACATTGCACGAATAGCAAACACGACATGCTTTATGTCTTAAGGAAGAACAAGAGCCACAAGACTTGCTTTCCGTTGGAATCGTGCCTTAGGCAAATGGAAGAAGGATGTTAGTTGGATGGATTGAAATTCTAGATGGATGTTTGGTCTTTTTAGGTTTGTCAAAATTATGATTTTTTCTTTGGAAAATCCTGATTCGCATTTTGCCTACTACAAAGGGTCTACTTGAGAAGGACGTGGAGGTGCTGGGTCATTGCCTTGTTTGTTGAGCGGAGAAGAAAAAAATGGAGCACCTATGCTAGAGTTGGTAGCTCTTCGGAAAGCCTTTTCATTGGCGTGTTGCTAAAGGGCTAAGTTCGGTGTTGGTGCAAGGGGAAACCAAGGTGATTATGGACGAGGTAAATGCTAGGTGTATGACCGATGCTTAAGGTGGCGCTATTCTTCGTGATGTCTATGCTCACAAACCCTAGTATAGTTCGTCAGTGGACAAAACAATAGGATTTCTCATCTGATGCCAAGAAAAGCTCTCGTATTGTCGTCAAGTGATGTACTAGGGTTTGATTTATTGTGCTTGTCTCCATATGGAGTTGTAATCGTTTGATCTATGTTTCTTGACAATGCAAGCTATCTTTGATTTTAAAAAGTTTTGTCTGATATTCTGCACCTACATTTGAATGAGAAGTTATAAATAATTTAAAGGATAAACTTTTGGATGTTTAATTGATTATTGGAAGAAATTAGGTATCATATCCTGTTTAATTGATTAGTGGCAATGCGGGGGTTCATGTTTATTCCCCAGGTCCCTTCTGATATCATACAAACAATCTTGAACTGGCCCCGCAATAAGCCAACTAGCACGAAAGAATGGTGTACCAAATCCCTTCTACATGATCTCTGCTGGAGCATCTGGTTAGAGAGAAATTGCATGACTTTTGAGGATAGAGCTGAAACAGAATTTGTTATTGCATACAAAATAGGCGACCTGATTGCAAGGTGGCTTGTAGCAGAAAATAAGGTGGAGAAAGAAATTGCAGAAGCATGGCTTGAATCTCTAAGGTTAAGAACTGTTGCCAGCATATTGTCAAGACCCTCCTGAATTTGCAGATATTTCTTTGAAGTCACTACAAATAACGTGTTATTAGTGACAAAAATTAGTGATGACGGGTCGATTTTGTCGCTAAAAATGACTTTTAGGTACGTAATTTCACTTTCGTCAATAATATTTCGTCAACAAGTTATGTATTTGCGAAAAACCATAGACGTCGTCGATTAAGACAAGAATCTTTGTCACTAACTTACTTTTTGGATGAAAAAATTGGCGCCATGATTATCTGCTACGAATAAAATCTGGTCATCAATAATATTCCGTCAAAACATTGCTTTCGTGATAAAGCCTACATGTCGCCGGAAAAGAAAGACGTTAGTGACAAATTTTAGCGAGGGGAGGTCAAAGTCGTAGCAAAAGAATACTTTTAGGGACGACATTACACTATCGTCAATAATGTTTCGTCAAAATTTTATGTATTTGCGACGAAGCCTGTATCTTGTCGGCAAAAATATGAATCTTTGTCACTAAGTCTAATTTTTGGAGGGGAAAATTGGCGCCATGGTTATTTATGATGAATATAATTTGTTCGTTCATAATGTTTCGTCGCAAAAAGAAAATTCTGTGACAAAGGCTATTCCTCATCGATAAAATCTGAATCCTCGTCACTACGTTCATTCTTTGGAGATAACATTTGGCGCCAACTTTATTTTGTGACGGACAAAATCCTTTTAGAAGTAATGTTTCATAAAAAAAGTATTTCGTGACAAACCATATTTCTTGTCGATAATAACAAGAATCTTTGTCACTAAATCTACCTTTTGGTGGGAAAAGTTGGTGACACAGTTATTTTTTATGAATCAAAGTTAGTTGTCAGTAATGTTTTGTTGAAAAAAAATATGTAATTGCGACAGCCTATAACCCGTCGGTGAAATTTGTTCCTTAGAATTTATTACGTGCATTAGTCCCTTTTTGTGATTGGTGCCAAATCCCATTATTGTACCCATATCAAGTACATTCTGATCAACCAATGGGTAACATAGATGGGAGAAAGGGATTAGCAACAATTGAGAAATCAAGTCGGATATAACCACTAAGATGAAGTTTTAGCTTCTGTTGGCAGCCAGCTATTGAAAATCGAAAAGCCAAGAAAAGGCTATCCCAGTGGAATAATATTTGCAGACGACCCAATGATACTTCCGCCGAGCCCTTTTTTATTAACATAATAACCACTAAATCAGCTGCTTTTTTTTTGGTACCAACAATTAAAAATTGTTTTCTCCTACTTGCCGCATCAAAAACTAAATCACAAGCTTCTTATAAGAAATGAGCGGTTCTAGTAACGAAATAAGATTTCATACACATACAAGAGCTACCCACCACTGGAGAGACATTTCATTAAATACCTTGGGTGCCTTTGGAAAGCTCCATGAAAATCCCGGTGTTGCATAACAAAGCATTATGGAATGAAAAATACAAATAAAAAATACCTACATACATATCCTAGTACAGATCTCATCAGAAAGAAAGGATTCCAATTCTCAAAATTAGATTGTGGAGGGTTTACTCCGACATTGTGAAATCTAATCATAAAATATTATAGAAAAATAAAAATAAACATTTCAGTCTACAAATCCTCAATCCCCTCTCGACTCCAATTCATCTCATCTTCATCATTGTTAGTCCCTTGCCAGTTCTTGAAATAATCTCTTGTTGATATGCTTCATCATCATCATCATCTCCACCATCATCTTCTGGCATCTGAAACAAATTTCTAGGCTTTGTTTCAATAATTGTTGCCCAGTCAGTCAAATTCAAAATGTATTAGAGATGACTGGTAGCCATCGCAAAAAAGCTTTTACGCCGGCTTGTCATGCAATTTTTTTTTTGGGGGGGGGGGGGGGGGGCTAGTATTTGGAACGGAGTGTGATGACCTCATGGCATCACAAAATACCATTTGCGACGAAATATAGTATTTATAATAATATAACATTTCATATTTAAATACTAAAAATTAAGGCATTCTCTCTCTTCTTTCTCTCTCCTTCTGCGTTCTCTGAATTGAAACCTATTTTGCGATGGCAACCTCGCCGTCGGCCGCCGCGCGCGGCTGGCGAGGGTTCTTCATCTTCGTCCTGGGCTCACTTATTCTCTGTGGCACCGGAAAAGAGGCTTGTTTATCATCCTCCAGAACGAGTCAAGGACGGGTTTCGGATTCCGCAAGCAGTGAAGGAGAAGGGCATGGAATGATGGAAGTTGTCTCTCATTGGGCAATTCGTTGGGAAATGTCCAAAGGTAGCGGAGCTCCAGTCTTGGGCTAACCGCCTATGGGGAAGAGATGGTACGGTTCGTGTGTCTAGGTTTAGTCCTAAGGTGTTGGTGTTTCAGTTTCCATCGCTGCAGTCGTGTGACTGGGTTTTTCAATTGGGGTCGTGGCACTTCATGGGTAATTCGATTTTCTTTCGTAAATGGGAAGCGAGTATCCAGGCTCTTCCTCCAAAAGTGGAATCTCTGCCGATTTGGGTCAAGCTCTGGGGTTTGCCGCTTGAATACTTGGGACATGATGGGATTGAATGGGTTGCGAGCACAATAGGTAAGCCGCTTTGGACTGATCAGAGGACTCGGTTTGGGGTTCAATTAGGTTTTTCTAAGGTTTGCATAGAAATTGCAGCTGATAGTGAGTTCCCTTCACGAATTCGAATGTACCCAGATAATGATCCTGTATTTGAGATTGGCGTTGAGTATTTGCAACTGCCTAAGGTTTGTCCGAAGTGTTTTATCTTTGGTCATATTTGTCAGAGGGAAACCCAAAAGCAGGGAAATGTGTAGCCTGCTTCAAGTCTTCCAGAAAGTGTTGTGACAGGGGAGACTAATAAGGTTGGTGGGGGAACTGACAAAGATAATGCGAGTAGCTCTCCATAGGTTAGTTTTCTGGACAGTTGTAATGATGTGGGACAAGCTAACGAGGTTCTTGATCTGGGTGTGGTAAATGATGTGAATTTTGTTGGGGAGGCTGCTGTTAATTCAGAAACTGTACAGGTTTTGGCTCCTAATATTATTGGGAGTCCTCCATTGAGTTTTGCTCAAATAGTGAGAGGATCACCACCAGAGAGTGGGAGTCTTTCTGCTGTTGAGCAATCTGTTGAAAGCAGCAAGTCACCAGTTTCTGGGAGCTTGTTGGCTTCTTCAACTCAAGGGGATGTTCTGGGGTCTGGGATGGGAAAGGAAAATAGGCAGCCGCCTGAGAAGGGTAAGAAAGTGTGGGTGGATTCTCTTTTGATTCCTCTTCAACCTAAAAGAGGGAAGGGGGGAAGGGCCGAGGCAAGAAATGAAGATTCTTACCTAGAATACAAGAGGGTTCAAGGCTGATAGCAAGTATACAACAGTATTAAAGAAAGTAAATAAATATAGTATAGATATAGTAGCCATACTAGAACCTAGAATAAAGAATACTGAGACAGATAAACTGTTGGCTAAGAGATTCCCTGATTGGATGAATAAGGTGAAGCACAATCAGGCAGGTTTGGGAAAGATTTACTGCTGTGAAAGAAGGATGTCCAACTTACCATTCTCCACTCCTCAGATCAATTTATTCAGTTTATGGTTGGAGGCACTCAGCCTTTCTTTGGCACGGTTGTCTATGCATCAAATGATGAAGGCAGTAGGCAGGCTCTCTATAATGAACTCAGTAGGATTAAAGTCTCTTTTGCTCCTTGGATTGTGATGGGAGATCTTAATGATATTAGACATCCTGATGAGGCTTCGAATTCTCCCAGAGTAGATGTTGCTGTGACTTGGTTTAATGAATGGATTGTTGACAGTGAGTTGGAGGAGCATCAAGCTACATGTCCCTAGTTCACGTGGCTAAACAAACAGGTAGCCAATCCTATTGCTAAGCGCCTTGACCGAGTTTTGGTGGTCGATCACTGCCCTATGTTGGTTGACACGTCAGCTTCCATTAAGTCACTTCTTAAACCGTTCAAGTTCTTCAGATTCTGGATCCATCATCCCCACTTTGATGAATTGTTGGAGGAGGCTTGGAGAAGCAAAGTAACTGGTACTCATCCTTTGATTAGGGTCTGCCAGAACTTGAAAAACTTGAAAAACTTACTAAGGAAGTTGAATAGAGAAGAGTTATCTGATATAAAGGAAAGGGTTAAGAAGAAGGAAGATGAGGTTCAGCAAGTTCAGCAAATGGCGCGCCCTAAACGATCCCTCCATTACTAATTTTGAAGCTGAAAGGAAGCTGGGGAAAGAGCTCAAAGTACTAATGGATGCTGAAGAGTGTTTCTATAGGCAGAAATCAAGAGAGTGTTGGCTCAAAACTGGGGATATGAATTCTGCTTATTTTCATCGCTCAGTAAGATCAAAACAGAAAAGGTGCACTAATAAAATGTTGAGGAATGAGTCAGGGGAGCAAATTCATGATGTGGATGGGATGGCTAATATTGCAGTCAAGTTTTACGAATCTCTCTTGGGAGTGGTGGATCCTGAAGTTGTTAAGATGCCTGATACTTATTTTGAAGATTTACTAAAGCATAAGCTTACTGGTGAATAGTTGGGCGGTCTGTGTGATCCTTTTATTGATGATCAAATTAAAGCAGTCTTATTTGCAATGGATGGGGACAAGAGCCCAAGTCCTGATGGTTTCTATGCTGCCTTTTTCAATATGCTTGGCCACTTATTGGAGCTGAGGTAACATCTGCCATTAAATTCCGCTTTGAACAAGATAGAGTTCCTAGGCTAGTTAATGCTACTATCCTCTCCCTTGTTCCTAAAGTTCCAAATCCTGATGAAATGAAATATTTTAGGCCCATATCCTGTTGCAATATATTATATAAATGCATCTCCAAACTTAATGCCAATAGGCTTAGTCCTCTTCTTCCTTTCCTAGTTAGGAAAAATCAGACTGCTTTTGTCAAATGAAGACTTATTGGTGAGAACATCCTTTTGGCTCATGAGCTTGTTCATAAGTATTCTCATCAAAATATTTCCTCGAGATGTGCTATCAAGATAGACCTTATGAAGGCCTTCGATTCTGTTAACTGGGAATTCATTTTGCAAGTGTTAAGATGCATGCAGTTTCCTGAAAGATTCATTAAATGGATTAGTATGTGTGTGTGTACCCCTATGCTGAGTGTCTGTTTCAATGGGGGTCTGGTGGGTTACTTTCCAGCTAGGAAAGGGTTTAGGCAAAGTGACCCTTTATCACCTTATCTGTTCTCTATAGCTATGGAAGTGTTCACATGCCTGCTGGATAAATCTGCTGTCAGTGGTTTTTTACCCTATCACCCTATGTGCAAAGGCATCCAACTCACACATCTGTGCTTTGCGGATGACCTTCTGGTCTTCTCAGATGGTTCTAACTATGGGATACAAGAATTGCAAAGAGTGCTAGAGTAGTTTAAAAAAGTTTTTGGGCTTAAGTCTAACCCCAGTAAATGTGAGGTCTTTTTGGGGTGGGGGGGGGGGGATTGACAAGGAAAAGAGGAAAGTTAGGGCATCTCGCTATGGTTACAAACTTGGTGAGTTCCCAGTTCGTTACCTGGGGGTCCCCCCTGATCTCTAGGAAGCTCAGCCTGTCTTCTTGTCAAGCCCTGATTGAAAGAATGGTAGCAAAAGTAAAAAGTAGGCAAGCTAAGTTACTCTCTTATGCTGGCAGGATTGAACTTGTTGGAACAATTTTATACAGTCTCACTCAATTCTGGATGTCAGTTTTTCTTTTGGCAAAGTCAGTAATTAAGGAAGTGGAGAGGATATGAAGCAGGTTCATCTCGAGGGTTGGTGTAAGGAAGAAACTAAGAGCAAATGTAGCCTCTCTTCCTTCATTCCCTTGCACCCCAATTTGAGGGGTAAGCCAAAATAGTAATTCTGCACCTGCAGTTTGCACCCCCTTACTGTTGCAAATTATCCAAATAGGTGCAAATGTGCTGGAAACTATGTTTACCCCTCACATTTGCACCCTCCTCCCATTTACCCCTCTTCCCAAACAGAGTGTTAGTAAACAGAGATGCTAAATCTGACGAACTGTTAAAGAACAACCTCCCCGGGATCCGATGGTGTATATGCTATTTCGGTATTCCGGTATACCGATTGTCGTCGGTATATTACCGGGTATTATCCTGTATACCGTTATACCAAATCACGCGATCGAATACCGATACTGCCTGTATTCGGTACGGTATCCGATAATACTGAATACTGGTTTATCGATTACCACCCCTACATAATTCTTCCTTCCACCATGCCCTAAACGACCATAGGAGGAAAAGGATTCCATGATTCTACAGCGTGTCAAATCTGTCACTTCAGGGCATGGGCATTTATATTATCATTGAGACAGAAATCAAGACATTAGAGTGTGACACTATTTTTTTTATAATGGCGACACAAATTTTATTAATAATCAATAAGTAAACAAGCCAAAACAGAGAAACAAAGCCAAGAAAAGGTAATTAGAAACCCAGGACCGGCTGCATGTTTATGTAACACCAGCTGAAACCCAAACACTGCAGTATGGCTGGACTATGACAACACTGCAGTGTGGAACTATTCAAAGGATGGAAAATACACAGTCAAATCGGGTTATCAATTAGCTCTGGAAATAACATTGGCATCAAGCCGAAAACCAATAGTGCATATCATCGACCCTCCTATTTGGAAAAAGACTTGAAATATCCAAGTTCCGCCTAAGCTCAAATTCTTTACATGGCAATGCCTTAAAGTCATACTTCCCACAGTAGTGGCCCTTCAAACTCGTGGAGTAAACTGCCTTAATCGATGCCCTGTTTGCTGGAGACACCGAGAAAGCATTGAACATTTATTCTTCAGATGCCCCCTAGCCATAAGATTGTGGACTTTAGTGGGATTGAGCAACTTTATTGAGACCGCCCAGAATGTTAACTCTAGTCTATGGTGGCGACATGTCATGGTCTCCGAGACCGCCCCATTCCACATTCTCCAATGCGTCTGCTTACTTTGGAGAATCTGGAAGTCTAGAATTAAAGTGGCCTTCGAATTTATCCAACCTCATGTCCGTTCCCTAGCCAGATAGTTCTACAACCAGGTCCTCGAAGTCTCCAGTCTTCTCCTCCCCCTTCCTCCCCGCAACTCTCTACTCCTAAATCATCCTGCCACCACTTGGGTCCCTCCACCAGAATACTTTTTGAAGATCAACATCGATGCAACTGTTTGTGCCTCCGGGTGTTCATCTGGGCTTGTTATCCGTGGGTCAGACGGGCATGTGGTGTTGGCGTTCGGGTTGCAGCATCAAGGAATAGTCAACCCTTCTGGCAGAGATTCTACCTTTTAGGGACGCTCTCTCCTTTGTAGCCTCAAGATCCTTGACCCACGTGATAGTCGAAGGTGATTCCGAAGTGGTCGTTAACCAAGTCCGTCAAGGCGTCATAGAAGACTCGATTGGTGGTCCGGTGTTACAAGAGTGTCATCAGATGCTTAGTTCTTTGTCTGTTTGTATAGAGTTTCGGGCGGTACCTAGATCCGCCAACAGTGCTGCCCATAGAATGGCGCGTAAAGCACTGCTTTTGTCTCGTGTAGAGCTAGAATCTTTTGTTTTTTTGGATGACTTCTTTAAAATCTTTTAGGGGTTTTAGATAGAATTGTAAGCTTAACTATTATCTTCCATCGATATCACTCAGAACAACTTTCATTAAAATTATAGAGTTGGAACCATGAGCTAAAGAAGTAGAGAAGAAGAAAGGCGGAAAAGAGCCAACTTGCAAACCGTGGAAAGCTTTGGAATGAAGAATGGTGGGCAAAACAAGAAGGCAAAAGCCTCGTTTGGGATAACACGCAGGGGAATTGCTCTTGATAAGGAGAAGATGAAGTCCCATTTCTTCAGGGTCATGTTTGATTCCATGCTAAAAGATGCCACAGTTGTAAGAACTCTTTTCGCCTCAGTAATCCTTTCTGGTACGACGGATGATTTCCTTGTTCTGCGACATTTTCTATAGTTGTTCAGTCTGGTAGCTGAAAACTCTTTTTTAGGGTTTCATAAAAGAAGCAGATGTTTAGAATCTAGCGTGTAACTAGCTTTCTTTTGTTGGGCTGCGTTGCTTTCCGCAATGGGTTTTGTTTTCCCTATCTGATCACGTAACCCGCACCAAGAACTCACAAATCGTTGATTGTATCAGTACATTCCGACCGAGTTTGTGAAGAACAATAGATCCAGGCTAGGCAGCTCTGTAAAGTTGAAGGTTGCTAATGGTGATACATGGGAAGTTGAGCTGGCAGCTGATGATGATGGGCTGATTTGGTTGGTCAAGGGCTGGGAAGACTTCACAAAGCACCATTGTGTGAAGCAAGGTGATATTGTGGTGTTCCGGCTAGAACAGGACAGCTTATTTCACGTCATGGTGTTCGAACCCACTGGAAGTGAGAAGAAGTACAGTAGTGAGCATGTAAATAACCATGGAAGGCTGCTTAATGTCAAAGTTGAAGAGGAGATTGATGTGGGGAAGGATACAGGTTGTGGAACTTTTTGAGAACATTTGGCAATGTTGCAGGGCATTGTATTGTTGAACAGAACGTTCTGTACACGAAAGACTAATGCGGAAATTTGTATCTTTCCATGGACCAATCCCTGCAGAAAAGCTCAAGGAAGTGCAAACCAAGAAGCGTGGTAGAGAAGAGAAGAGGAATGCGAAATTGGCTGCTCCACTTGAGATTCCAAACCATCCATTGGAGACAAAAATGAGAGGTAACACTTACTATCTGCTTTGTTTTCTATGAAGCTGTGTGTTTTTTAACCTTCTCAAATGGGCAAATTGAGTTGAATGTTCTTTTAACCTTACCATACACATTGTGTTGTGATCGATGCTACGAGTTGGTGTAACCTCGGCAATACGTAATTCGGATCAGCATGGTGAGTTGAATGCTTTCATGACTCCATATGATGCAGGAGCACCGAGACCAAGGAGGGACGATCCCTCAACAAGCTCGACAAATCCAAGCTTCTCCATTACCATAACAGAGTATAGCATGAAGAGGGGCTTTACAGTAAGTTGATTCATTCATATCAAAGGGATAGAAATTTATTTTCAAGCAGGCTTCGTCTGCACCATAAAAATTTGACGGATATCTCTCTCTTGCTGACTGTGAAGACCTTGCCGACTGCTTTCGTGCACAACCACATGAGGCCTGAAAGTGGCCCTGTGAAGGTTTCTGCTGAAGACGGGTCGGGTTCGTGGGACTTGTCCTATATCTTCAGTGGACGCACTGGACGCACCCGTGGACGGGGCCATTTCGGTGGAGGTTGGCCTGTGTTCCGCAGGGATAACTCTCTGGAGCTAGGAGACGTTTGCAGGTTCGAGCTCACCTCCAATGGCCAAATGAAGGTGACTGTCGAGAGGCATTGAGGCTGTGGTTTGGTTTGCTTGTGTTTGAAGCTTTTGTGGTTTAGGGATTAATGCGTTAAGTAAGAAAAGTGCTAACTGCTAAGGCTGTGCTAGTGCTTTGTTTTGGGATCCTGGACTCCCCCATGAATTGTGTTTGACGGCTTAATAGTACTTTTAGCTATGATACTCAATAGGGTTTTTTGTTAATGTATCTATCTAATGTGAATAAAGGCACGATTCAACGACATAAATACATGTTTAAAAAATCGTTGTAAACACGCTAACCGAAGTGGTGACCAACAATAATAACATGGTAATAGATACAACATTCTTTCAATGTAATCAAATGCAACAAGACTAACATCAGAAACTAACTTGATAACATAGTTTTGCCCTGTATAAAACATAAAACACAGCACATGGCGTGCTTCAGAAACTGAAACAAAACTTCAACAAACGCCTTACCACTCTCCAAGTTAAATTACACTATCCCATTAATTCTCTAGTTAAAAAACTAGCATTGGCTTCATAAGCCATTAATAAACACACAAAATGGGCAAATACAACAAACTCCATTCTGGAGGCCTATCAAACTTTCAGCAAATTCAACCAGCTCTAATTGTGCTGAATAGTCACTTCCATTAGGCCATCGGAGATGAGCTCAAACCGGCAAACATCCCCTGGTTTCAGAGAGTTGTCCCTGGAGAATGCGGCCCAACCACCAGCAAATGAGCCCTGCCCACGTCCACGTCCACGTTTACATGGTTGATGAAAGACAAAGGACAAGTCCCATGAGCCGGACCCCTCTTCAGCGAGAACCGTCATAGTACGATTTTTGGGCATAGTACCATTTTTAGGCATCATGTGTTCAAACACAAAAATAACTGGCAGGCGCTGCTGCACAATCAAAGAGAGGTAGCTTTCAAATTTTTGTTATGCAGAACTTGCTCCCTAAAAAAAAGGGTGAATTCGTTCGATGGAAATGAATGAACCTACGATGTGACGATGCTTCATGTGACCTTCAGTTATGGTGATGGAAAAGTTTGGATTCTCTGAGCTTGTAGAGGCATCGCCCCTCCTTGGTTCAGGTATTCCTGCACCGAATTCGATCAAATTCTAAGCATGTGAACATATATGTAAAATGGATCAATTGAGAATGCCTGCATTCAATCCACTCTGTTGATGAAAGCTACAAACTTGCGAATGGTAAAAGCTAGCAGCACAGAAGACCAAGCAAATGTAAATGCATGAATCGAGAAGGAAACATTCAGCTCAGTCTGCCAAGGCAAACTTAATTATTTTTGAAAGGTCAAAAACTCGCAGCACAAGATAAAGCCTATATAGTAAAAGCACCTGTCACTTTTGTTTCCAATGGATGGTTTGGGATCTCAAGTGGAGAAGCCAATGTCCCCTTTATGTTCTCTTCTCCGTCACTCTTCTTGTCCTTCACTTGCTTGAGCCGCTCTGCAAATATTGGTGTTAAATGGACAAACAAATTTCTGACATGAACCTTTAAATTTTCCCTCTTCTCAGCAGTTCCATACCTTCAACCTCCTCCATTCTTCCAGTTCCAACCCTCTCCTGACCCTCCTCACAACCTTTCTCTTTCCCTGCATCAATTCCCCCCTCAATTTTGACCTCATTGAACATCCTTACAAGGTCGTTCGCATCCTTGACATTGTACTTCTTCTCGCTCGCAGTGGGATCGAACACCATTACACAAAACGAGCTGTCTTGCTCAAGCCGGAAAACCACAATATCACCTTGCCTCAAAGAATGGTGCTTTGTGAAGTCATCCCAGCCCTTGAGCAACCATATCAGCCCATCATTATCAGTAGCCAGCTCTACTTCCCATGTCTCACCGTTAGCCACTTTCAGTGTTACAGAACTCCCAAGCCTTGATCTATATCTCTTCACAAACTCGGTGGGAATGTACTAATAACAACAATTTGTCAGTTCTTAGTGCCGGTTACTTGATCAGAAAGGGAAAATACAAAACCTGTTGCCAAAGCAATGCAGATGTAACAAAACAAAGCTAGTTACTAGCAAGATTCCACACATTTGCTTCTTTTACAAAACCCTAAACAAACCCAGAAGTTTTCAGCTCTGTAAATAGATTTATCAACCAGTCTGGATAACTTCAGAATATGTTGCAGAAAAAGGAAATCAATAGTGGAATGAGAAAGAATCCCAGAGGGTAAGAGTTCTATGAAAATAGAAGAAACCCCACTGGCAAGTAAATGCAAACCCACAAGCTTCATGTCTACAGAAGAGGCTAGATGGCCATCATTCACCTATTCTTCTATATACTTGATATAGAAACCCTAAGCAAATGCATAGAGAAATTTTCACAAAAGTCAAAACAGCCGTGAAATTGCCAAATTGGAGTTCATAACAAAGGGTGAGCAGGTAGAGAGAGGGAAAAGGAAAAGATTTCTCACAATTTTGGCATCTTGAAGCATGAAATCAAGCATGACCCTGAAGAAATGGGGCCTAATCTTCTCCATATACGAAGCATTTCCCCTGCGTATTAAGCCAAAGGAGATTGTCTTCTTGTTCTGGCTACCATCCTCGCTTCCATAGCTTTCCATGCTGTTATGTTGCTCTTTTTCTCCTTCCCCTTCTTCTCTCTTTCCTTACAAGTTTGCAATTGCAGCAATATACTGAAGACCTCTGTTGTTCAGCAATGGGATATTAAGTCTTTTGTAAGAGACAATATCTTTTCCTGCAGAATAGTTGTTTAATGCTCTGATCAATGGCATCTCCTTTATTTTTTGACACATACATAAGTTATTCTAACTTGTAGCCATTTTGAGAAATTGGATATTTACTCTCACCTTTTGCCACCATCAGTCCATCACATTTTAAGCTTTCCTGAAACTACTGAGGCAGTAACTCCAAAACTGTGGTCCCAAATGAAATAGAGGTGAAAAGCTCATTTCTTCTGCATCAATGTTTACTCTTTCTACTCTTTCATCAAAGAGGAGACAAGGAACCCTAACAACTACTTTAGTCCCCAAATGGATCCTGAGATTACAGAAACAGGCCACACTTTCCCACTTGGATTCTGAAGTAGGGCACTTCTCTCCATTGACAGTCTCTGAGGTTTCAGAAAAGTCAGCCTCCTTGAAGATCATGATCCTCGAAAAATATGGGCCAACTGAGTCAAGCGGAATTAGGATCAATGAGATCATGCAAGGTGAAACCAACTCTAGTCAAACAAACATGGTCCAGTCAGGACAATCTACAAAAGCCACCGTTGCTTCCTTAAGATTCTCTCTGCAGCCACATAATAATGTTCAACATTGTCGTTCAACTCTATCAGACAACCATATCCCTATCAACAGGACAAAAGCTACATCACCCCTTATACATGCAAAGGGTTCAAACAAGACGTAAAGTAGCTGCGAAAATGCATCTTTTATACCAGTTAACCAGTGACGAAAATAGCTATCTCCTTGACAAGAAATGCAGATAAAGTATTATGTCTATGCATCAAGTTGGTGAATTTCCCTCTCTTAGACATGCTGAAACTGATTTCACAATTACAACTGGTGCAAAGGTCTCACCAAATTCAATGCTCAATACTTGATTAGTATTCACCTTATGTATATGGGTTCTTTTTCAAAAACCAGTATTCGATCCTCGGTACTTAGTCCATTGCCCGAAGAGGGTCTATCAGTCGTCAGCTCAAGCAAATCCAAGAATTCCTCTCATATTCATATGCAGATATCAATACCTTACTCGTAGATCACAGTTTGGCATTGCCATTGAGTAGAGTTCTAGGATATTACTATAAACCTCTGGACGAAAAATGGTAGCTCCAAGCAACCACTGCTAGTATTTCTACTGCCACAACAATAGGACGAACTGACCTCCCAGCTCCAATTTCGAACATCGTCTTCGAAGATGTAAAGCACAAAATCGAGCTCCAATGTTGAAACGAATGGGCAAAATATGGTGAAGAGATTGTTCGCTTACAACCTTCTTGTCGGGAGCCATCGATACGTTTAGGAGACAGCCAGCGACTGCCGGACTGGAAAGCCTTTCGAATTCGATCCATAGCAGACTATCACACGGATGGATCACGAACATACAATCCACAACACAATCAAGGAAATAAGAAATGCGACAGAACTACCATCAGAAACTAAAATTTGATAACAGAGGATTACCCTGAAAAGCCATAAAACAGAACTACTATCAGAAACTGAAATAAAGCATCAACAAATGTCTTACCACTCCCCCACATGAAACTACACTATCTCATTAATTCCCTCCATTTAAGGCTGGTAGCGGTTTCATAATCGACATCATCATCCATAAATAAACACATGCAACGAACAAACACAACTAACTCCATTCTAGAGGTTCTCAACCTTTCAGCAAAGCCACCCAGCCTTAAGCCCTCCGAATAGTCACTTTCATTTGGTCATCGGAGACGAGCTCGAACCGGCAAACATCGCCAGGTTTCAGAGAGTTGGCATTGCGGAATGCAGGCCAACCGCCACTGAACGAGGCCTGTCCACGTCCACCTTCACGTCGTGGTAGTAAGACAAAGGAGAAGGACCATGAGCTGAAACCCTTCTCATCGGAAACCATCACTTTACGGTTTTCAGGGACAGTACCATGTTCAGGAATCATGTGTTCATACACAAATCTAGTAGGCAGAAGCTGCACATGTAAAGAGAGAGGTGTTATGCGACACTTCCTAGGGGGGGGGGGGGGGGGGGGGGGGGGGGGGAAGCGAATTCATGTGATGGAAATGAATGGACCTACGATGTGACGACGCTTCATGTGACTTTTATTTATGGTGACGAAGAAGTTTGGATTCTCTGAGCTTGTAGAGGCATTGGCCTTCCTTGGTTCTGATATTCCTGCATCAAATTTGGTCGAATTCTGAGCTTGTGGGAGCGTAAGTAAAATGCATCAACTGACAGTGCAAGCATTCAATTTACTCCGTTGATACTAATCAACAAATTTGCAGAGGTCAAAAGCTAGAAGAATAAAAGACCAAGCATGTAAATGCACCAATCGAGAAGGAAACATTCAAGCTTACTACGCCAAAGCAAAATCGAGTTTGGGAAGGTCAAAAACTGACAGCATCAGAAAACAGATCATATAGTAAATGCACCTTCTGTTTTTATCTCCAGTGGATGGTTTGGTGTCTCAAGTGTAGCAGCAGCCGATTTCACCTTTCTCTTCCCTTCTCCACCACTCTTCTTGGTTTTCACTTCCTTGAGTTTTCCTGCAATGATTGTTCCATGGAAAGAAACAGATTTTCTGTGTTAGTCTTTCATGTTCAGAACCCTGTCAAATTTCATATTTTCTCAAAAGCTCCACTACCTGTCTCCTTCTCCACATCAAATTCGTCCTCAACTTTGATCTCATTCAACAGCTTTCCATGGCCTTTCAGATCCTTGTGGCGATAGTTCTTCTCACTGCCAGTCGGTTCAAACACCATGACGTGAAATAAGCTGTTCTGCTCTAGCCGAAACACCAGAATATCACCTTGCTTCAAAGAATGGTGCATTCTGAAGTCTTCCCAGCCCTTGACCAACCAAATCATCCCATCATCATCATCAATAACCAGCTCTACTTCCCATGTATCACCATTATCAACCTTCAATGTTGCAGAGCTGCCTAGCCTGGATCTATATCTCTTCACAAACTCGGTCGGAATGTACTGATCCAAAGCAACAATCTGTCAGTTCTTGGTGTGGGTTACTTGATCAGATAGGGAAAGCAAAAGCCATTGCCAAAGCAATTCAGGCCAACAAAAGAAAGCTAGTCACAAGCTTGATTCTCACACATTTTCTTCTTCTTTATTGAAACCCTAAACAAGCATGAACGAAAGTTTCTGCTTTGGAAGTAGATTTGAAAACCAAACTGAACAACTTCAGAAAATGTTGCCTAAAAATGAAATCACCAGGAGAATCAGATAGGATCATAGAGGGAAAAGAGTTCTTACTATTTTGGAATCCTGCAGCATGAACTCAAGCATGACCCTGAAGAAATGGGGCTTCATCTTCTCCATATCAGAAGCATTTCCCCTGCGTATGAGCCCAAAGGTGGCTTTTGCCTTCTTGCTTTGCCCACCATCCTTCATTCCAAAGCTTTCCATGGTTTGCAGTAGCTCTTTTTCTCTTTCCTTTCTTCTCTCCTGCTCTACCTTGTAGTTCTAAAGCTATGCTGAAGTTCATTTCCGTCGTCTGCAGTAGGTATATTATTTGTCTTACAGACAATAGCTTTACCCTGAAGGGATTCTTCTTACGTATAATTAGTGGGTACGCTTTTTGCCCAAAATTCTTGCTACTGTTTCAATTCTTGGCGTTTAGTGAGTTGCTATCTCAAACCTTCCACTGGAGATCTCTTTGAAACTCGACATTTGTGACCTCCCTGACCCACCAGAAGTGCTCGCCTGCTGCACTGTGCGACCATGTTTTCCTCTCTGCTCCTCTGTCAGCTTCATTGTCCTTCTCCCAATGACCTCCTCTCTGTATGCACGCCACCACCCATGCTGCTTTTGTTGAGCTCTTTCTACAAGGCTCTTTCCCATCCGTTTGTACGAAGAGCGAAATCTGGCGCCATTGGGATTTGGGCATAGGGGTGCCTCTGTGTCAGCATCTCCATCTCATTCTTGCCTGTCATTGGAATTGGAGGTTGGTTCTTCCGTTTTTTTGTTCCCAAAATTCACTCTCTTCTTCCACCGGGTCTTTCTTGCGATCTCCCCTCTTTTGCTTCGTTTTCCTAGAGATTGGCATTATCCTTTCCAGCTTCAAATCTTGCTTCCCTGATCCAACACGGTGAGACAATTGGGCAACAAAACAGTAAGTTTTATCCTCTTTCGTGGATTCTATGTTTCGGATATCTGCATTGGTAAACTCCGGTTAGTGAACTACGGTGAGAGACAACAATGCAACTCTTTTGTAAACTTGGTTGATTTAGAAGCTTCAAGGAGTTATCCAGTTGATGTAGGTGCATGTGAGTCTTCATGGGGTGGATGTGGCTCTGAAGTTGTGGTATATGGAGTGATTTCCCTGCAGTACCAATGTAAGCGCCACAAACAATCCGAGCATGAGTTAGTTTTTCCTATGCTTTGGTTTGCCTCATGAATTAAATTTTCCTTTGCTTTGGTTTACTTATAGCCACAATATTGTAGCTGGGTTGATCTGAAATGGTTTCCAACATTTTTCAGTTTTGGGTTGCTACGAGTTTACCTTCTCGAGTGCTGTCCCTATGACCGACAATGGTGTACTGTCAATTGGGTGATCTTCAGTCGAATGGGTCACGTGTTGCTTCTTATCAGCTGCTTTTGATTGTCTGCTTGAAGCAACATTTGTGAACTGGTAATAAATTGGACAATACAATGACCTTCTTTCCAGGATCTCAATTCACTGTCGTACTGTGTTTACATTAGGATATGGAGAAGCACCAGAACTGGGTAATCGCCCCCTATATATTTATGCTTCCTTCAGAGTGTTTTTTGTTTTTGTTTGTTAATTGATTCTCTCAAGGCAATTTTGGTAATAATAAATTGTAGTTTCTCCAAGGCTGGTATTGTAGTTTACTTTGTCATTGTCATGTAGTTTATTCAAGCTGGTAATTTTTTCAAGACTGTTGTTGTAGCATACTGTGTAAATTTTTATCAGTGAGTATATTGCACTGGTTTCATCATGGGAGGTCTTAGTATGTGTTCTTTTGCTTATGTAGTATTTGAATCAGATTTAAAATTGGGGTAATCTTTTGAATGGATGTGTTGCATATATGTGCAGGTGATTCTTGGTTGCGATGAACCGGAACCTGGAGTAACTGTAATGTAGCTGCCGGGGAGGTGAAGGCTGTTACTTTATGTTTTCTACTCAATAATAATAATCTACTTTCTCTCTTTTTGGTTTGGTTACTTTATGATTGATTGTGTCATGGATCGCTTCTTCCCTAAATTGAACTTTTTAGTTAATGAACCGAAACTAACTACTGTAACTTTTTAGTTACTGCGGCGTTGCGTAGCTGCCGCATGTTCGAAATTTAGATATGATACGATAGTATAGTTAATACGCCTACAATGTTACATATCAAAGCACTTTACATTTCCTTATATTCATTGTTCTTCCAATCAATATTTGGAATCGAGGGCATTAATTATGCAGGGTGGTGGAATTATTTCGAAAATGGCTCTGCATCCTCCTGACGCTCTGCCGGTGACCGATCTGAATCCCTCTGGCAGACCGCCGGATCTCAGCCAACCGTTGACGGGCGATAAAGAATCGGGGATGATAGTCGCCCTCTGCAGTAATCCCCAGGATCTTCCGTGTGCAATGAACGAGACGGAGATGGTAGTGGATCTGGCTCCATAGAAGGATATTCCGACCCGATCGACAACAAACATGGCGTTATCTTATGCGAACGTGGTGGCCCGGGATAGCAAGGAAGCTACTCAAAAGAATGATACCTGGACGCCCGTCGGAGAACACGATCTGATAACCGGGAGCTTCAACGGTGAACCGGAATTGAGGATCTCAAGTGGCTTCAAAGAGAAACTTTGTGTCTCCTGGCAACGTACACTAGTGGTCCGAGTGCTGGGACTGAATATTTCTTTCTTGACTTTTTGCAACAAGATCAGGAACCTTTGGCGGCCGACAAGGGCGATGGAGATCATGGCTCTGGGACATGAGTGCTTTCTGATCAAGCTAGTAATGATGCTGATTACTTCCGAGCACTTACAGAAGGCCCGTGGGTGATCTTTGACCACTATTTGATTGTCTTCCAATGGACATCGGAGTTTCGTCTATCAGATGCTTTGCCGCTATCGATGGTGGTATGGATACAATTCCCAGCCTTCCTTGTGCATTTCTATCACAAAGAGATTCTATTCACGCTGGGGAATATGGTTGGCAGGGCAATCAAGTTAGATTTTCACACGCAACACCAACAACGAGCGAAATTTGCCCGGATGGCCGTGGAGTTGGATCTCTCTAAACCGCTCGTTACGCGAATCCGGCTGGACGGAAAATGGCAGTATATCGAGTACGAGAATTTACCAACCTGCTGCTTTGAGTGTGGCAAAATTGGACACACCTCGTTATCCTGTCCTAATCTAGCGGCAAAGAATCCCCTGCCGGTCGCTGGAGTGATGTGCAGCAACGCGCCGGTGACACCCCCGGAGGACCGATCAGGCTTCGGGCCGTGGATGCAGGTCACGCGGCGGTCACGGAGGGGAACACGTTTGGTGGAAAAAGGAAAGGCCAACGAATTTCCGGGAGAATCGGGGGGATTTGGCAAGGCCGGGAAAGGAAAGAATCTGCAGAAAGATAAGGAAAGTGCTGAAGACCAAAAAAGGGAACAAAAACAGAGGAAGGAGACGGACAGAAATGGGGCTAATGAAAAGGGAAAGACAGCTGGAGCAGGCATTCGTAACGGGAAAGAGAAAGCAGACAGGGAAGTGGACATTTCGGCTACAGGAGGTAAAGGGGTTCTTGGACCCATTCCTCCAAATAGAGCAAGCCCAACCAAAGGACCCAGCAAAGGAGTAACACATGCGAAGCGGACCGAAGTCGGCCCGTCATCTTTGGGAAGTGGGTCTGAGGCGGGTCGTGATGGGCCTGATGGGATCCAATACAAGACAGGACAGTCACTACTGACTTCCATTTCGACTAAGGCGCTGATGACATCAGGCCCAATGGCTACTTCCATTCAGATAGTGGATGTCCCAACTATCGACCAACAGAAGGGATTTGGAGTAGCCGACAGCTCTCCGTCGGCGGCAACTCGCACGAAGAACGACCGGAGGAAGAAGAAATCCAAGGAACGACATTCGCCTATGAAGGTCGCCGCCAAAGCCCTCCAGATTTGGACACCTGTCAAAGACAAGAAATAAAAAACAAGAGCTAGAATGGCGAGTCTGACTCTTCAGGAAATAGCAGCGTGGACCGGGGCGGCGAAGGAGGGACAAGCTGAGAGAGTGATATCGTCCCCAACAGAGGAGAATGTTCAAAAGGAGATGATTGTTGCGGCGGCTTCGGCAGTCGCTAAATGACTCCTCGCGAACAGCTGCTGATTTTTTCTTTCCTCCTCTCGTCCCCTTTCTCTTTTAATTCTTTTTTATGTCTATGTTTCCTGATTTTAAATTTAAAATTTGCTCATGGAATGTCGGAGGCGCCGGTGGTAGCGCTTTCCTTAGAGCGCTTAAGCTCTTTGTTGCCTCTCATAAGACTGACATTTTGATTTTGTTGGAACCGCAGATCAGTGGGGAAGTGGCAGATCGTGTTTGTGGAAGAATGGGTTTTCCTAACATTATGAGAGTAGAGGCGGAGGGAAGGAGAGGGGGCATCTGGCTTTGCTGGGACGCGAGAATCGTGACGCTAGAGCCTGTTTCTGCCTGCTTTCAACATCTCACCGTGAAAGTCAAATGTGCTTCAGTCTCACCATGGCTCTTAACGGCGGTTTATGCTAGCCCGAGGCAGGAGTTTCAACACTTCTTGTGGCAAGCTATCCATCGCACTAGGGAAGAGCATGACTTTCCGTGGCTGCTTACTGGCGATTTCAACGCCATCCGCTCTCCCTCTGAACAGGCAGGCAGATCCTCCACTGCCATCCTTCGCCGTTGTAAGCGCTTTAACGACAGAATTGACCATGCGGAGCTCATTGATCTAGGTTATTCCGGACCGCGGTTCACTTGGACTAGAGGAGAGCCGCCAAACGATTACAAAGCCAGTCGGCTCGACAGAAGTCTATGTAACCCCGCCTGGAATGTCACCTTCCCCAACACCTCCGTTCATCACCTGCCCCGGCTGCACTCGGATCACCATCCCGTTCTTACCGAGATTGGAAACAAGGGAGTTAATCTTTCCTCTCCTCGACCTTTTCGTTTTGAAGGAGCTTGGCTAACGCATGATTCTTATGGTACTTTTTTACAGGATAAGTGGGAATCGCAGGCTCCGCTCCAGGAAGCTTTAACGAGGATGGCTGTGGACTTTGCTGAGTGGAACAAAAACACCTTTGGTAATGTCTTACAGAAGAAGAAGAGGCTCCTCAGCCGTATAAATGGGATCCAGACCAGAATAGCCAATGAGTTCTCTCCTGGCCTTTTCAAGCTCCAAGCGAAGCTGGAGAGAGAGCTTGATGAAGTCCTTGAGCAGGAGGAGATCATCTGGTACCAGAGAGCAAGAGAGAAATGGGTGCAGCTTGGAGAGCGCAACACAGCGTATTTTCATCAGCAAGCCCTTATCCGGAGACGAAGGAACAAAATTGCCAGCCTGAAAGCCAACAATGGGGAGTGGGTGTCGGACCCGCAGGAGTTGGTGGCTTTGGTTTTCGATTTTTTTGCTTCTCTTTACTTGCAGGATGATCATGAGTACACAGATGATATGCCAAAGCAGGCGTTCCCGAGGATTCAACAAGAGGACCTCCTTGCTCTCCTGCGCCGCTTTACGGCTGCAGACATTTATCAAGCTGTGCAAGACATGAAGCCGTATCAAGCTCCGGGACCGGATGGTTTTCAAGCAGTTTTCTATCAGAAATCATGGCAGGTGGTTGGAAAAGCACTTACTGACATGGCTATGAGTTTTTTCTCGACAGGGATACTACCAGAGGAAGTGGTAGAATCGACGGTGGTGCTCATCCCTAAGGTGGATCACCAGGAGATGGCCTCACACCTGCGGCCGATATCCCTCAATAATGTTTGCCTGAAAGCTATCACCAAAGCCATCACTAATCGACTTAAACCCATCATGAGAAAGCTGGTTTCCCCGAGGCAAAGCAGCTTCATTCCTGGGCGTCAGACCACAGACAATATTATTGTTTTGCAGGAGGTGGTCCGCTCGCTGAGAAGGAAGAAGGGCAAGAAGGGAGGTGGCCCCAGCTGATCCTGCCTAAGAGCAATGGAGGCCTGGGCATAAGATCAAGCAGGGAGGTGAACCTGTCCATGCTGGCTAAAGGGTGTTGGCGCATAGTCCAGGAGAAAGATAACCTTTGGGTCCAGATGGTTCGCACCAAGTATGGGGGAAATCGGCAGCACCTAGATATTCTTAAACGTGTTCAGGGAAGTTCCTTTACCTGGGCTAGCTTTACAAAGCAGCTGATTTACTTAAGCAAGGTTGCGCCTGGAATATTCACCGGGGTAACCAGACTAAATTTTGGACGGATAATTGGATTTTGCAGGGACCTCTCCATGAGATGGCGACGGAGACGATATCGGAGGAGGACCTTCAACGGCCAGTGTCCGAGTTTGTTGATGAAGATGGAAACTGGAAAGTGGAGAAGTTTGCCTCGCTACTCCCGCAGGAGATTCAGCACAAGATAACAGCCCATGCTGTTGATCCCTTGGCTACGGAAGAAGACCACCTATTCTGGACTCCAACGACGGATGGACGATTTACTACTAAGAGTGCTTATCAAATCCTCCATGCAGCTCTCGCCAGCGCACAGCAGAGTTGGTGGAAAGCCATTTGGCATCTCACTGTACCCGAGCGGGTTAGATGTTTTATCTGGTTGCTTGCGCAGGGAAAGGTGAGCTCGAATGAAGTCAGAGCTCATAGAAGGCTAACTCAGGAGGACTCTTGCTACAGATGCCCCTCCCAGACCGAGAGCCTACCTCATATTTTTCGCAGCTGCCCGCCTGCAGCCTTCTTCTGGCATCGAGTTGTCCCCTCGGCGGCCCAACAAGAGTTCTTCAGTCTCCCTTGGGAAGAATGGTTACGCCGCAACCTGACCAGCAAGGAGTCATCTTCTACAGGGCTCCCCTGGGACGCCTTCTTCGGGATTTCCCTTTGGTGTTTGTGGAAGAACAGGAATGAAGGCGTCTTCAAGGGCATTAACAAGACTTTGTCGGCGCCTTCTCTGATGCAGTCAATCAAGATTAAAGCAGGTATTTGGATTCGGGCTTGGAATGCTCCGACACTACTTGGTGGAAGGGGAAACCTGGCGCCGAACCGGGTGTTGACAGACATCGGTTGGCAGCCGCCACCTGCAGGTTGGACGAAAGTCAATGTTGATGGGGCTGCAGGAGGATCCCAAGGACTGGCCGGGGCTGGAGGAGTAATCCGTGACTCCAACAGCTGCTGGCAGGGCGGTTTTGTTTCCAACTTGGGGTCTTGCTCGGCTACTCTGGCGGAACTGTGGGCTATTTATCATGGATTGAGGCTAGTTTGGAACAAAGGCTACAAGACGATCATCATCGAGTCAGATTCTCAGTTGGCTATTCAGCTGGTGAAGAACAGATCAGATCCTCTACACCCTTATGCTGCTCTACTTTCGACCATCAGGAGGAAGATTTCTCTTGACTGGGTGGTGAACCTAGTTCATACTTACCGAAAGGGGAATAGAGTCGCGGACTGGCTCTCGAAGTACAGTCTCGTCTATCCCTACGACATGTATGAATTGGAGAAACCGCCGCAAGAGGCTCTTCACATTTTACAGGATGATCAGCGAGGAATTACTTTTCCTAGAAACATTGTGATCCCTTCTCCCACCTCTTCCATCAGCGAGGAATTACTTTTCCTATAATTTTATTTTTTAAATTGAATATTTGACTATTGATTTTATATGATATTATATTATTACACATATGTTATATGTTATTACTAAACCGAGTCGGCAACCTTAATATTTACCTACTTACCAACTTGATTCTGTAGTTTTGTGGTCAAGAAAACACAAAACTGATTAAGAGTCTGACCAATTATAGAGCGTTATGTTTGGGGATGATCAGGTGATCAGTGAAATCCCTTTGGGGTCGTTCGAATGAGAGATATCCTGATGGGATTTTGATTAAATTCAATAATACGTGAGAGAATATGGGGTACCACAATCTCAAACTCCTTTGATATACAAGTTTCAATATGGGCTCCCATAAAACCTAAGGTAAATATGTGTGTGGGTTTCCACCCATTTAGGTTCATATCTCATACAAGATATCTTTGGCCTCCTTATTTGGATCACATACTGTTATCCAATAAGAAGATATAAAATATAATAGTATGGTTCAGGCTAGCGTACTTTATTGTAGGCTCCACGAGTTTTTTTTATTTAGAGTATAAATTAATCGTAGTTTAGGGCATGATACCATACGCTAACCTCTAATGAGTGAACCCCAGTCCCCAATTCTCTAAATCAAACCATTAGATTCATTTAATCTTAAAATGAAAATCAACGGTTTTGATTCATCGAAATTATACAAGCACAAATAATAGGTGAGAACGCAGGCGTATAGCGTACTCCTGGTGTATGCTAGCCTTTATCATAATTGTATATATAACATATATGGTCCATAATTATTATTAAGAATAAAATTTTCTAACCGTCTCACACTTGGGCTATATATTTTTCTACATTCACCTTATTGATATAACTCTTTTGGAATTGAGAATATATTGAGAGTAATATATTTATATCTCAATAACCCAATACAAAAGAGACAACACCTTGAATTTCTTTGCTAGAAATTTCTCAGTTTTGTGTAGTATACTATATCGCTTCAAGTAAGTATAATTTTATTTCCAAGTAAAACCAAGAGACTAAATTTACTCCTACTGAACTTAAAATATACACAATGAGCTAATAACAATATGAAATTTGTGATATCAATAATCAAAAGCTTATACGAGATCATAGAGGGATTTATTCAATTAGAAACCATATAGTTGTTTCGTCAATGTGAAAATTGAGAAACCTAGTTTTATAACCATTTGATATTGCTCCAAACCGTAATGAGCCACCATTGTTATTGTATTCTTAAAAGAATCTTACATATATTATTGAGAGAAAGTCTATTTGTAATGAATGTCTTCCTTATGAGTAAAACCTTTGGTGACCAATGTGCCAAATACTCTCAATGTTGCCACTCGAATCCTTCTTGGTTAAAAAAAAATCCATTTGAAATCAATATTGTTTCGAGCTTTTAGGCTATTTGACGAGATCACAAACCTCATTATCTTTCGTAGACTTCAACATAGGGCATCATACCACTTTTTAGAATTAAAACTATGCATGGCTTAACTAAAATAACCTGGATCATTGGTCAACCTGATGCCATGTTAATGTTCAAAGAAGAAAAACAATATTTTTTTTTTTGTTAAGGATGATATATATTAATAAAAACTGAAAGAGTTACAAAAGGCAGCAGGGCAAAGCCCAACTAGAAACAAGAGGAAAATAGGCGTAGGGGAAGCCATCGAAAAGGACTGAAAAGAAACACACTCCAGAGGAGAATGGAAAGGAAAAAGAGAGGGCCCAAACCCGAAGACTAGAGCAACAGAACAGCTACTTCAAACACCTAGCAGGGGGTTCTTCAAGTACTGGAAAACAGCCTGCTTTTGAGCGTTGAAACCCAAGCTTCTACCACTTGCTTATCTACTTTCTCTGCTGCGGACAACCAACTTGCGATTAGGCAACCAATGCGGAAAGCTGTGACCTGAGGAGAAGTTGCTTCCCCCTTGAAAGTTCTGGAGTTTCTTTCCAGCCAAAGTGTCCAGCAGAAGGCGTGGATGAAAACCTTAGTGCACCATTGCCAAGGACTGGATGGGTTTCCACGATACCACCGCTTGATCCTTGTTGAAATGTCAACATTATCAATGGTACTGCTTTCCATCCTGACGAAAGACTGCATCCTCCACCAAGTTTCCTTTGCGAAGCTGCAATTGATGAACAGATGATTCAGGTTCTCCTCCTCTTTTTCGCAAAGGGCACACCTGCTTGGTAGTTGAAATCCCCGCTTCTTAAGGTTGTCATGAGTGAGGAGCCTTTTGTGGAACACGATCCACAAGAAGATGCAGACTTTGCTCGGAACTATCTTCTGCCACACGACCATGACGGGGAAGTCCTCAACTCCGGTGCTCCTGCCTGCTAACAAACGATCATACGCCGACTTAACGCTGAAGCCTGCAGAAGCATCAGGCAACCATATCACCCTCTCAGGACCTGCAAAAAAGTTAGAAGAAGGAATGTTTCCGAGTAGGTTCATTAAGCCCTCTCTCTCCCTCTCTGCCCCCCCGCGAAGAGTAAATTTCAATGGAATTTCCCACAATAATCTCTCGCCCACAATAGATAGGTGATCAGCGACGCGGGCACTCGGGGAGACAGCAACAGCCATCACTCTCGGATATTTCTCCGCCAAGCATGTGCCATCGACCCAATGATCCTGCCAAAAAGAAGTCCAGCAGCCACTGCCTTGTTCAATGCGCGCCAATTGCCAAAAAGTGTGTTTCTGCTTCATTATCTGAGACCACGGACTACAACCAGCGCTCCCGGCACAATTCCCGGATGACCATTCTGATGAGGCACTGGGGAATTTTAAACATATTAGCTTTCTCCACCAAGACCCCCTTTCGGTAGAGAATCTCCATAACCATTTCAGAAGGAGCGATTTGTTGTGGATTTCTAAGTCGCGAATGCCCAAGCCGCCTTTCCGCTTCGGAGTTTTGCATAAATCCCACGAGATTAGATGAATCTTCTCCTTATCTAGCGATCCTGACCAAAGGAAATCCCTCTGTATTTTTTCCATTGTATTCACTACGCATTTAGGAGCCGGGAAAAGGGAGCAGCAGTAGATATTTTGACTGGATAGAACTGCATTTTCTTTATATGTGGCGTAACACACACTTTCTTAAACCGATCTTAAGTTATGTTATTTTATTTATCGATTCACATAATTGGAAATTGTATTGCGTGAGCTTCTATTTTTTTTAACATATTACTTCATATTTAAAAAATACAAATCTTTGTGAACTAAAAATTAAACATCCCGGCGGAGCACAAAATTTTGACCAATTAAGTAAAATAACACTTTGCACGTTCAGTTGGACCAAATATGAGTTATCTGTGAAAGTACTGTTTTTAACCTTTGAAAATGCCAAAAACGGTGCGCTAT